AACCACTTACAATTCACGTATTGTTACATAATGGCATCATCACTTACGCAGAGTTTGAAGTAACACACACGCCTGCACCACATCCAAAACTTGCCACAACTGTACAATACAATACAAATCTGTATTGCTGTAGTGTCTTTCACATTGGGAGGACATCCCGAGACACTTTGTAACAATAACTAATAACTTTCTCTCTCTCTCCTTTAGTTGCAATTTATTCTATGAATATTCCAGTGCTGGAGAACTCATGTACAAAGACAAGGCGGTGTAATTTGCAGTGTTTCTTAATCAGGATTCCTTAACAAGGATTTCCCGTTGAAATGGATTCCCTGATGCGAGAGCATCGCCGCGGACGGAACCGTCGAATCACAAGACCGGTCGGATGAAGAAGTCCATTCGGGCCATTGAGCTGCTTCTTAAATCGAGTGTCCTGGCCTCAACCACTCTTCCTGGCGATTTGTTCCAGTCATTCATTACCTTCTGGATCAAGAAAAACCTAGTGTCGATCCTGAAATTGCCGTTTGCAACTCGAAACCTGTGTCCTCTTGCTCTAGTTGGCGCATCCTAAAGTATTGTTCTGGGTCTAGTTTTTCCAATCCCATTTAAATCTCTATAAGGTCTCCTCTGAGTCGTCTATTCTCAAGACTGAAAAGCTCGAGCTTGACTGATCATTGCTTACAGCTCAGATAGATAATTTCAGAGTGGTAGGTCTTCTGGTTACCAGAAACACCATCCACTGGTGTGATATAATTCCTTGTTAACCAATCCTGTTAGGAAACGCCGCAAATTGGTAAATCATTCCTTATCCCTCTGAACCTGGGGATCAGCCTTGTTGCTCTTCTCTGCAATGACCTCCAGAGTTTCAAAGGCTCTCCCTTCCTCTCTCTCTCTCTCTCTCTCTCTCCACACCCCCCACCCTCACACACTATGTCGTGCTGACCCAAGCAGAACTGTACACAGTACTCCAGGTGCGGCCTAACCAGTACACTGTACAGCTTCTGCAGTTTATGAGGATTTAAAGCTTCAACAGATCTGGCAATGTGGCCAGCATTCTGTTTATTCCTGTCTAGCCCTGTTTGGACATGATAAGCAACAAGTACATTAACACACCCAGGTCTCGTTCAGCTTCCCGCCTGGCAAGCTCTAGCGAGTCCAAGGAGTAAATGCTGCGTTTCCCAAACAAAATGCAATTAATCTACAATGTATCAGTGAAGCAGATTGAGACGTTTCAACAACATAAGGCGCTATATCAAATGCAAGGATTATCCTAAATATACTTCCTACCTTTCCTTTCCATTATACAGTATTCCAGTGGTTAGTTGGTATCAATCAGTGATCAGCCCAAGGCCAAAACCACAACAACAATCATTATCTTGTCAAATACAAACATCTAGGTTCTAGTTACATCGGGTTCATTAATCCTTCAATCTTGCCACCCTCTTTCCGCCCAAAGTTTGGTGTTAGTGTCCAAAATCCTGGCAAAACTAGGCCATATCATTATATACGGGAGGATGGGGGGGGGCAAACCAGGAGAAGGTGCCTCCTATATTGACCAAGCTCCGCACCAACTGTTCTACTGCTACTCATTAGCAGTTGGCAGCACTCTCTCCTCTCTCCTCTGAGTCAGACAGTTTAGAGTACAACCCCCACCACAGGACGTTGAAGCCAGTCTAAGATGGCACTCCAACACAGTGCTGGGGGTGTGCCGTATTGTCGGAGGTGTCGTCTTGCATGCAAGACATTAAACCGAGGCCCGTCTGCCTGTTCAGGTGGAAATGAAAAATCCTACGACGCTGTTTGAAAAGAGAAGAGGTTTTCCTGGAGCCCTGGCCAACATTGCTCTACCCCCACCCCCATCCAATCTAAAATTGGCCACTCACTTCACGGCTGTTTGTGGGTCATGCTGTGTGAAAATTAGCTCTGCATTTGGCCCGCAAAATACACAGTCACTGCACTTTACAGTGTATCCGATCACATCATGCCATTGGTGCTCTTCAGTCCTTGTTTTCTCAAACTCTCTACCCTCCCTCCTCTGCTCTCCTCTCCAGGCAAACCTCTCCCTCCTACAGTTCCCGTTACTGTTACAGTGCGATGCACAATTCCTCTCCTTCCTGCAAATGACTCAGGGACAAAATGTGGAGCCGCTCACCATTGTTCATCATTTCCTCCTATACGTTATTTTCAGCTTTTTTTAAAAAAAAATTTTTTTTTTTTTTTAAATGATCAAAGCAAACACGACCCAAACGATTTAGAATCCTCTTTCCCTCCTTCCTTCTCTCCTCCAACCTCCCCGAACATCAACTGGAAGGACGGATAGGACAGAGCTCTGCACACACAAGCATTGGCAGGATACGGTTAAAGTTGCGTGTAAATGGTGCCCTTCGCCAGGCTTTCGTGCAGACCAGGAAGGAAGTGGCATTGATTTCCACAGTTTAATGACTTAAAAATAAAGCAACACCTCCAATGATGAATTTTGGGTTGGTTGCCTGTGACAATTTGGCAACTCTGCCAATTTAAGAATATATTGCAAAAAAATCACATTGCAAATCTTTTTCCCCCTCCCCTCTCAAAATCAACTACCAATGAAGCAGGGATTTTAACATAAATCCTTGCATTTGATTCAGAGCTTTATCGCTCCATCGAAACGTCTCAAAGACCTTGGCAGGATTTCACTATTGAAGTGCAGTGACTGTGTGTTTTGTTGGAGACATTATGGATGTATGGTATTTGGCTTCAAGTCAGCATCCCAGTGATGTTTAGAGGTTAGGAAGGAATCCTATCTTGAACCAAAATCTGAAGGCAGATATGAAGCCCATAACCATCACCTCCCACTCCTCCTCTCGCAACCACAGAGGAAGCTCTTAGAGGGATGATTCTGCCTTTTATTTAACGTCCAGATCCGGGAGGAAAGGACCGCTGCAGATCCTGGTCGTGGAACAAAATGTAGGGAAGATGGCAGTCACCCTCCTTGAGTATTTCACCACCATCAGTTTTCAGACAGGTCTCCACTGGAACACCAACGCTACAACTAACTTCAACACTAGCTGATGTTACGTTTCTTGTCTGATCTACACTGTCTTATGCAGTTGGAAGGGTTAGATTTCTCACCCACCACCACTCCTGCAAACCTCACCAATGACACTTTGGTCAACCGACCAGAGGTGTAAATGAGAGAAAAAGAGGCTCCCTTCTCTGCACGGGCCACTTGGTACATTGTTACCTTTATTAGCAATCCACAGAAGTGCAACTGTGACCAGGGTCTAAACCGAATGGCGTGTTTAGTATTTAAACATTGAAGATCAAACTGGAAAAACAATGTAAACAAGGCAGTAAAACTGGACCTAATTTAGAGGCTTTAATCACAGTCGTGATTAAAATAAGCTTCTGAATCAGAAGTGTCGGTTAGAGGCAGTATTTAGATCTCTGTTCCCGTCAGTGTGAGCAGTTCACCTGTTGATGTGGCTTCAAATGTCAGTGATCACTCGCTTCAGAAATGCCGCTGTTAACTACAGCAACAAGAGTACTGGTGTCAATTTGCATCAGCAACGTTGCATATAGTGTTCAGCCAGGCTCAGCTGGTAGCATTCTCGCCTTCAAGCCAGAAGGTTATGGGTTCAAGCTTTACGTCGGGACTTGCAATCACATAGTCTAAGCTGACACTCCAATGCAGTGTTGCAGGGTGTGCTGTGTTGTCAGAGATGCCGTCCTTCCGAAGAAACATTTAAAACGAAATCCCATTCGACACACAACGTTCCTGGTGAAAACTGACACGAGTACTCTTGTTGTGTCAGCTAACAGCCGCTCTAGTGCTACATTGAGGTGGCACTGATCTCCGCAGTAGGAATGGTTTCTTGGCACCTCTGGGCCCAGGTAAGCTGACACAGTGAAACCTGCATTGCCTCTGCAGCCACAGGCTATGAATTGTTTGTTCTGACCTACAGGCAGAGGGAGCGCTCAGCTCTCCCTGTGCTCGCTGGCTTGTGTAGACCTTCCCCCAGACATGTCCCAATCACGTTCTCTACTGTGCCAGAACCTGCCCCAAATATAAACACAGAGTGAATTTCCGCAGTGAGGGCATCAGCGAGATCCCCAAACATCCTGACTTTTCCAGGACACAGGAAAATTACAACCATTGCTAAACTGAGTCCAATTCCCTTCCATAAACCAATTCGCAGCCCAATTGCACACGTCAATGTGTAACACACTTCAACAACAACATGCATTTATATAGCGCCCTTCACAAGGGTAGCTTCCCAGACCGCTTAAATTCAATGCAAGCATCAAATGCAATATTACTATAAAAAAGGCTCCGTCACTTTAAGAGACTATGTTTAAATAATTCTACTAAAGCTGGTATATAGAAGGGGAGTGGGGGAAAATCATTGGAGTACACCTTAGTGATCCGAACACTATTTTTGATTAGTTTTAAAGCTGTAATCTGCTGGTATCCTTTAAATGGTAATTGCAAATTGCTCAAGAAGGCAAATTAACCAAGCACAGGCTGTTTACGAGCACTGACCCTTTAAACTGTTTACAGTCTTATTGTTTTGCCGGTTGTAGCAAAGGAAGTCAGTGTCTGATGAGAGCAGAGGAAAGTCCCTGGCTTCATGGCTGGGATACTGCAAGCAAACTGTCTGCCGTGTGTGTCTACAAAAAATGCACAGTTACTACACTTTACAGCGCAATCCAATCCGGCGCTTGGGAGACGCCTTGACGACACGATAAGGTGCTTTGTCGAATGCAAGAATGATCATGTTCTGAAGCGAAGAAACTCAGATGGGATAAAGGCATTTTGAAGTTGTTGAGGAAGGTTTACATTGGGGGTGGGAAAAGAGAGATAAAAGGGAGGAAAGAAGAGATCATTTGAGATTTAACAGTAAAGGAGGGGGGGGGGAAGAGACACCACACAAACCTGAGAGTCAAGAAAATTGTTGCATGGCTTGGAAACATGCAATGTCTTGTTCACCCTGAGGCTGAATCAGGACATGGGATGCACTTACCCTGAGAGGAGAGGAGAGCAGCTTGTGCACACTGGGCACCTGAGCCACCAGAGGAATAGCCTCGTGGAAGCTGTAGGTCGGGGGTCTCCTGGGTTCAGGGAAGTTGGTGCAAACGAAAGGGTCCACATCGTCCAGGTACTGCACTCTGCAGATCACAGCAGCCATAGTGCCTCCTCACCCACAGGCACATAGAGAGGGACACACACAGGGAGGGAGGGAGGGAGGGAGGGAGAGAGAGAGAGTGCAATGCAATAAAGGTACAGGTTTGCAAGGCAGACTGCTGGGGGGGGGGGTCAAGTGTCTGTCTGTGTATGTATCTCTCTCACTGACTAACTCACTACAGCTCTAAGTTAGTCACTCTGACGCAACCAGGAAATAAAGGGTGAGTCAGTATTAAAGGAAGGAGTTGGCTGGGTCACACTCTCTCTCTCTCTCTCTGTGCACAAGATTAAAGCAGTAACTTCTGCAAATTCATCCCTCCCTCCCTCCCTGTCTGTCCAATCACTCATCCGCGGTCAATTTTCATGAACCAAACAGGACTGTTGACTTGCGACCCGCCGCTGTGAGCAATAAGAGATTTTTCTGGTCTGCTTCCATCCCCACTCCGCCATCACATCCCGCGCCGGCTGGAGATGCAAGGCAAGGGTTAACTCTCCTTGTTGGAACACCTGGATTCACTTCCCCCGCCTCTGCCCGGCAGGTGCTGCGCATTTGCTTCCACTGCGGGTGAAAAGCCTGAGAAGTTAAACTGAGGTCTGGCCCTTCAGGTGGACGTTAAAGATCCCTTGGCAGGATTCGAAAAGAGAAGGGAATTTCGCTCTCTCTTCCCCCCCTACCCCCCATATCCTGGCCAACAGATCCCCACCGATAAAATCAGTCACTCACTTCACCTTCACGGCTGTTTGCAGGACATTGCTGCGTGCAAATTGTTTGCAAAACAATTGGCGTGTTTGTACGTAACAATCCTTGCATTTGATATCGCGGCTTATCGCGCCATTGGCGTCTCAAAGGGCGCCACGGAATATACTGTTGAGTGAATTGACTCTGTATTTTGTGGGTGAAACGTTTTGGCATGAAATTCCACCCCCGCAAATGACATTTAACTTGAGTTGGTTGATAAATACTGAGATGGTGAGGTGCAGGGTTTTATGGATCCTGCTTGCTCTCCGATTCCGACGCACCAATAATTAATTCAGTTCATTCATTTAATTAATTCATTAATTAATTGTAAAAATGAAAAGAACGAACAAAAGTACTGTCAGAAGTGGGATTCGAACCCACGCCTCCAGAGGAGACTGCGACCTGAACGCAGCGCCTTAGACCGCTCGGCCATCCTGACTGTGTTTATGCCAAGGTTTCTTGTTACATTGGGTGACGGTGTAGAGTAGCTCTCTTGATTCCTGTCTGAACAGCAGAAGTAATAATAATAATTCTTGTATTTGATATAGTGCCTTATTTACGTCGTCGAGACGTCTCAAAGCGCTTCACAGGAAATGCTGTAAAGAGTAGGGACTGTGTATTTTGTGGGCAAAACCCGGCAACCAGTTACGCACAGCAGTATCCCCCAAGCAGTCGTGGGTTGAGTGACCAAATTATTATTTGTTTTGTGATGGGGCCTCTCGCTTGCGAGGCGAGCGCTCTAACCAATACGCTACAGGAATCCACTTGTTTGCTTACGAAAATACCCAGTCACTGCACTTTGCAGTAGTGAGTGTGAAGCACTTTGAGACATCCTCGTGGCGTGAGAGGTGCTGGATCAGATGGAGGGATTATTAGAATCTATCGCTCCAGTCCGCACGGTTTTTCATTTCAATCTTGTTCTTTCCAAACCGACTCGTCATCTGGAGGAGGAATCCCACCTGGGTGTGATTCACAGCTATTTTTGTTGTCCAGAGTTTGGAAAACAGTTGAGTTCAGCCGTCACGTTTACTTTTGGCTTCCTGTCGTCGTTAAACAAAACATTTTTTTTTTAAAAAAATGCTTCAAAAGTAAGGCCTTCTTTAAGAATCTGCTCTCAATTCTGGATGCTCTGAAACGACTAGCCAATAAAGTACATCCAGACCACAGGTGGAATTTCTGCGAGCTAGTGCGTGATATTTCCTGAATGAGATTGCTTAATAAGAAATCCCATTAAAATTCCACGGATACTTTGCTCCAGAACCGCCTCACGTTTCAAACCATGACCGAATCACTCACTTCACTAAGCACCTTCACCGTTTCCAAATTGCATCCCAAATCATATACTTTCTTAGCCTGTGATTTGGAATGATTATCGCCACAAGTGAGTTCGAATCAGGCATGTGCACAAACACACATCCAGTCTAATAATGATAATTAATCCTTGCCTTTGATACGGCGCCTCATCACATCGTCGAGACGCCTCAAAGCGCTTCATGGGATTTTATTGTGAAATGGAGTGACTGCACTATGTTGGTAAATGTGGCAGTCAAACTGCACACAGCAACGTCCCACAAACAGACATCAAGTGAGCGGACAATTTTATTAAGGCGGGGGGGGAATCGTTGGCCAGAAAACCGGGAGAAATTCTTTTCACAATGCAAATCCTACACCCTGGTGGCCAAAATGTTATCTGTTTACAACTCAAGTTTAATGTTGTATTTTCATTGCTCTCTGGGACGCTACCCAGTGTGAAGGGCGTCCTATAAATGCGAGTTGTTGTTGTTGCACTGTATCTTTTATTTATTTAAAAACTCTGGGTAAAAGCCGAAACCTGTGCCCTGTTTAATATCACTGGTGATAATTAGCACAATTAGCGGTAATAATTCACCCTTATGATGTAAATGACTGTGAGGCCATAGGTGCTTGTCGCGCTTTCGATTACATTGCATTCTGTTTCCTACCTTTTCTCTAGATTTGCCCTCACGCTTTTCATGCTAAACTGTCCTGCTCACCAGGTAGCTCACCAAGTACCTGCTATCCACCTAGTGAGGGATCACACCTGCACTTGTCACTATCTTCTGGGGGAAGAGGAGCGGGGAGGTTACCAGGGTTCAGGTTGACAGGCTTGGCGAAAGAACGTAGGATTCGAGGCCCGCCCTCTGAGACTGTCTCGGTTGCCCACCATATCCACGATAACCCTGCTGATTTCAGACGAGACAGCTTGAGGCAAAGACCTTCCCACTCAGCATCTGTTAGCCCCGAAAACCAAAGCTCTAATGGGTAGGGTGGTTCTTGCCTGGATGAACAAGCAGTGGGAAGATTGCCAGACAGTGCAAGTTGAGCAAGTGCAACAAGAGAAGCAACCTGAGTGTGCCTAACCCAGCTATCTTGGGTGTTTCGCGAGTGCGCAGTGTGGTGTCCTCTCTCCCGCGAGCCTTGCTCCCGTGTTCCCGAAATTCCAGGCGACACAGAGAGTCACCTGCAATGGCAAAGTACGCATTTTTTAGCTTGTTAGACTCCAGCAGTTATCCAAAGCCGTGGCCCTTGCCAACCTGCGGCTAATTCTTTCCGGGATTAGGTAAGCAGGGTGCGTCCCTCGTGTGGGGCGGCAGTGGGTGTGGGGGTGGTGGCGGGGGGGAGAGTGCGCATTACGTAAGTGGCAAGCACATGTGGAACTCCCAGTCTGGATACTCTTGGGCACAGCAATAAGTTAATAAGTTTCCGCACGCTTCAGACACCAGCTGATTAAAAAAAACATTCAACAGCTCTTTCCATGTGGTCCTTGCAGAATTCCATCCAATGCTGCAGCAGCAAAGCGAGCCTGGTGTTTTAAAACGCTTCCTTTGGAGCAAAATTGTAGCATAACATTTTTAATTTCACTCTTGCTCACAACCTCTGGGCCATTCCGTTGTCCGCTTAGTTCTCCACAAAGTGATTACTTTAACGGAGTGTTGACCTGACTTGGTTGGGACACTTCAGACAACAGCTGATTTAAAAAAAACATTCATCAGCTCTTTCCATGTGGTCCTTGCAGAATTCCATCCAATGCTGCAGCAGCTTAAAGCGAGTCAGTGCTTTTGCGAACAGTTGTATCGTTCACACAAAGTCCTTTCTCTCAGCTTGTGTCCTCGATAAGAGGGCTGTCACACTGACATTTCGCAGCGCAACACCAGAACGGTCAACGGGTGTTTGATCCGCAAATAGGACATCAAAATTCTGCTTTCTGAGTTCAATTACAATCGGTAAGATTATAGTGGTCATAAAAGTAGGGTTGAAAACTTTTTTTTCTAAATGTGAAATTATTTTAATATGGTTTTCTGCCTCTGTGTTATCTTCTTCAACCCAGAGAAGGAGCCGTCTCCACAGTCTCCTTCGACACCATTTGATATCACTCAGCAGGAAGCTCGCTGACTGGAGTTTGAGAGGCCTCACTGATATGTCAGCCCTTCACACGACTATCATCGAAAACCACACCATCAAACAAGAGTTGCCAGGAACTATTGTCAGTGATAATTTGTGTGTGTACCTATATGTGTATATATATATACGTATGTATGTGTGTGTGTGTGTCTGTGTGTGTAAGCGTGTATGGATGCATCTATGTATATGTATATACGTGTGTGTATGCGTGTAAGTGTATATGTACGTGTGTGTGCATGTATATGGATGCACGTGTATATACGTGTGTATATCAATATGTGCGCACGCGTGTGCATGTGTTTGTCTATATGTATGCAGGTGTATATGTGTATGTGTGCACACGTGTGTGTTTGTGTGTATATATATATATCATGTAAAAAGAGGCCTCTGATGAAGTGTCCAGCTCTTTCTTCACCCACCGTAGTCTTGGCATCTCTGTGGGATTGGGAGGGATTCTGGATTTCTTGGTCATCTCTTGAGGTTTCAGGTGACAATGAACCACATTTTTGACTCCTTAAATGGCTTAGGAAAATCAATGGCTGAAACAGGTTGCCAGCAATGGAGGCCAGGATACTGGACTCATTTAGAAAGCAGCTTGACCCGGGAGTGGGGGGGGGGGGTGCGCAACGTAGTGTGGGTGTTGTGGAGGGATGAGATCAGACAGGCCGAAGGACCTTCTTCATCCAGACCGGTCTTTTGAAGAGCTGGGTGGCCCCGTGTGAAGTTCAAAGGAGGTTTTACAATCTGGGAGGAGAAACCGGTGAACAAGCATCTTGTTCGAGGTTGGCCGACTAGAGCAATGCCTAAGAAACATAAACCATATTCTTTACACTGTTCAACACATAGAGCATAGCAACTGCACTCCAGCGACCAGCAGAAATCCCAAACCTCAGACCACAAGAAAAACTCAGTTGAAGAAGGCCCTTCGTCTCATTTGATCTCATCCTTCCAGATGGGCTGTATGGGCTTCTCATTACAACAATGAGATATTTCTTAATGAGATTTACCTCCAGTTGTTCTTCCTCGCCCAAATCTGTCCCTGACCAGGACTGCTACCCTAAGTGAAGGGCGCTGTTCAAAATACAAGTTTTTGTTGTTGATGCTGTTGAGGTCCACTGTCTTGGCCTCCACCACCCTACCTGGTAACCTGTTCCAACCTATCCTGACATCTGTCCTGAAATTGCCCTTCAGAACCCTGCTTCCTGGGTGTTAGCATTATTTCTATGTTGACACTGTGAATTTGATCGTTTCTCTGTGTCTAACATTGTGTGGCAGTTTACTCAGTCACAGATGTGTCACCAGATTAGTTTAGTCGAAAAAGGTCCTTCGGCTCATCTGATCGCATCTGTCCCCAGAACACCCATCCTATTTCAGCATCAAGCCGCTTTCTAAACACAATACAATACAAAAAAAGGACAGTCACAGCACAGCAGGCGCCTGGTCTCAACCACCCTTCCTTGCTTGTGGAGCAATTCGCTGTTCAGTGAGGTTGCATTTGATTTTTTTTTAAAAAAAGCAGCAAAAACAAAAGTCTCAAGCAACCGCTTGGGATTAAATTATTATTAGGAATTAGGAATGACAATTTGCGCTGTATTTACGCATCCCATTTGTTGGGTTTATGTCTTTCTGAACAGCATAAAGTTCACGTCTATGGGTATGCTGTCACCTGCTGACTGGAAAAAAGAAGTGCAGCAGGGGACGGTTCAGTGGTGGGTTGGACCTGCTCGTCTCTGGTTGGAATTTTTCAAGAAACATTTTCTGAGTGTTTCACTAAAACCACAACAGATCAACAAGCATGATTAATGCAGCACTCATTTCCTGAATGTTAGGAGTGGACTGTATTCACCATTACCTTCCCCCACCTCTCCTCCGCAAAAAACAGTGAGGGAGATCAAGCCTTTTCTCCTCTCGAACATTCCCCTGACCATTCCATCACATCTCTCCAATTATTTCCGTAGTTCATTGCTCTATGTACAATGGGTGCTATTTTGAATGTCTCAACCGCTTCCTCACAACAGAACCTCTGATGGTACAAAATAAATCACTTAGGGTAATATAATATAATATTGTGTATAATATTGCTCCTGTGGATTCAACTGATTTCAATCTCCGTAGCCTACCCCAAGGGCATCAGCTTCGGTCCCCACCTGACCTCATTCCTTCAATGTATTGAAATATATAATAACTGACATGCTTTGTTTGTAAATGGACATTATACAGCAACACAAACTTTCTGAATGTTTAGTGAGATGAATAGCGTTGTCAACAGCTGTTAAATGATTCCATTATTATTATTTTAATCAAAAATAAAATAACTTTAGGAAATGCCTCTGCTCTTCTCACAATTAATGACTTCAACAGAACACCGGAAGAAACTTTAAAATAACACTATGTGAGTTTTGTGGGGTAGATAGAGGGGTAAAACGGTGGTGAAAATTCCTTTGAAAAAGCGGCTCTGGGCTCCATCCGGAGGGGAAAATTGTCTACTGCAACTGCCGCTTGGGACTTCATGACGGGGGGAGTGGAGGTGGCGGTTGGTGGAGGAGTCAGTGATAGTTCACATTAAGAGATGAAGCCAGCAGCCTCCAGTTTAAAATCTCAGGCATCTGGTTCTCCTGGTTGTACAGTAAACTCTACAGCATTCTACAAGGCCCTGTCCCCCTCCGTCAGCCTCAATCCCAGCCATACATCGGCTTCACCGTGTTTCAGCACATTGAGGGCCTCAGCGTCAGGGCCTCTGTCTTCAGCTGTTCTCGGACCTTCTCAGAAAATTCAGATTTCTTGCTCTCTCACCATCACCACAACAACCACAACAAATGACATTTGTATATAGTTCCGTTCATGTCGAGAGAACATCCCAAAGCGCTGAACAGTCAAGAATGTGCACCCGAGCTGGGGGTTGGGATCAGGAGGGGTGGAGGGCAGGGAAGGTGGTGGGGGGGAGTAAGAGGGTGACCGAAGGCACAGTCGAAGAGGTAGATATTGAGATGGGCCTTGAGGGAGGAGAGGGAGGGGGCGAGGCGTAGGGACTGTGGGATGGAGTTCCAAAGGGTAGGGGGCAAAGAGGCTGAAGGTCAGACCTCCAAAGGCCAGAGAGAGTCCTGTTCACAGATAGAGAGAATGTCTTTGACCAAGGCAGCCTTGGTGCTGTGGACAGAGCGGAAACCGGATGGAGGGGTTCACGCAGGGAGCGCTGGGAAAGACCTCCCCACCCCTACTGTTCCCCTCAAGCCACTGAAAAGAAAAGCTATTTGGTCAATATTTTCCTCTGGCCATTTCCTTTTTTATATTGAAATATTGAAAACAAGCTGGGTTTGGGTGGTTAAATTTTATGCGTCACGATTTATTTGTTATTACAAAACTAGCTCTCGTACATAAAGCCACTCAATGAAAGCAAAGCGGTAGCAGTCTCAGGAGCAATTGAAATTTTAACTCTTTATTTCCTAAGCATTATCAAAGATTGACAATAACTTGCACTATGTCATGCATTTCATGTAGAAAAATGTCTTATTTGCCCACAAAGGATGAGGGGAGAGAGGTGATCGGGTCAAAAGGAATGGTTAACTGTGTCGAAAGCAGCAGAGAGGTCAGAAGGCAGAAGGAGTCCCTGGCTGCAGAGAGAGATTGTGTCATCAGTTACTTTGACGAGTTCTGTCTCTGGGCTGTGGGTAGGGTGGAAACTGGACTGGAAGGGCTCGAGCTATGGCAATGGCACGTTCCCGGACTTGAGATAAGGAGGGCATGTTGGAGATCGGACAGTAGCTGGGGAGTTTGGAGGGATCGAGGGTAGGTGTTTTTGAGGAGAGACGGATGGTGATAGGAGTTTTAAAGGTTGGGTACTGTGCCAGAAGAGAGAGACAGGTTGACTATGTCCGCTATCAGGGGCCAAAGGAGGAGCAATTGGATAGTCAGAAGCTGGATGGGGAGGAGTTTGAGGAGGTGGTGGGCTTCATGTGAAGGGCCAATGGGGATGAGATGGGAAGACGGGGAAGGGGCAGAGTGAAGGTTGGAGGTTCAATACATGTAGTTGAAAGGAAACCTATTGCATACATGAGGGAAAAGGGAATAGAAGGGCACAGAAGGGGGGAATAGGAGGGGTGAAGAGACTAGTTTGGCCTTATGACATGTTTCTGGGCATATCAATCTATGTAACACTTTGTAAGGGATGGATATCTCTGACCCAACAATCATTGTGAGGCAATGGAAATCCAGATTTCTTACAATATTGAAATATAAAGAAAGTAAATGACTGAAATAACAAGCTATTCTGCACTCTGCGTGTACAAAGTTTCCTAACGCCTTTCCTGGAAGCAATGATGGGCTCACAAAAGCTCAGACAACAAGCTGCAGCACATTGTTTATCAGGTAAAGGAGACAAGATCACTGTGAGTGTATTCAGCCAATGACAGGTTTGAGTGGATTCAAATAAAATTGGTCACGGCTGTTTGTAGGATTTTGCTGAGTGCAAATTGGCCCACAAAACACTCAGTCACCATTTTACAGAATATCCTGTGAAGCACTTTGAGACGTACTCCTGGTGTGATAGACGCTGTACTAAATGCAGGGAATATCATCAGTATATTATTATTATTATCATTATTATTGAGTTTGACAGCAATGTCACCCTAGAATAGCGGTAGTTGTGCAGTAGTACAGTAAATATCAATAATGGGTTTGGATCAAATATCACAGCCATTAAATTACTGAATAACAATCACTAGACAACAGTCTCCACGGTGAACGCTGCATTAAGCCGGTCTGACGATAATGATGGCGGAACCCTTAACATCATGCAGTTTGTTGCTGTCGAAATCCACCATCAGTTTTCCGTATACCTGCCTTGGTCGGTGTGAAGGGTACTGTGACCATCACCTCTTGTCCCGGAAGGACTTCACTTCTGCATTGATCCAGAGAATCACGAAGGAAAGGAAAGAAGTATGAGAGGCCTTTTTAATTTCTCTGTCATGTTTTTGATTGAAACGGCCAAACCTTCCACGTGTGATCTGAGGACGTGTGGGAGTGTGAATCACCGACCTCGCAACTGAATTGTCATCACGTCGACAATTCAGCAGATTACCAGGAAGGGTGGTTGAGGCCAGGACACTGGGACTCGTTTAAAAAGTGTCTTGACGTTGTGCCGGCAGGGTGAGTGTTGAGGACGGATGGGTTAAAATCATCCGAGGGGGCTTATTCATCCAATCCAAACTTGTGAATGGTTTGGTTCTCACCCTAAAAGAGTGTTAAATATTGGGAACTCTATATTCCCCCCCGCAATTTCCCATTCACCCTATCAACTCGGTTGCTCCCTGGCCTGCTCTATGTGGCCTTCCCCACCTGTCCCACCATCGGTGGTTGGGTTTTCACCCTACCTGCCCGCGTTCCCTGGAACCCCATTCTGGAGTCCCTCTGACTCGCTCTGCCCCTCCCTTCTCAAGACCTACCTTTTTTGAAGCGCTTTCAATCATCTTTCCCCTCCCCACCCGCCACTGGCTCCCACCCCCAGCTAGGAGCCCAGACAATAAGTTAGCAAATCGTAGGCACGTTGGAATGGTGTCCCGATGTGAAACGTGCTATAGAAACCGTAAATTTGTAAGTGTATTGTATTGCCAAAGTAACCTGGACAGAAACCCCTCTAGTTATTGGGTGGACCTCAAGGACTACACCAGACGATGTGAAGATTCACTGCACCATCTCCCAACGTTTGTATTTGGGTAAGTGTTACTCACGGAGATTGAACCTCTTGCAGATCGGTGAGCCCAGTCCCTTCCAGAGTGAAGAGCCCCTTGGTTAACGTGATGGGGAGGGGGTTTGAGAACTTGATTTGGGCAAGCAGTTCCCGGTTCAGGATTGGATTACCAATCACCTGCCACAAGAGAGAGAAAGAAAGAAAGAAAAAAATACACGTGGAAAGGATTTCAAAGGTGAACATCAGTTGCGCACACCAACTCGATTCTGCGCACGTTTCGTCCGCGCTTCACTCCTGAAATAGCCGTCTTTTCGCTCCGGAAACGTAAAGGAGTGAAATCCGTGGCTCCCGTGAGGACACTGACCTTCACAGCAAGCTGGGGCAGGGTCAGGGCAATGTCGCTTTTCTTCAGAGTCACTTCGGACCTGTTGTTTGACGTGGCTGCGGCAATCAGTCGCATCACGTTGTGCTCGGAGAGATGTTCACCGTAGTCGTTGTATTGAAGCCTCAGGACTTCTTTTTGTACTGAGCCAAAAGGAAAAATAATAACGATTACAATCCTTGCATCGGATGCAGCGCCTGATCGCGTCGTCGAGACATCTCAAAGGCGCCTCGCGGGACGTATCGAAAGTGGTTTGACTGCATATTTAGTGGGTGAAATGTGGCAGCTGATTGCGCACTGCAAGAAAAGGTTTACCTGCGAAAGCCTTCAACTCAAAGTTCTTTGTCTTCTTGATGAATTCCCTTAAGATGACTCCGTTGTAGGTCACGGTGTGGGCAGAGATGTACAAGTTGATATCGCGGTCCGTAAAGCCAAGATTACAAACGCTGACATAGACATCGAAGTCAGACCCCAGGACGGGCTGAGCGTACTTAATGGTAATCTTGACTTCCTTGTTTGAGGAGATGGAACTGAGCTTCATTCCTGCTTTAGTGTACACTTTCCTTTCGTTGACAGAACCTGCAATATACAGCAATACAGATGGCAAGAGCATCAAACAACACTGCTAATACCGACTCTACCCACCCCACCCCCCGCCCCCCACCACCCCCGCAGACACTGTGATAATATTGCAAATGACTGTGATCTCTGCTTCTTTTCGGTCTGTGGGCTTGTCCGTATAGTGTACTAGTCCATATAGTGTACTAGTCCATGTCTGTTTGTAAGTAGCTGGACCAGAGGAAAGCCTTTAGAAAATACAGTGATAATGGGAGATTGAGTCAGTGTTAGCCAGGGATTTCCTACTTCTCATTACGATCCATTCACCCAGGCTGGGAAGTGTTGAGGGAGCACAGACTTAGGTTTAGCTGTGATGTCCCCAGTATCGTCCACACTGCTCATACATGAAGAGCTTAAACATAAAGAGAGTCCACTTGGGAGAATTACAGGCTTTGTGGAACTGTATCCCTGCAAGAGTCATTGTGGAACCAAACGGTCACTGTGGTACTGTACCACAGCAAGAATCAGCACTGGAGGATGGGGCTGGGTAGAATTAATGTTTAAAAATAAAGATGCATAAATAAATAATCCTTGCATTTTTGATATAGCGCCTTTCATGTCTGGAGGACGTCTCAAAGGACTGATTCACTGTAAAGTGTGTATTTTGTAGGAAAATGCGGCAATCAATGTCCACAGCAATGTCCCACAAACAGCCATGTAGACCAGTTTTATCTGGGGGATTGTTGGCCAGGACACCAGGAGAGAGAGACTCACTTCTCCTTTCTAATAGGAGCTACACGATCCTTAACGTCCAGGAACAGGCAGACGGCACCCCGGTTTAACGTCTCCTCCGAAGAATGCTGCCTCCTACAACTCAACACTTCCCCAGCGCTGCAATAGAGCGTCAGCCTGGATAATGAGCTCAATGTACCCGACGTGAAGCTTGAACCCAACAATCTTCTGACTCAGAGGCGAGAGCGTGCTACCGATTGAGTCAGGCTGACACCTGGAAAGAACGTTAAGGAATACAAAAAAAAGTCCACTTTGTTTGAACGCACATAGTCGACAGCCCTTACCCTCCGGGTATTTATACTCGTTTGTGATGTCCTCTCTACGGTCATCGTAGACACTCTTTGTACTGATACGCTTCCCCACTTTGTTTTGCTCGACTTGCACCTCGCTCTTCGAGCCATTTCGGTTCACAAGCCAGGAAACCACATCAGCATTCACCTCGGCAAAGATGAACGGAGCGTCATACTTCACATCAACGTCGCCTTCTCTTATTGCCCTGACTGGGCAAGGGCCACAGCAGTATACACCTGGCACAGCAGGAAATCAACAGAGAGTTACTGTAGGTCAGAGGAGCTGAGTGCAGAGAATCTGGGGGAAAGGGCATGAACAGAAAGGGACAAAAGACACTGAATCTCATTACAAAATCCCTCTAAGAAAGTGTTAGTGAGTCCGCAACAAAGGAGCATAAATAAAGGACAGTCACTGGCAGATGTAAAAGAGTTTAGGAGGAATTTCTTCACAAAGAGGGTGGTGATGATGTAGAATCCACTGCCAGAAGCTGTGGTTGAAGAAAAATGCTTCAAGGTATTTAAGAGCAAATGTCTCAAAGCGCTTCACAGGATTTACTGTAAAGTGTAGGGACTCTGTATTTTTGTAGGTTAACGCAGCATCCAATTTGCACACAGCAATGTCCCACAAACGGCCATGGAGTGAATGACAAATTTTATTTGGGTGTTTCTTGGCCAAGACACCGGGAGGAACTCTCTTCTCTTTTTGAATAGCACCATGGGATCTTTAACATCCACCTGTACAGGCAGACAGTTTACGTCTCATCCAACATCTCCAACAATGCAATAATACAATACAATATACATTTGTATAGTGTCTTTCATGTCACAAGGAAGTCTCAAAATGCAGTGCTACACTGGATCGTCAGCCTAGACTATGAGTTAAAGTCCTGACTTGGAGCTTGAACCTGCAACCTTCTGACATTTCAGGCCTCAAGTCTATCTGTTGGACAGGGAAGGGAGGAAATTCTGTCAGGTTCTTTTATTTAGGTCACAACCTGGTACTAATTGCCAAAGCTATGTTTGTCAAGCTTTTGTTCTGACCATACTGACCACCGCTCTTCTCTTGCGGAGTAGGATCCAAGACTTGCCATCCATCATAGCCAGAGCTGAGGTCACGGCGAGCCATCCATGATTCCACCCAGCAATGATAATTCCTGTGTAAATAGCGGACGAGGGTAAAAAAAAACAATCGGCAACAAACCACCCGGATTTAAGCTTGGATTTGACAGGAATTCATTTTACCCAGAGAGTTGTTGCGATTTGGAATGCACTGCCTGAAAGGGTAGTGGAAGCAGATTTGATAGTGGCTTTCAAAAAGGAATTGGATATATAATTGTAAAAGAATAATATTCAGGGCTATGGGGTAAGAGTGGGGTAGTGGGACTAGTTGGATAGCTCTTACAAAGAGCTAGCACAGACACGATGGGCCAAATTGCCTCCTTTTGTGCTGTATGATTCTGCGAGTGTTGCTCCGAGGTATTGTTCTATGGGGAAGGGCGCTATGTAAAGGTAAGTTGCCACTGAAGTCAGGCAATTTTTAACCCACGTTCAAATCTTCAACAGAGCCACAGACTCAGCAAAGGTCAGTAAGCCCAAGCAATGGATCAACCATTTCAAGGGGTAAGACTTCACTTTGCAGGAACTAATAATCCTTACATTTGATATAGTGCCTTTCAAAAACAACAACAACAAGTTACATTTATACTACCACGTTGGGCGCTGGACTGTCAAGGATTTGCACGGTTTAAAAGATTTCATGTCTGAAAAGCGCCTCGCAGGATTTTACTGTGAAGTGTAGTAGCTTTATTTTGTAGGTGGACCAATGGTAACAATTACTAATACCCACCATATTGAATCTTTCTTTTCCGAAGGCAATGGTTGCAAGGTTTCTTCGCTGTAGTACCGGTCCACTTGGAGATTGCCGTCAGTGTCATGGGCCGAGCAAAAGTTTGTGATACAGCGAGTGGGTATCCCCAAACATCTCAACACTGGGCACCAGGGGCGACAGAACGAGGGGAAAAAATTCATGTTAATAAATCCACAGGGAATCAATATCAAAGTGTCAGTTTCTAAGCAAACACTCAAGTGATGGGGAGTTGCAAATTATTCCAGAATCTCTCTAAGGAAAGTGCCCTTGAGGTAGTAATAATAATAATCCTTACATTTGGTATTGTACCTTTCACATCAGGAGGACGTCTCAAAGTGCTTCACGGGATATACTGTTGTATGTAGTGACTGTGATTGTTGTAGGCAAATGTGTCAGCTAATTTACCTACTAAGCCAACCTGTCTCCGCTCCCATGTTAGGAGTGGAAAGGCAGCTTTTCATATTATATATATAATATATATATTTCTGGAGTATTTTCACAAGACGAGGGATGATATTAACTGGGGAATAGAATCACTTTTCAGTTCTGACGCCCATCGGCAGCATCAATTACCACTGAAAAGCAACTGTGATGGTGGTGGGGAGGGGGTGCTGGGGTGGGGTGGGAGTGGGGTGCGTTCTGAAAGGATGGTATCAGATGGGTCGAAGAGTAAGTGAAATTTCAAGCCTTCCATTCTATTACAGTCAGTCTAAGTGCTTGGGTGGAGATACCGAATATGAAACATAGGACAGGAATCTTGCTGCAATGATCTGATTGCTTCTGTCTGTTTACTGGATCTCACTCACAGTGAGTAAGCGCGGTTTCTTACTTGTTCCACAAGTGGGAGAGAGAGAGAGAGCGAGAGAGAGAGAGAAATACCGTAACCAAAGCTCGAACAGATCTTTCAATTGAACATGTTTCCATCACCGTAACATGCATGGTCTTACCCGTACAGGTGACGGCAGCAAACACCCAGCACTGGCCGTATCTAACCGCCTGAGTACCAGAGCTGCTCCACATGCGTAGGATGGAGTGACTCCCTGTCCACTTAGTGGGGGGGGTTCCACCAGAGTAATTCCCGTCCCATCTTCCCGAGAGCACCCCATTGTCGTCGTTTGAATTCACCTTTATCGGGGAGAAAAGGTGAAGCACCTGCTGTTAGCTTTGGTAATAAATAACTTATAAAAGATATCCATCAAAGAAAGGGTCTTTTTTGCGCGGAAATCTATCTCCAATTTTCTCTCTTCCTGGGCTCTATTGCAATAATTTTGGTCACTCAATCCACGACCATGGGACGCTGCTGCACACAATTGGCTGCCGCGTTTCGCTCACAAAATATACATTTGTTTCACTTTTGCAAGACGGTATTTTCTTCAGAAGCACCTCTATCAGCGGACATGTTTCCATGACCACAATTAGGATAGTACAGCTCAGTGGGAAGGTCACATTAGAACTTATAGACGGAGGCTTGATTGGACATTTAATGTCATCTACCCTGTTCTAATGGCAAGTCTGACATACAAGGTGCAGCCAAAGACAAAGCTGCTGGACCACAGAGATCTCACCATTGCTGACACTGTTCTGCATATGTAAACAGGATCGTTCCTCTTCGCTACATCATGTGACAGACTTTTCAGAGCAGACGGACTGTTGTCCAGGATTTTAAAGCAAATATCCACGACGTCTTTCTCAAACTGTAAAAAAAAACAGGAAAAAAAATCATACTTGAACTCAATATTTATCTCATCCGGTCAAAACATCTCAAAGCATCTCACACATTGGGCTAGTCTGAAATACTGTGGTCTGTGGTGTAAACACTATATCCAGCAAAGTCCCACTGTGCCAACAGTGAGATGATTGACTACATCTTATTCTTTTAGGGAGTGAATTTGAACGAGGGAGGAATTTGACAGTGAATTCAGAGTACGTAGTTCCCTGATAAAGTACTAACATTTATACAGCACCTTTCACACTGGGAGGACGTCCAAAAGAGCATTCACAGTGCTGGTTGGGCACGCGAGCTGGAGGTGGGAACTGAGGGAGGTCACTACACTTTACAGTGTATCCTGTGAAACCCTCTGACACATGAAAGACGCTGTATCAAATGCAAGGTTTATTATTTTAGTGAGGAAATGAATCTCGATTGAAGAAGGTTTAAGAATGAAGCCATCTAAGATAAGCATTGGTAGCTGTTGGTTAGACTGGTGAGAGACATGAAGAAACTGATCCCAACACAGTTACCTTTGCCCCCATTGAAGAGCAAGGAAGAGATTAAGCTTTATTGATTCACACAGTGAGAGGAGTGAAGGTTGTAGTGTGGGGATGGCTGGGATCGGAGTGGAGGGAGGATCTGAAGAAAATAAATTAACACAGGGCGAGTTATCAACAGAAAAGTGGATAAAGTTGAATAATAAGTTGAAGTGTGAGAGGCATTTCTGAACTAGTGCGGAGAGAGGAAAATAACCTAACAACCAAAAAGCGAGTGTTAAAAAGTAACAATGGGTGAATTCTTTAAAACTTGTAAGTTGTTACTTGTCCAAAGGTCCAGGGCAAGGAGTAAATATCAGCGACCGATCCTTGGTAGAGCATCCCATTTTCATTCATCACGTACTCCTGGAGCAGATCCTGATCACCCAGATAGACAGCATCCTCTTAAAGAAACGAGAGTGAGGGATAAGTACTCTAAGTACTCCACAAACAATTTTATTTCCTCCTCGGCTTCTGAACGCAGTGACTTGGGTTGAGAGCCTCAGCCACTCACTCTTCTGCACCTCCAGCCACAACCATCGACTGAAGGTTGACCCTAGGACTATTCTCTGGTTTTAAGAGGGGTGAGGGTTTAAGATGGAGCGTTACCTTTACACCAGGGGTTGAAGAGAAGGTAGAAATGTCCTGCAACGATCCGCTGAATGGGTCGCCCCTCCTTCGAGGAGAGCAGCAGATACATCTTGTAGTATCCTATCACTGCATTGGCTGAGCTGTGGATGGTGAGATTGAGTTGGCCAGGGACAGACTGCAGACTGAAGCTCCAGTTGCCTGAATTCACTCCAGAAGCCATTTCAATCCGAGTTCCGTTAGCCACTGTGGGCTCGGGCCCTGTCCACATAATGGAATCTCTTTGAAGTAAATACGCATTCAACAACGGTTTGTTAATTCAGTAAAGGGGGCATTCCAGGGGGCAAAGAAGTGTAACTATTTGCAAAAGTTGCTTCTAAAGTTCAAGAGGGTTTATTTGAGTCTCCGCTTATGCACATTTCACATCAGTTTGTCAGTTTTAATGACCTGCGTTATTGCACTCTCATTGCAACTCTAAAATGTTTAGAATATTTAACTATACTTGAAATGAATCGCTTGCACATTTTACAGTGCTAATTTCATGTCATAATTCAGTAAAGGAATCTCAGGGGTCTGTCACTTGGCTTAAAACAGAATCAAGTGTGGGATGGGCGGGAGAGGGTTATAGATTGAAGACGCAATACAATTTGATCTTTACCCGATGGCTTTAAATCCTTGTTATTGACGTGGAAATCAAAGTGGATTCGCAGGAAGGCCAAAGCAAAGTTTCGCTCACAAAATACACAGTCATTCCACTTGACAGTATATCCTGTGAAGCGCTTTGAGACGTCTCAATGATGTGATAAGGCGCTATATTAAATGTAAGGATTATTATTAATGCTATCATTAAAGGTTTGTAACTTTGGCTGTAAATGGAAATGATTTTCTGTCGTGAAACGCAATCGGGGTTACAAACCTGTCTCCAGAATGACTGACAACTGGTCTTCACCCTTTTGGAAACCTCTGGCTTTGAAGTCCACAGCCAGGTGGAAACTCTGTCCTCTTCGCAGCAACAGCCGCTGAGTGTCGATTTCAACTGTGCGATGGTTGGTGTTGTTGGACACGCACAGCAAGTCCACGGCCCCCAGCAACAGCTCAGCAGCTTTCAGAACCAATTGAAACACAATTTCAGCCCAGCCGTTCACACAACCCTCTGGCTCTCAAACAGCTACAACAACAACTTGCATTTATATGGCGCCGCTCACGCAGAGTAGCATCCCAGAGCGCTTAAAGACTCAAAGCCAGTGTAAAAACATCCAATTCCGGGTGGTGCTGATAAACTCACCGGCGCATTTTTACCACAACGTAAATTCTAAAAAACATCTAGGCGAGTGGGAAACGCTAAAGTAAAGAGGAATTATTGTTACAGTTCGCCTTCCACTTTCCTGGCAGTCGCTCGCATGCATCAAGTCCTGGACTAACCGTGTACTGTATTCCAAAATATTGTTTCCTAAAATAAATCTATCTAGTTGTCATTTTGAAAGAATCAAAGCGCTGCACTAAAGAGTTTTTTCAAAAAAAGTTACGTGCGGTGTATTTAAAAATCATTTTAAAAAGTGTGTGTGTGTTCTCCTGTGTTAATATCATTTGTCCTCATTTGTATCTCTTACCGTTAGCTGTCATGTTTGAAGTCCTCCTTTAAAGTTGTTTTCACTTCTGCACTGCGATCTGAAAAGTTACTCTCTCTCTCTCTCTCTCTGTACTCTGCTCTTTACGTTGGTTTAAATGGTCCAGTTATTTATACACTTTCTAATGTCAGATTTCCGAACTAAATAGCCATCAGGTTCCACGTGGGGACAAAGGAGTCTATAGTTAGGTCACTTTCTTGACCAATGCCAGAATTCTGAGAAAAAACTTGTGCAATCCCGCTCACTAGAAATGTTCAGCTCCGAGAGCCAAGGTTGTCAGGATAACATAGAGCCGAGAGAGAGAGGGGGGGGCAGTCAGCTATTTGAAGTCAGCCTGTTAGTGCAATTGAGCAATACTTTCACACTCTTTCCTAATCTCACCACAGGGTTTCTCAACTGGCAATTCACCAGGAACTTAAAACACTGTAAATTGAAATCTTTAATGTCTTCACTACAGCACTGAGGTATTAATCTTCAACACAGGCTCTCAGATATCAATATTAATCCCTGTATTTGATACTCCGCCTTATCCCGTTGTCGAGACGCGTGAAAGCGCTTCACAGCCATGGAGTGAGTGACCATTTTTTTTTATCTTGGGGAAGAAAATCCCTTCTCTTTTCAAATAGAGCCATGGGATCTTTAAAGTCCACCTAAACAGGCAGATGGGACCTCGGTTTAACATCTCATCCGAAGGGCAGCACCTCCGATAATGTAATGCACCCCCCCTCCCGGCACTGCATCAGAGTGTTAGCTTAGACGATGTGATTCCAAGTCCCAACGTGGGGCTTGAACCCACAACCTGACTCAGAGGTGAGAGTGCTACCACTGTGCCAGGCTGACACACCATTAACCTTCAACACAGTGCTGAGGTATTAACCTTACAATATGTTCAGCAGAAATAACCGAGGGGCAAATGTCAGTGATCACACACACGGTATTAAGTTTCATATCAAATTTATAAATTCATCATAATAGTCAATAAATAAATAAATCTTAATTTACAAAATAAATCATCAACCAGAGCAAATCATTGCAATAATAATCAAATAATATCTGAAGGAAAAATGAACATGTGTTGATAAGCCACAGAAACAGGAGGAGAAAGTGCTTTGCGTTCAGCATTGAGTGGGGGGGGGTGTGAGGGTGTCGGCAAGGTGGAGCACTCGGGCAGATGAACCCCTTTTAAACACAGCAACAAAATAATTGATGACACTGTTTCTGATTGACTTTAATTGTGTATTGTGGTGTCAGTGCCTCAGGAGTTGAGATGAGGGTTCAGGCTTAGTATCTCCCAAGGGCTGAGTTGCATCTATGTTAAGAAGGAAATAGTGGTGGAAATTACTCTCCCGGTGACTGATGCAGAGCAGCACTGGCAAAGAGCAATAAGCCAACTTTTCAGCCATGGGTTGTGCATGTCACCAGATGAGAGAGAGGCCAGGCTGTGGGGTGGGGGGGAAGGAAGCGGTAGAACACATTAATATCCTAGGAAGCAATTGTACACGTTTATAGACTCTGAATTTCCAGTCATAATCTTTAAACTGGCTACGATTTTAACTTCCTAATCCTGCACTCTTCATTGCTTTACTTAGGTCTTGCAAACTAACTCATTGCACTTTCACCTTCTAGATGTTTCAGAAGGAATGACTCACATTTTCCTTAAAATTGTACATTTCGGGTCCTCCCAAAAACACTCACATACCACGACCGGGAAAAGCCAGTCTACTCTGACAAACAGTGCGTTAACTAAGGCAGTGAACTGGCTGACATTGCACACCAGGTCACCTACTTAACCATGAAAAACCAATGACGTCTAACAATATTAATAATAATAATCCTTGTATTTGATATATAGCACTTTTCACATTGTTGAAGCATCTCAAAGCGCTTCACAGAATATATTGTAAAGTGAATTAACTGTATATTCTGAGGGCGAAACTCAGCAGCCAACTGCGCACAGCAGCGTCCCACAAACAGTCATGGATTGAGTGACCGAATTATTATTTGTAATTGTGCATTGTGGTTTCAGTGCCTTGAGTGTTCAGGAGGGGGGTTTAAGCCCAGTACCTCCCAACAGTGGTTGGTAAGTGTGCCGTGTGTGGTGTGCCCAGTTCATTTGGCCTTAAAGATAATTTCAGTAATTTCTGCTCTGCTTCCAAGTCTCATCGGAATGCCGTAGAAAACTGTCCCAGGCGTGACGTAAATAAAACTGTTCTCTCCAGCTTTGTAAAGGCCCACAAAGAATGGATTCAGCAAATAGGCACCAATTGACAAGGGGAAGATCTGGCCAGCGTGGGTGTGACCTGTGTGAAAGGGAATAAAGAAGAAAATTAGCTTTAATTCTCAGAAATTGTCTTTGTTAAGCTTGTGCTGTCAAGAGTGCAATCAGCATGTGTTCTTACACATACAGATCTACGAGCAGAAATGCCACTGGGTATAGATTTACATGGCCAATGCAGCCCTTAAAAGCATGCAGCTCTGGTAAATTACTGCATTCAGTTTTAATGCTGAAGCCTATTTTCTGTAGCTCTTAGAAGCACTCACAGAAACCTGGCTTCAAATTTAAAGTTAAACGAATTCCACTTGGGTCAAGATTTGCTAATAATGTTACGTTCCTGAGAGTCTAGAATTTGGCAACTTCTGAAATCTTTAAATCCGTAAATTAAAACCCAGAAGGAATTTTACCCCTGTGGTTTATCAGCCACGACAACAACTTGGATTTACCTAGCGCCCTTCAAGTGGGGTAGGGTGCCAGTAGCACTTCACAGTGGCGGAGTCTGACAACGAGTCGGGGGGAGAGGGAGGTAACTGTAAGCGCGATCAAAAAGGATCGTGGTAACACGCTGGTAACAAACCGTCTTTGAAATAGAAGTCTGTTGCTCAGACGGACATTAGCTCTGGGATCTGTCCCAAAGCAGTTTACGACTAAGGTTTCAAAATGTTTGATGTAGCCTGCTGACTGAATGTGACAAACTGGGCGCTGATGAACAGCAGCAGGCCCTGTCACTAACCACCTCGTCACTAACATTCCTATCTCTGTGCTTAGCAATCTCATCGACAATTTCTGGAATTCTAATGAGTTCCCTTCACTCATTAAGTCCACTGTGCTACCAAAGTGACCTGTGGTGCCCTGTACCATCAAATTGACCATCAACCTCGCTATGGCATACTCTCACCAGACTGTCCGTTAGCTACTCCCGTGGCTAACTGTGACACCAAACTGCCCATGAATCATGGGAAGCCACAGGAAGGGCTAAGCTATTGGAGGCGTGTTTCTTGGCAGTGTTAAATGATACAGAATGCTCAGACCTCGTGAAGACACAGCCTAAGGCACGTCCCCCTTTAGGCGTATTCAGCAGTTGCCTCCCTGCTGATGCAATGCTGAACAATCGTCGTGTGATGCTGGTATCTCAGTCGATGCGAGCAAAAGACAAAGAGGTCATTGTGTCAGCATGTAAGACCTGGGTGTGAGGGCTGATCTGTGGATCACCAGCAAAGAGCAGAAGCTTCTCAAACAGCTCTCGATATCCCCACGGTGATTTCCGGTGGAGTTTGACACGGGAAAATATTCCAATATTAAATTATATTACTATTACAAGGTTGCCCCATCACCCCCCTCTGTCACTAAGTGGAGAGACAAGTTGATTTAACAAGAGAGTTGCTCTCAGGAGACTGTAAACCGAGATTCGTCTGGAAAGCTGGTTGGGATCAGAGTCAAACAAAGAGAAGCTTAATTTCAAGGCACAATGTCTCTACTTATTGGTGCGGTTGGGAACTGTGGTCTCTCTCCTCTACGTTGAAGGCTTTATATAGGTCCCTGAGGCCCTGCGGTACAGAATGAATGTACCGATGTACAGAGCATAATCAGCAACCACACCCTGAACCTCTGGAACTCCTTCCTTCTACCTCTCCATCTCGACATCACTTTTTATCCATCCTTAAATCCTATCTCTTCGACTGCACCTTCCCCTCCCCTCGCTCTATGACTTGACGTGAAGGGCACTATATGAACGCAAGTTGTTTGGCATATAATAGATCACTTGCCCCAAGCTGCTCACGCCACAAAAAAGGATATTTAATATAATAATAATCCTTGCATTTGATATAGCGCCTTACCATGTCATCGAGACGTCTCAAAGCGCTTCACAGGATATACTGTCAAGTGTATTTTGTGGGCGAAACGCGGCAGCCAATTGCCCACAAACAACTGTGTAACAAGTGACCAAATTATTATTTATTTTTTGGATGGATTATTACCCCCCCAGAAAGCGATTCGCCTATCGACTAACAACCGGGTTCCGACTTACTGCTGGTAAAAAGAGGCGTGTGGACTAAGGAAACTGGCTTAAAGTTTTGCCCACCCATGTTTTGCTTTGCTCCCCCTCCCATGTTTTCCAAACTTCCTGATCACCACGAGCCCAAAAATAAGAAAGTTTGTAACTCAGTAATGATTCACTGCACCAAACAGCTTGTGAAACACAAACAAACCCTCCCTCCCCACACAAATAACCACAGGGACCTTTTACACTGAAATGCACATTAAAGGCGGCTTGTTCACTTTTGAAATGAGCCACTGACTCGAATTCCTCCTCCTGGGTAGCCTTGCATTAACAGACACACAGTATATCAACCCAGCCTTAAACTCAATGTCCAGCATTGCTCTTGGGTCCGTTCCCATGATATCCTTTGTACCCTCCATCCACCCACTTCCTCTATACAGAGCGTCAAACTGTTACTTTCTCTGAAGGGTACTGTGTAAATGCATGCTATGGTTCTTGTTCACTGATGACAACGGTCAATATGTGTCAGATATGTTCTCAGCACACAGCTCTCACTTCCTATCGTTGTGAATCTGTGGCCAGAAGGTGTCTCGACCTAAAATTGAGTTCATCATTTCACATCTTCCTGGAATCCAGAGTCACACTGTGGGTGCGTTTTCTTGTTAATAATTAATAATCCTCGCATTTGACATAGCAACTTTATCATATCGAGACGTCTCAAAGCCCTTCACATGATAAACTGCAAAGTGGATTGACAGTGTATTTTAGGGGCAAAACCGGCAGCCAGTTTGCGCTCAGCAATGTACCAAAAACGGCCGGCCATGGAGAGAGTGGCCAATTTTATTTGGGGGATTGTTGGCCAGGACACCGAGAGAAACTCTCTTCTCTTTTTGAATAGTGCCCTGGGATCTTTAACATCCATTAGAATACATTAGAATATACAGAACAGAAACAGGCCATTCGGCCCAACTGGTCTATGACGGTGTTTATGCTCCACATGAGCCTCCTCCTGCCCTTCCTCAACTAAGCCTTCAAGCATAATCTTCTATTCCTTTCTCCCTCATGTACCTGTTTAGCTTCCCCTTAAATACATCTGTGCTATTTGCCTCAACAACTCCTTGTGGTAGTATGTTCCACATTCCCACATTAAGTTTATTAATGTCTTGCTGTAATTTGTTGCAGTGCTCCTCTGTATTAACTACTCCACCCATCCCATTTGTGGTGTCATCCGCAAATTTTGAAATTGTACTGCTGATTCCTGAATCCAAATCATTAATGTATATTGTGAACAACAGTGGGTCCCAATACCGATCCTAGTGGAACACTACTGCCTACCCCCTGCCAGTCTGCGTAGCAACCCTTTACCCCTACTCTGTTTTCTGTTTTGTAGCCAGCTTGCTATCCATTCTGCTATTTTTCCCCTGACTCCACATGCTCTGACCTTATTCATTAGTCTATTATGTGGTACCTTATCGAACGTCTTTTGGAAATCTAAATATATTACATCTACTGCATTACCCTTGTCTACTCTTTCTGTTACCCCATGAACAGGCAGAGGCGAGAGAGTGCTACCACTGAGCCAGGCTGACACAAGGAATGGGTTATGAAACGCCGTGGATATTACCATCAAGCTGTTATATCCAATTCTGTCTTAATTCAGTTTCCTGCACTTACGTCAGCTGAATGCCTGCCGTAAAGGACAAAGTGAGATGTAAAAGTCTTTACCTGAGAGGATGAGGCTGATGTCTGGCCTGGTTTGTAGGGCACGTTTTGCAGCTAATGGCTGGTGAGCCAACAGCACGATAGCATCCGTGGGACTGCAGCCGTCCAGAGCTTTCTCCAGGTCCATCCCGTGTCCAGGATACCTGCACAGCAGAGAGGCAACAGGTCAGGAGGTGACAACTGTACCCAGTGCCATGTTCAGGCCGGGTTCAGTTTGCTCAGCTTTGGATTGCCTTGTTTTTTTCCACGCACATCAGACCCCGATATAACGTGGTGGTCAATAACTTAGCCACGCAGTCAAAGCCAGGAGTGTACTGCACTGCCAGTATACTAAACCTACTGTACACCCACGCCATAAACAGACCCAGGCAACACCAGAGGGTAATACAATGGGCCCGATCGTATTGCTCTCTTTCCATTCCCAACCCCCAGCCCCTGTAATTTTCTCATCTCCTATGCTGCCTTGTGCTGGCATTGGGTTTCATCTGTGTGGAACCTCCTCCCCTCTCTACCCCCCCCACTTTGCATCGCATGAGTTAATCAAGGAGTGAGAGCCGCCAGGCTGTGTCATGGGGGAGAGGGTGGGGGGGCTCGGGTGGTGAGAGGGCGGAGATTTTTAACCGCAATGTAAATTCTAAAAACATCTAGGAGCATAAGGAATGCTAGACTAAAAAAAGACAGAAGTCTTATGTTACAGTTCGCCTTTCACCTTCCTGGCAGCATGCGTCAAATCCTGAACTACTCGTGTACTGTATCCTAAAATATTGTTTCCTAAAATAATTCTATCTAGTTGGTATTTGAAAGAATCAAAGCTCTGCACTAAGATTTTTTCAAAACAGTTATGTGCGGTATATTTGAAAATCATTTAAAAAATGGTGTGTGTTCTCCTGTGTGAAGGTTAATATCATTTGTCCTCACTTGCATCTCTTACAAGTACCTCTTAAAGCTGTCATGCTTTAAGCCCTCTTAAATTTATCTTCACTTCTGCACTGCGATCTGAAAAGTTACTCTCTCTCTCTCTAGCTCTCTGAACTCTATCTTCACGTTGACAGGACGAGGGTCTGGTTTAAAGGGTCCAGTTATTTATACACTTTCCAATGACAGATTTCCAGACTAAATAGTCATCAAGTTCCACGTGGGGATAAGAGATTAAGAACATAAGAACATAAGAAATAGGAGCAGGAGGAGGCCATTCGGCCCCTTGAGTCTGCAGCGCCATTTAATAAGATCAAGGCTGATCGTCTAACCTAATTCCATTTACCCGCCCTATCCCCATATCCCTTAATCCCTTTAGTTTTTAAAAATCTATCGATCTCAGTCTTGATTATGTTTAATGACTGATCATCCATAGCCTTCTGGGGTAGAGAATTCCATAAATTCACTACCTTCTGAGTGAAGGAATGTTTTCTCAACTCAGTTCTAAACGGCTGACCTTTAATCCTGAGACTATGACCCCCAGTTTTAGATTCTCCAACCGGGGAAATAGTCTCACACGATCGACCCTGTCAAGACCCTAAAGAATCTTATAGGTTTCTATACGATGACCTCTAATTCTTCTATATTCTAGAGAATATAGGCCTAGTTTACTCAACCTCTCCTCATAGGTCAACCCCCTCATCCCAGGAACCAACCTAGTGAATCTACGTTGCACCCCCTCTAAGGCGAGTATATCCTTTCTTAGATAAGGAGCCCAAAACTGCACACAATATTCCAGGTGCAATCTCACCAAGACTCTATACAATTGCAGTAAGACTTCCCTACTCTTGTACTCTAACCCCTTTGCAATAAACGCTAATATGCTATTAGCTTTCCTTGTTGCTTGCTGTACCTGCATAATAACTTTCTGTGACTGTGGACAAGGATACCTAATTCCCTCTGAATACTAAGACTAACTATCTAGTCTCTCCCCCTCTCGAAAATAATCTGCTTTTCTATTTTTCCTACCTAGGGGAATAACTTCACACTTCCCCACACTATACTCCATCTGTCACTTTCTTGCCCACTCACTTAACCTATCTATATCCCTTTGCATCCTCGTGTCCTCCTCACAGCTTACTTTCCCACCCAGCTTTCTACTGCCTGCGAAGTTAGATACATTAAGCTCTATTCCCTGTGTTGCCACTGCAATAGATCCACCGACCCCCCCCCCACCCCAGACAAAGATTTGCCAAGTGCCCATCTTCTATCCTCTCCCGCAATCCCTCACCGTTTGGTACCACCATAACCTGAAAATTGTCCTCGTTTTTACATGAACCCAAGCTTTAGAGTAAAAACAAAATCACTATAAATCGGGCTGAAATCAACAATAAAGCCCCTGGCTTGGCCCAGAAGGGAACCCGCAAAGAGTCCAGTTTTGCTAAGCCCTGGGCGGCTCGTTATCAATGCTATTAATAACAAATAATAATCCTTGCATTTGATTTAGCGCCTTATTACGCCGTTGAGACGTTGCAAAGCTTCACAGAAATATTGTAAAGTGGATTGACTGTGTATTTTGTGGGCGGAACGCGGCAGACAGTTGCGCACAGCTGTGTCCCACAAACAGTCTCCCAGTGACTGCTCTGAGCTTTAGTGAACAAGCCGCTGATTGTTATTTTGGGGGAAAACCATTGCTGCTGTGACTTCCCGAGTGTTGAAACAGTGGAGTTGCCGTGTGCCTGGGAGGTGGGAGCTGACCTCACTGCATTTGACATTCCCGGAAAAGCTTCTGTGTTCGAGCCTATTCGACACATTCCACACTGGAGCGCAGGGCACGGCACCAGCCCAGCACCCCAGGTTCTGGCTGGTCTTAGCCTCGAAGACTATTTTGTCTTAAAACTCAAACTCACAGAATTGTGGAACATTCTCGGGTCCAGTCTTAATGTGGGGTAGTTCTTACAATCGGTCACTCACTTTATGGCTCTTCGTGGAACGAAGCTGTGTGCAAATTGGCTACCGAGTTCGCCTATAGAATACACAGTCAGTACATGTCAGGATATTATTATTATTCAAAAGAACCTTCATCAAATTGAGACTGAATTTAAGTTCTTTAAGTTCTCCACACTTCTGACCCATCTTATATTTTAAGGCACAAATAATAAAAATTAATAATTCTTGATACACGCTTCCCTGTAAAGTGTAATGACTAAGTATTTGTAGGCAAACACAGTAAGAAATTTGTACACAGCAATGTCCCACCAACAGCCATAAACTGTATGAGCAATTTTATCTGGGGAATTATAAGCCAAGACACTAGATGAAACTTTCCTTCCCACTTGTCAAGATTTATGGGATCAATAATATCCAACTGAACATGACCTTGGTTTACCATCTCATCCGAAGGACGGATCCTCCAACACTACAGCGCTCCCCCAGCACTGTATTGGAATGTCAGTCTGGACTATGTGAGTTCCAGGTCCTGACGAGGGGCTTGAACCCACAACCTTCTGACTCGGAAGCGCGAATGCTATCGACTGAGCCAGGCTGGCAGATGGAATTTCAGGCTCTCAAGGTGACAATTCAAAGCGAGAAGTGCAGGACTTACCGCAGCATCTCAGCTTCGATGTCATCGACCCCAGCCAAGCAGAACTGATCCTTGGGGTCCCCGGCGCTGGAGATGCTGACATGTTCATTGTGCAGTGGCTGGATGCCTAAGGACCGCAGGTGCTTGAACCAGTTGTTGACGTCGCCGCTGTAATAGTCATGGTTACCTGAAAGCCATATTATGCGAGAGTAACAACACACATCGTCATTGCCTGCTCACTGCCCCCGCACCCACTCGCTGCCTCAAACAACAATCACAAGATCTCAAGGGAGGTTCGCGACAACAGGTCCCTTCGATCTATCTGATACCCAACATTCACCACGTCTCAGCCCGTAAAAGGCCATTTTGTCTTAAAATGCAGGTTGACGGAAAATTCGTCAGTACAATTTGGAAGCCGGTTTTCCACTGTTCTTAAAAAGAATTGGTTTACAAACCAAGCCCAAATGTTAGAATTCTCTGCAATCTTGTCAAGGCTCGGAGGCAGAAATTCCATCTTGGTCTAGATTTACTCAATTCACATAAAGTTCCTTTTAAGTATTAAAAGAAAAAACGACTTCAAAGTTAAAGCTGCATTCAAAAATCTGCCAAACTCTGGGAATCTAAAAAGCTATGTTAATAGTCATCTAGACCCAGGTGGAATTTCAGGCTTCAGATCTCATCCATCTGGATTACCTATCCTACTGTCTAGTCTTCACTCCGTCAACTGGGTTCTTAAATGAGTCAATGAGCCCAGCGTCCTGGCCTCAACCACCTCTCCTAGTAATCCGTTACAGACATTTCCCCTCTGTGTGATGAAATAGCCCTCGATGCCTGTCCTAAATGTGCCCTGACCTTGTCACAAACCTCAGTCTGAGCCCTCGGGCCATGCTATCCCGGCGCATCCGAAAACAAACAACTAAATGGGAACATGACTTCAGTTAACTCAATCCCTCCCCGCAGAACAACTCGTTTTTTTAACATCTATTAAAGGATGTTATTTTCTCCTTGCATAGTGCAATGCCAGATCTCTAATTCCCCCCACCCGTTACATTTCCAGGCATATTTACAACAAAGTGATGAAGTGACTTTTATTCACCATGAAGCTCAAATTAACCTTCATGTTAATTTCCCCAAAGTTTAGAATCAATCCACCAGCTCTTTGTCACGACTGAACCCAGGCGGAGGGAGCTTGCAAATCGGCTGATTTCCAGTGTATGAAATTGATCATATTGTTTAAAGGAAACTGTTGTAGCAGTTCAATAATCCCCTTTCTAGCCAAGATCAGCTCTAGATCAAAGCGGAAGCTTGCGGTGGGGGAGTATGTGGACTTGGTGCACGTATAATATATGTGAAGCTATCCACATGATGACTACAGTTACTCAGCTTTATTCATTTCAGCTGTTTCTTTTTGTAGTTTTGTCACAGTAACTTAAGCAGTCTATGCTCTGCACCAAGGCCAAAACCCTCCCCATCAGCTAAGAAGGGCTCCAACACAAGTGGCATTTATTAAACAAACAAAACGTTACCTGTTACAAAGTACTTCCCCACTCTGGGCTTCAGTTCCCTCAGTGGCTCAGTGGCTGTTTGCAGGTTGACCACCTGAGAGTCAGTGAGGTCACCAACAATCACAGTGAGATCTGAAAATCGCATACAGCCCATCAGATATCAAAATATAGTCAATCCACTTTACAATATATTTTGCAAACCGCTTTGAGACGCCTCAATGACGTGATAAGGTGCTATATCAAAAGCAAGGATTATTATTATTATACCTGCCCGTGAGTGTGTGAAATCCGCAATCTATATTGGAACTTTGCAGATTACTGACACAAACACAACGCAAGTTAGTGTCACTAATACAATGGGTTAAAAGGCAGAGTGGTTGGTGTTTGTTGGGTCAAATGGCAGGTTAGGGTCACTGAGACATTGTGCCGTACATTTCTAATGTTCAATATAGAACCAATTCTTTACTTATGGAATCTACGTGAAAGGTTCCTGGTCCCATTTCGTCTTTCGTGAAGAGTTTGCATGCCTGAGAAAAACAATTCATTGTAGATTTTTTAAAAAACTGTAGTACTTCTATATCCATTGTTCCTTTTTAACTCCAGTTTTGTTTCACACTGAATTGTACAGTGCAGTGAAAAAGATTCATAAATGCAATGGAAAATCGTTTTCAGCTTCGAACATCGCTCATTACTCAAACGTTACAAAGATGGAAACAATGACTTTGCAGCACGATAGTTAAAGAACTGGATAAGATAACAATATAGTAAATTCCTGATAAACTTCTCACTACCACTTAAAGTCATCATGCTCTCAATATCTCAGCCGCATTTATTTTGTAGATATACAGATGCCTGACTCACCACTCCAGATAACTTGTCACTAAGCCCTTATTGTAACATTATTATTATTATATTATTTCCCTTGGAGTGACAAGTTATCAGGCATTTAATCCTTACATTTGGTTATAGAGCCTTTCACATCGAGAGGACGTCTCAAATCACTTCACAGGTGATAGTGTAAAGTGCAGCAATTGTAAGTTTTTTTTGTAGGCAAATCTATCTAATTTAATGAGTGAGTGAGTGAGTGAGTGAGTATTATCCCCATGGCGACAAAGAGATACAACAACAACTTGCATTTATGTAATGCCTTTCACGAGGGGTAGCGTCCCGGAGCGCTTGACAGTGGCACGGTCTGGCCCCGAGCCAAGGGGAGAGGGAGGGGGTGCATATTAGCTTCCTGCTCTCCATCCCCAGTTACAACATATTGATCCGGATGTGGTTACAACAGCAGTAATAATAAACCTTATTGCACCCATGATGTTCAAACATCTCAAAATGCTTGACAAGTAATAGCCGGAATTGCAGAGACTGTACTGTATTCACAGGCTTGAGAAGCTTCAATGCTCTGGCAAACTGCCCCAGGTCATTACATTCAGTGGTTAATGAAGTGCTTGTATTGCTAATGTTTCCTTAAACCCTGGGCTAACATTGCACTGGAGAAAGTAAAATACTGACTGTAAATACTGCTCAGTCAGAGCCAGGAATTTATGAATGGCATGAAGACCCAGCACTGAGTCAATATTATTTATAACACCTGTCACTGCCTCTTTGGTCATCTCTGCCCTCATCATCCCATTCAGCTCCCATCCCCAGCTCGGGGGCCTGGCCAACAGCGTGAACCGCTTTGAGACGTCCTCCTGACGTGAAAGGATTCATTTGCATTTAGAGTTTACACGTGAATGCAAACGACACCGTATTCAGTCCAAACTAATACTCACAACCTGAAAGACTTGTTCGGCCGCCAGAGCCGTTGCTGATTTTCTGTTAACCCGCCCGTCTTTACGGGTTCCTTGTGCCGTTTTAGTTAAAAACCTCGTAAGCTAATCGTTTGCGATCGGCCGGGCGTCCGACACGGGGCGCGGAAACCCATCGCCGTGCTCAAAGAGTATCCAAAACCAAGCTGATCGTTCCCGCGCGTCCCATCCCACTTGCGACTAACCTTCTCCTCAGCTCAAGGCGGCCGGAGTCTCTGGCCAGCTGGGACCTTGACCGGTTTCGCTCCTTATAGGTGGGGTTGAGTTGGGGGGGTTGGGGGTTGAGTTGGGGGGGGTTTGGGGTTGAGTTGGGGGGGTTTGGGGGTTGAGTTGGGGGGGTGGTGGGGGTTGAGTTGAGGGGGTGGTGGGGGTTGAGTTGGGGGGGGTTTGGGGGTTGAGTTGGGGGGTGGTGTTGAGTTGGGGGGTGGTGTTGAGTTGGGGGGTGGTGTTGAGTTGAGGGGGGTGGTGGGGGTTGAGCTGGGGGGGGTTTGGGGGTTGAGCTGGGGGGTGGTTTGGGGGTTGAGCTGGGGGGTGGTTTGGGGGTTGAGCTGGGGGGTGGTGGGGGTTGAGCTGGGGAGGGTGGGGGTTGAGTTGGGTGGGGGGTTGGGGGTTGAGTTGGGTGGGGGTTTGGGGGTTGAGTTGGGTGGGGGTTTGGGGGTTGAGTTGGGGGGGGTGGGGGTTGAGTTGGGTGGGGGTTTGGGGGTTGAGTTGGGTGGGGGGTGAGTGGGGGGGTGAGTTGGGTGGGGGGTGAGTTGGGTGGGGGTGAGTTGGGTGGGGGGTGGTTGGGTGGGGGTGAGTTGGGTGGGGGTGAGTTGGGTGGGGGGTGAGTTGGGTGGGGGGTTGAGTTGGGTGGGGGTGAGTTGGGGGTTGAGTTGGGTGGGGGTTGGGGTTGAGTTGGGTGGGGTTGAGTTGGGGGTTGAGTTGGGTGGGGTTGAGTTGGGGGTTGAGTTGAGTTGGGGTTGAGTTGGGGGTTGAGTTGAGTTGGGGTTGAGTTGGTGTGGGGGTGAGTTGGGGGTTGAGTTGGGTGGGGGGTGAGTTGGGGTTGAGTTGGGTGGGGGTGAGTTGGGGTTGAGTTGGGGGGGGTTGAGTTGGGTTGGGGTTGAGTTGGGGTTGAGTTGGGTTGGGGTTGAGTTGGGGTTGAGTTGGGTTGGGGGTGAGTTGGGGGTTGAGTTGGTGGGGTTGAGTTGGGGTTGAGTTGGGTGGGGGTTGAGTTGGTGGGGGGTTGAGTTGGGGGGGTGGTTGGGGGGTGAGTTGGGGGTTGAGTTGGGGGGTGAGTTGGGGGGTGAGTTGGGTGGGGAGTGGGGGGTGAGTTGGGTGGGGGGTGAGTTGGGTGGGGGTGAGTTGGGTGGGGGGTTGGGGGTGAGTTGGGGGGTGAGTTGGGTTAAGAACGAACCGACTGGAAAGCAAACCCCACCTGGGCTCAGGCCGTTGACCATCCTCACCACCATCTCCAGGCGGGTGCGGCCCACCGTGGGCCCGAGGTGGATGTCGGACAGCAGCACCACCTTCAGGTTGTCGAACGACCGGGGCAGCCTGTGGACGGGGATCTCCACCCGTTTGACCAGCGGCGGTTGGGTGGCGTTGAGCAGCCCGACGGCGGTGCAGCCCACCGTGAACACGAGGGCCAGGGACAGCTTGACCAGGTGCCGGGCGCGGGGCTGCGGGTGCGGGGGGTGGGCGGCCCACGGGCTGAGGGCCTGGACCTGCTCCGCCAGGCCCAGCACCAGGAGGCCGAAGACCAGGAAGACGTACATTCCCAGACAGGTGTAGGAGAGCAGCGAGAAGACGTGCGGCTCCTCGGAGACCAGGAAGAGCAGCGTCAGGAAGCTGCCGTGAGCCAACAGCAGGAAGGCCGCCACCGCGCTCTTCCAGGCCGCGAAACACCGGGAGGAGGAGGCGGGGGAGGAGGCGGGGGCGGAGGCGGCGGAGGAGGCGCCGCACGAGCCGTGCAGGTTGGCCACGCTCCTCCTCCAGATGTAGCGCGAGCCGATGGACATGAGGGCGGTGACGAAGACGAGGAACTGCACCCGGAGCAGCCGGAGGCGGGTGGTCGGGTCGAGGCTGTCCGCCAGCCACCGGCACACCATCATGGAGCAGAGCGCGGCGGCGGCGGCCACAGACACGCGGGCCTCCCAGGACAGCCGACTGAACACCGACATGGTTCACTGTCCCCCCCACTCCCCCCACACACACACACACCTGACACACACACCTCACACACACAACACACCTCACACACACCCACACACACACACACCCACACCTCACACACACACACACCCACACACAGACACACACACACCCACACACCTCACACCTCACACACACACACCTCACACACAACACACACACCTCACACACACACAACACACCTCACACACACACACACACACAGTCACACACCACACCCCAACAACACACACACACACAACACAACCTCACACACACCCACACACCTCACACACACACCACACACACCTCACACACAACAAACACACCTCACACACACACACACACACAGTCACACACCACACCCCAACAACACACAGCCACACCCCAACAACACAACACACGCAGACACCCCCCTGATGTCCTGCGAGTTCAGTTGCTTCACCGCCTGCCTCCCTCTAGCGGTTGGTTGGAGCCACTGCCCGTGTCTGTCTGTCTCTCTTGCGACCGGTGAACGGAGCCGCCGGTCGGCCGCCGAGGGAGGGCGGGGCCACGTCGTCGGGGGAGGGCGGGGCCACGTCGCCGGGGGGCGGGGCCACGTTGTTACGTTGGGGGGGGGGGGGGGGAGAGCCGCCGGTCTCAGATTCTGTTTGCAACCGTTTGTAATAATGCAACGTGTGTCTGTGTGTTGTTGTTGTTGTTGTGTTTGGGGGGGGAGGGGGCGGTGGTTGTTGTTGTTGTTGTTGGTGCGCCCCCCCCTCCCCTCCCCCCCTCTCTCCCCACTCCCCACACACACACAGATTGACGCAAGAACAGCCGCCAGAGAGAGAGAGAGAGAGAGAGAACCAAAGGCAGAGACGCGGATCTCGCAAAATGCAATGCAATATAATAATAATAATAATAATAATAAATAAGAAATAATACCAATGATAAATAAAATGGGGTTTGGTCGCTGTTTAGCTTTTTAACGCTGTGCTGGAGACGAGCGAACCCGCGGTCAGGATGGCCGAGCGGTCTAAGGCGCTGCGTTCAGGTCGCAGTCTCCTCTTGGAGGCGCGGGTTCGAATCCCACTTCTGACACAATTTTTTTCCTTTGGCTCTCAGCCCAGAGCGGGGGGTCAGGGGTGGGGCGGGGGGTCAGGGGTGGGGGTGGGGGGGGTCAGGGGTGGGTGGGGGGGGTCTGACCCAACTAACAATCCCAAGCCCCATCCCCCACACACACCCACACACACCTGCAGCATCTGATTTACTTGGTTTACTTAAGTGCGAAGAGAGTCACCCACTGTGTTATTACACTGTCCGCAGTGTGACTGTGTGATGTGAAAAGCCTCGGGGGAGCGGAGCGGAGGGGAGGGGTCCAGCTCTTATGTTTTCAGGACACGAACAAGGATCTATGTTCTTTGGGCGAATAATGAACCCAACCAGTGACGTTAGCCTCACGCCGACATACGGTACGGCGACGGTGCACGTCGCGGGCCAACAACAACGTGATTGTATTTATAGAGCGCCGTTCACGTCGGGAGGACGTCCCAAGGCACTGGACAGTGGGGTCGGGACCCGAGCGTTGGGGGGAAATGGTCAGGGTGAGGGGAGGGAAGGGAGGGGCGAGGAGGGGGTAGAGAGTCGAGAGGGGAGCTGAAGGCACGGTCAAAGAGAAAGGTCTTGAGACCGGCCTTGAAGGAGGAAAGGGAGGAAGCGGCGAAGGCACTGGGGGATGGAGTTCCAGAGCCTCGGGGCTGAGAGGCTGAAGGCCACCGATGGTAGGGCGGTTGGGGCGGGGGATGTGGAGCAGACCGGAGCCAGAGGAACGGAGGGTACGGGTAGGTAGGTAGGGGGATAGTAGGTCGGAGAGGTAGGAGGGAGCGAGGCCGTGAATGGCCTTGTAGGTGAGGATGAGGATCTTGAATTCTTGAATGACGCTACGGCTACGAGCGCTTCGCTCCTTGTCAGTTTGTCATTTTGAATCGCCCTCAAACACCAGGAACAGTGCCGCCCACGACTGTCCCGGGCAAACGTTGGCCGAAGGTGCGGTCAACCCCCATGGACCCGCAAGCGGGGTTTTTGAAAGCTGAGGTGGTGCGCCTGTAAATTCCCTGCAATTCCAAGCCGACGTATTCTTTCGTAAATCCGACCTGCTTATTTGAAGCAAATCCCCCCCCCGAAACGGCATCGACGCGAATGGAATTGGTCGCCAAAGGACCCCGAAATGGTGAGAGATGCAGTTTTGCTTTGTGCGTGTGTGTGGGCGCGTGGTGGCGGTGGTGGGGTATTTTGTTGGGGGGGTGGGTCTTGGTTCGTTTCCTGTCCATCCTCTCTGATTCCGACGCGTTAAATCATTTTTAAAATAAATAACAATCAAATAAAACAGTTCAATCAATCAATCAATCAACCAACCAACCAACCAACCAACCAACCAACCAACCAACCAACCAACCAACCAACAAACAAATAAACGACGAATTAACTGTCTTAAAAAAAAACTAGAGAGAAAAAGAGAAAAAGAAAGCCGCGAAACATTTTTTTTAAAAATGTTTCATTTTATTTTATTTATGAAAAGAAAAGTACTGTCAGAAGTGGGATTCGAACCCACGCCTCCAGAGGAGACTGCGACCTGAACGCAGCGCCTTAGACCGCTCGGCCATCCTGACTCGTGCTCACTCGGTGCCCAGACCGGGGTTAAACAGAGAGGATTACTCTGCTCTGAGACGCTGAGAACTTCCCCCTTTTTCCCACATGGTTCAAAATTGTCGCTTTTTGGTTCTATTGCCACCATTTTTTTTTCTCTCCCTCTTCCCCCCCCCCCAGAAGCAACAACATCCTGTCCCAAACCTCTCGCTCCCCCGGGGCCGGGCGTTTGCATTGTAACAACAACAACAACAACTTGGGTTTACACCGCGCCCTCCGCCACCCCGGGCGGCGGCTCAGAGCGCTTCACGGTCAGGGATCCCGGGGTTTCACCCGGGACTGGTATCCTCCTGCGTCCGATCCTCTCGCCGTGCGCACAACAACAACAACAACAACAACAAGATTCCATTTATAAAGCGCCTTTCACGTCAGGAGGACGTCCCGAGGCGCTGCACAGTTGGGTCATGACCCGAGCATTGGGGGGGGAAATGGTCAGGGGGAGGGGAGGGAGGGAGGGAGCGAGGAGGGGGGAAATGGTCAGGGGGAGGGGAGGGGAGGGAGGGAGCGAGGAGGGGGTAAATGGTCAGGGTGAGGGGAGGGAGGGAGGGAGCGAGGAGGGGGGAAATGGTCAGGGTGAGGAGGGGAGGGAGGGAGCGAGGAGGGGGAAATGGTCAGGGTGAGGAGGGGAGGGAGGGAGCGAGGAGGGGGGAAATGGTCAGGGGAGGGGAGGGAGGGAGCGAGGAGGGGGAAATGGTCAGGGGGAGGGGAGGGGAGGGAGGGAGCGAGGAGGGGGGAAATGGTCAGGGGAGGGGAGGGAGGGAGCGAGGAGGGGGGAAATGGTCAGGGGAGGGGAGGGAAGGGAGGGAGCGAGGAGGGGGAATGGTCAGGGGAGGGAGGGAGGGAGCGAGGAGGGGGGAAATGGTCAGGGGGAGGGGAGGGAGGGAGCGAGGAGGGGGGAAATGGTCAGGGGGAGGGGAGGGAGGGAGCGAGGAGGGGGGAAATGGTCAGGGTGAGGGGAGGGAGGAGGGAGCGAGGAGGGGGAAATGGTCAGGGGAGGGGAGGGAGGAGCGAGGAGGGGGGAATGGTCAGGGTGAGGGGAGGGGAGGAGGGAGCGAGGAGGGGGAAATGGTCAGGGGGAGGGAGGGAGGGAGCGAGGAGGGGGGAAATGGTCAGGGGAGGGGAGGGAGGGAGCGAGGAGGGGGAAATGGTCAGGGGGAGGGGAGGGAGGGAGCGAGGAGGGGGGAAATGGTCAGGGGAGGGGAGGGAGCGAGGAGGGGGGAAATGGTCAGGGTGAGGGGAGGGAAGGGAGGGAGCGAGGAGGGGGAAATGGTCAGGGGGAGGGGAGGGGAGGAGGGAGCGAGGAGGGGGATATGGTCAGGGTGAGGGGGAGGGGGGGAGCGAGGAGGGGGTAAATGGTCAGGGTGAGGGGAGGGAGGGAGGGAGCGAGGAGGGGGGATATGGTCAGGGTGAGGGGAGGGAAGGGAGGGAGCGAGGAGGGGGAAATGGTCAGGGTGAGGGAGGGAAGGGAGGGAGCGAGGAGGGGGTAAATGGTCAGGGTGAGGGGAGGAAGGGAGGAGCGAGGAGGGGGGAAATGGTCAGGGTGAGGGGAGGGAAGGGAGGAGCGAGGAGGGGGGATATGGTCAGGTGAGGAGGGAGGGAGGGAGCGAGGAGGGGGGAAATGGTCAGGGTGAGGGGAGGGAAGGGAGGGAGCGAGGAGGGGGATATGGTCAGGGTGAGGGGGGGGGAGCGAGGAGGGGGGAAATGGTCAGGGTGAGGGGAGGGAAGGGAGGGAGCGATGAGGGGGGATATGGTCAGGGTGAGGGGAGGGGGGGGAGCGAGGAGGGGGGATATGGTCAGGGGGAGGGGAGGGAAGGGAGGGAGCGAGGAGGGGGAAGAGAGTCGAGAGGGGAGCTGAAGGCGCCGAAGGCCGGGATGACGACGGTCAGAACCACACCGAGTCTCCTCTGCCGGGACTTTGGGAAACCAGTGGGTTTTAATGCCCGCGAACAAACATGTCGCGTACCGGGTCTCGATGATTAATTGACACCGATTAATGTTCCCGATGCACATTCATTTGTTGATTGGCGTTCACGCTGGTGCACCTCGACCCACGGACGCACATTTTTTCCCGATGCATTTGCATCGACGCATATTAACATCTGGACGCGCGGGGAGACACTGATGCGCATTGAGAGTGGCGATGCATTCGCACAGCTGCACGGTCGCTCTTGCTGCGTGAATAACAATGTTAATCCTTGCCATTTTTTTTTTACACACAGCGCTTCATCGGGTCTTCGTGACGTCTCGAAGCGCTTCACGGGATGCATCGTGAAGTGTAGTGACTGCGTGTATTGTGGGCGGAACGCGGCAGCCAATTGCGCACAGCAGCGAAGCCACAAACAGCCGTGTGTTTTGAGTTTGTGGGTTGAAGTGACCGATTCATTTGTTATTAGCGTAAATAGTATTTATTTATAACCAATTTATTTATTATTAATATGCATTGACATTGATGCACATTAATACTGGTGCACAGTCACTCTGATGTCTTTGCATCAATGCACATTAACATATACAGTAAATGCACAGCAGTACACTGGTGTTCCAGCCCCAGTGGGTAAGGGGGTGGAGGGGGGGTTGTGTTTTTTTGGTGAGAAAAGTGATATATAAAATATATATATATTTTTTAATATTTTGCATTTTTTTATGATTACATTTTTTTGAAAAATGAAACTTTGCCAAAACGTGTGTGTTTTTTTTAGGGGGTGGGGGTGGCGGGGGGGGGGGGAAAAAACCTATTTTTTTTCTTAACGCGGTTTCAGAAAATCACTAAATCAGCCGAAATCAGCCCAAAGGCGCCGCCGGCGGCCACACGCGGGACGTGACGAACCAGGGCGTTGGGGCTACTTTTTGGGGGCTACTTTTGGGCTACACGTTGCTGGCGGCGCGGGGCGGGGCGGGGGGGGGCGGCCGCTGCAGCCATGGGGCCGGCGCGATGGCGGCCGGCGGGCAGAGTGCGGGCGAGCGGGGGCCGAGGCCGGGGCCTGGGCCTGGGCCTGGACCGGCAGCGGGTGGAGGAGCTGGTGTCGCTGGCGCTGAGCTCGGGCCTGAGCGAGCGCGACATCGCGGGGCTGCCGGCGGTGAGGGCCCTCCTGCGGGGAGAGCGACGCGCGGCCCGGGGGAAGCGGCGCGGGCCGTGGCCGCTCCCCCTCCTCCTCCTCCTGCTGCTGCCGCTCTCGCTGCTGCTGCTGCTGTCCGGGGCTGCGCTGCGCCGCTCGGCGCTGGGCCTGTGGCTCGGCCCGGGCCTGGGCCTGGGCCTGGGCCTGGGCCTGGCGCTGGGCCCGCCGCCCGACACCGAGCTGTGCCTGGTGGACCTGCCGCCGCTGAGGGCCTCGCTGTTCCGGGCGCCGCTGGACTGTGAGCGCTGCCGCCACGTGAGCGCCGTGCACCGCAGGAGCAACCTGAGCCAAGAGGAGTTCCTGCGGCGCTACGCCTACTCCATGCAGCCCGTGGTGGTGGAGGACGGGCAGAGGAACTGGACCGCCGGCGGCGTCTTCAGCTTCGACTTCTTCACCCGCATCTACGGCGGCGGCGAGAGGGAGCGCGAGGGCGAGGGCGAGGGCCGCCCGGCACCGGGCACCAGGACTGGCACCAGCCCCGACTGCCAGTTCTTCCCCTACGAGACCGACTTTCACGACCTGGCCGAGGTGTTCCGCATGGAGGCGGGCAGGGCCGGCATGGAGGGCGACACCGAGCCCTGGTACATCGGATGGTGTGTGAGCGCCCTCCCGCCCCCCCGCCCGCCCCCCAATCCCCGTCGTGTCCCCCCCCCACGGGTTCGAAGCCCTCCTCCAGACGTACCCCTTCACTCTTGACCCGCACTTTGGGGACATCTCTCAACCCCCCTCCACCCCAACCCCCACCCTCTTCACCGCCCTCCCTCCCCCCACTCCCTCCCCTCCTCCCCTCCCCTGGAGGGTCCGTGTGAGCGGGTCTCACCCCCATTCCCCACAGGGGTCGAGTTCAAGATCCTGGTCGTCGCCTTCGAAAGCCCTTCTCCTCCCCACCGGCGCGAAACCAACGAAACCCTTACCGGACCTCCTGCGCCCTCCGCTCGGAGGCCCCTGACCGGCTGCCCGGCCCCCGCCGCCCTGGGCCCCCGCCGCCCTGGGCCCCCGCCGCCCTCGGCCCCGCCGCCCGCGGCCCCCGCCGCCCTTGGCCGTCGAGCCCGCGGCCGTATCGCTTATTTTTCTGTGTGGGAAAGGTGCTTTGTAACGGCAGGCGGTGGTTGTTGTTGTTGTTGGTTGACAACGGTGGCTGTTCACCTTGTAGGCTCTTTGCGTTCAGAACAGTGGGATACACCGGAGCCTGATTTCCGTTTGTATGTCATCGGCGGCTGCTTTGTAGCAACAACAACAACAACAACAAATCACATTTACGTAACGCCCTTCACCAAGGATAACGCGATAATGTCGCGGAGCCACCACAGTGACGGGGTTGGATACCCAGCCAGGAGGAAGGGAATTGGAGGAGGTGATCGGTTGAATTGTCAGATGTAAGACGGTTGTAAGGTGGTATTTGAAGATAGATGTGAGAGAGAGAGAGAGAGAGAGAGAGAGGACGAGTTGGAGGGATGGAGTCAGAGTTCCAGAGGTTTGGAGGAGTAATGACTTATCAATGGTGGCACAGATGGAGCAAGCAGCAAGCATGGGTCAGCTGAGCGTAAGGGGCGGTTAGAGCAGTGGGGAACAAGTTGATCAGAGATAGGGGGAAGTGTTGGGGCGTGAAGGGATTTATATGAGGGCGAAGACCATGGAATCGATCGGTTTGCATTGAGCCACGAGGGCAACATACAATAACGCACTCTGTCCGTGGCAGCAACTCAATGGCAAGACCTGCAGTTTTAACAGAAAGCTGGGCTTTGATGTCACAGCTTGTTCTCATTACTGTTTTATGGTTAAAAAAAACTTGTTTATTGCACCGCAGTTAAGGAAAATGTCACAATTTATGGAAATTGGCACCTGTACTTCAGAGGGATGGGCCAATCTTTATAAGTTGGTCCAAACCAACTAGAGCATTGTACAATATAATCCCAATAAATTCTCTTCCACCAGTTAATGAAAAATAGTGTGTGGAATGCAATTAGTCGGTGTTAATAGTGAGTCACAAACCTTGTATGGCTTTAGAGCATAACCTTCCAATGGATGTCACAGGAGGAGAGTTGCAGGGCTGTTATTTTGTACTTCGCTATAAGAAAGTGATTTGTAACAAGGATACAACATGCATTTATACAATGCACTTCACCCAAGATAGGGTGAAGTTGAATGCTGAGCAAGGGAGAAGGGGGTGCTGTCGAAGAGGGAGTCTTAAGGTGGGTTTTAAAGATAGATAAAGAGAGGGCAAGATTGTGTGTGTGTGGCGGTGGGGACAACAGGAATAATGAATAAGGAATAATGAACAGGAATTCTATTTCGTAATAGTTAACTCTGCTTCAATTCCACAGGAGTAACTGCAACTCCAGTGTAGCCAACATCCTGAGACAGCACTACAAACGACCCTATTTTATTCCAACCATTTCTGAATCCAGTAAAATGGACTGGATATTCATGGGAGTGCCGGGGCATGGAGCCCATATGCATGTAAGAGCAACAAGAGCTGTGACTGTTTACATAAAGGGATAACGTTGCACTGAGAATTGCTGTTCAAACATTTTGAAGTTCAGTTCTGGTCTACTCTCATGCACCAGGCTCCGTGACTCCATCACTCCCACCCTCGTCCGACTCCACTGGCTATCCATCCCCCAGAGGATCGAGTTCAAGATCCTTGCCCTCACTTTCAAGGCCATCCATGGCCTTGCCCCTTCCTACCTCTCTGACCTGCTGACTCCCGACCAACCTACCTGCTCCCTCCATTCAGCGGGCTCCGGCCTGCTCCATGTCCTCCGCCCTTCCATCAGTGGCCGGGCTTTCAGCCTCTCTGCCCCCTCACTCTGGAACTCCATCCCACGGTCCCTTCGCCTCGCTTCCTCCCTTGCCTCCTCCAAGGCCGCTCTCAAGACTTCTCTTCGATCGTGCCTTTGTTCGCCCTCTCACGTCTCTGCCTTCCCTCACCCCTACCCCACCCCTCCCCTATGCTTGGGCCCCAACACCTGACTGTTCAGCGCCTTGGGACGTCCTCCCAAAGTGAAAGTCGCTATATAAATGTAATCTTGTTGTTGTTGGTCTCTCACAGGTGCCGCTTGTTGCTGCGCTTTAGAAACTGCTGGTTAAACAACAGCCTGGAAGCAGGTATTTTTGTGTAAAATTCACGTGATCCAAGGCAGTTCTTGCTGTGGCTCCCTATTCTCATGCATCACGTTAGTTTTGCATTCAGAAATATCTGCAGAAAGGGACAACGATAATCACAAAGTCCGCACCCGCGTTCAGTGACCAGCGGCTAATCAAATCAAATAATGCAACATAGAGGGATTGGCTCAGAAACACGGCCATTCTGCCCAAGTCTGTGACTTGCTACTTAATGGATCATAAAGTGGAAACGGATTAAAAACAAGTTTAGCTACAACTTTTCTTGCTTGACTTCCCGAGGAAGAAAATTAAAGTTCTACTGTGATCTGATAACCAGTCTTCAAAGACTTAGTTAAATGGCACTCGTTCCTTTTCCTGACTCAATTCTAATGTTATTGGAGATTAAAATGCAACTTGTTGAAATATAAATCTTTTGGGTTCAAGTCTCACGTCACTTTATTATAACCCTGCAGGAGTGCCGCATTGTCAGGTGGCCATCCCTCGGATAAAACGTTAAGCCAAGGTCTATTTGCCTATTCAGGTAGATAATAAAGATCTCACAGCATTAATTAAAAAGACAAAGAGTTTCTCCTGGCCAACCATCACCCAGATACATAAAACTGGTCATTCATATCATGGCTGTTTGTCGGACATCGCTGGGCACAAATTGGCTGCTGCATTTGCCTCCAAATAGTTATTACACTTTACAGTAAATCTTGTGAAGCGCTTTGAGAGGTTTCAACAACATGATAAGGTGCTATTATCAAATCCAAGAATTATTATTCAATTGAGAAAATTTTAGTTCTTTGGACATCAGTGTGAACTATGTCGCTGTGTTAGAGAGCATCCAAACCAGACGGAGTCCCATGCAACCCACCTATGTGTGGAAATTCTCATGTCTGGGATGGAATGCACACTCTGTATGATGATAAATGTTTTTCCGTTTGAAAGATTGCAGTGTTGGCATCGCTGTCTGCACGTTTCTGTTAATGTTGTACCTGATGTGTCTTTATTCAGATTGATGATGTAGATAACCCATCATGGCAGGCCCAGATCAGGGGTACCAAACACTGGAGGCTGGAACCTCCGGCAGAATGTTACTACGAATGCCCTCTTCTGGAAACGGTCGTCTATCCAGGGCAGATCAGTGAGTACTGGGGCTTTGGGTTTTTCTTAATAAAATCTGCCTCGAGGTGGTACGAGATGAGACAGAACAGGTTAGAGCGACAAGTGTTCAATGGAATCAGCGATGAGGAAAGCTAGGGCTCTTGAAACATGAAAACAAACTTCTCAGAGAAGACTTGGAGAGCATTATTGGGACTTAGAGTCACTTAGTCTAAGCTGACGCTTGAATTCAGTGCGGGGGTGGGAGGCGGGGGTGCATTGTTGGAGGTACTGTCCTTCAGATGAGACGTTAAACCGAGGTCTCGCCTGCATGTTAAAGATCCCATGGCACTGTTTGAAAAGTGAAGGGAGTTTCTCCCAATGTCCTGGCCAACAATCCCCCAAACAAAAATAGTCACTCGCTCGTTGGCTATTTGTGGGACGTTGCTGTGCACAAACTGGCTACCGTGTTTTGCCCACAAAATACACAGTCAATCCACTTTACACTATAGCCTGTGAAGCACTGAGATGTCTTAATGATGTGATAAGGGGCTATGTCAAATGCAAGGATTATTATGATTATGCAGGTGATTCTAGGTTACAGAATGAAAGGGAAGAGTCTCATCTGTTGATCTAAGTCTTCTCTTTCCTTCCTCTTAGTTGTATTGGACACGAATAAATGGTTTCACGAAACTCACATTTTGGGCGAGGAGCTCAGCATAACCATTGGTTCAGAGTACGACTGAGAGGCGACCCTCGAACCTCAGGGAGAAGGAGCCAGTCACTACACAATGCAGATCACAGCTGAGAAGAGCTGCGGGTTTACAGTCAGAGAGACTCGGTCCAGGCCTGTGTCTAATAGGAGCCTCGTGTGTTACAGGGCAACGCCACACAGCACAGAATGCTGGATTACTGGGAGGAACTCTGCCAACAGACAGGCTGACATAGGGTTGTTTATTCTCACCTGTTGCCCTGAACATTTAAGCCACGGTGTGTTCTACAGTTTTAAATATTCACAATGGCGATTGGGAAATGAGGGACTGGTGGGGTTTACCTCTTGTTTCAATTTCTACGAGAAAAAAGTGAACTGATTTTTTTTTCTTACGATGCACAGCACGGTAAAAGCTCCTGGCCCCAGTGTGACAACCCAAAGGTTTTCACTGCAAGGATTTTGCAATGAATGCCTCTCTATGCCCCCGTAGACTCCCTGGCATGATGTCTACAGTTTGTGACACCAGGCTCTACGTCTTGTGGGACGTGTTACAAAACTGCCAGTTGTATTTAAACACAGTAACACACACACAAATACACATCAATACATCAGCTACTGAGAAAACCACAGCATACATTCCCATCTTCGCTTGATCTAAACCAGAGATCTCCAACCGGTCGATCTGGGTGGTGTCTCGTATGTGCTCAATAAAAACAAGAGGCAGGAGAGAGATTTACTGCAGTTTCACCATTTCACCATTGGTTTAAGTCTGTGATTGGCTTATAATCCGCATTAGCCCCCACCCCTCCAATTCCCCTCTCTTATACCCCTCTCTTATACCCCTCTATTCCCTTCTCCCTTATGTATGTGTCACGTTTCCTCTTAAACACATTGATATTTGCTTCAACCACAGCTTCCAGCAGTGAGTTCTACTTTTGCACCACCCTCTGGTGTATGAAGAAGTTACAAAAGAACATGGACATGCAATTGTGGTTCAATAGATCATTGATTCCACCAGACTGCTTTAATAGAGTTTACAACAACTTTCTATTGTCATGATTATTCCACACTTTAGATAAACCAATCTTTTATTTTCAGATGCATTCACCCCCATCCTCGCCTGACTCCACTGGCTTCCCATCACTCAGAGGATACAGTTCAAGATTCTGATCCTCACCTTCAAAGCCTTCCATGGCCTTGCTCCCCCTACCTCTGACCCGTTACGATCCTGCCTGCTCCCCCCCCCGCCCTCCTTCCCCGATCCCAACTCCCCGCTCGGGTCTGAAACACTGACTATCCAGCGCCTTGGAATGTCCTCCTGACATGAAAGGTGCTATACAAATGTAATTTTGTTGTTACATTGCTGTCCAATCTACAGGTTTGAAATTCTTTAAACTGCATTACAAGTCACTTCCGTTGACCATTTGCACAATTGTGCAGATTTTTTTCCAGTCATATATGTTTACAGCTGTGGTATTTTGTCACTGCAGCCCTTGTTTATACAACACACAAGCCATGCGGGTCTAAGGTCTTAGGGTATTACGGTCATAAAATGCTGTAACTTGAATTTGTTTCACAAGCAATACCCATGAGCATTCTTGTCAAAAAACACCTCTCAGTTATTCCATGTGTGTTCTGTATATAAGGAAATGCATGTAAAAGATTACTGTGAGTGACTTTGTCATTATTACCTTTCACTTCATCTGTACTGTGAGGTTATATCAAATGTGATCTCTGAGCTCAAGCTTTGGCAAGGTATTGACACCCGAGACGTCACCTTCAAGGAATGAAAGGACAAAAATAGAGTAAGATGTGCTGTGTTGTTAAAAGTGAACTTTGAAGTATTGATGGATAAAGTTTAAACTTATTTAGCCTGGGAGTGTAAATGTACACCCTGCCAGCACTGGACTGTTGCCTTCACATTTTATCTCACGGGTCTGTCCATTTAAGACTCGAGGCAAAGACAGCTGGTTCAGCATCTGAGGTTACCAGGAATATAAATCATTAATCACACAAGCTAATTCCTTTCAAAAGAAATTTGCCCACAAAATACAGTCAATTCACTTCATAGTATATTCTGTAAAAGCACTTTGAGACATCTCAACGATGTGATAAGGCGCTGTTATCAAACCTTAGGAATATATACATCCCAACTGCTCTTCACAACACTTGTGCCCTCTTGTTCTGCTGCGTTTATATATCTGAAAATATTGTTTTAGGTCTGCTTTCTCCATCTCATTCAGCATCATACATGCACCTCTATTACATCCTATTCTTTTGTCTGGAACCTCTGCTTTAGTTGTTCCTCAAGGTGTACCTTTTAACACTGAGGATTGGGCTTGTTCTCTGCACTGGCTCCCTTTAGGTCACAACAACCAAACTATACTATGATATCCCAGTATACGTTCGCTTACAAATACACAGTCACTACACTTCACAATATATCCTGTGAGTGGCTTTGCGACATCTTCCTGAAGTGGAAGGACTACATCAAATGCAAGGATTATTATCACTATAGTTCTGACATTACTGCTCAAAAGGGAGCCAGTTGCAGTCTCTGAAAGACGGGTGAGTGAAATGGGGTAAAAATAATACTGTACAACCAGCAGGGATTGCTCAGCCAGGTCACAGCTCAGGTTGTGATGACATTAATAAATCTCTCCAGATCTGTTTTCACGGTTTAAGGTATTACCTGAATCCCTCTAATGTGCTGCTGTCTTGTAACGCCTGCCAGCCTGAAGATTATCCTCTAGAGTAAACCATTGATCCACAAACAATTTCATTTGGCTTCAAAGGAGTGCAAACACTAAGGAGCCTCTGGAGTATCGGTAACTCTATACAGTAATTAACAAAGTGACAATAGCGCTTAAGTGCTTTGCATAGCCTCACAGTTTACTCAGATGATCCCACTAACACACTGTTCTGGGATATTGCTTTCACTGGATACAGTTCAGAGACGTGTTATCCGTCTGTGTTTCCCGGTTTGTAAGTGCTTGTTTTCAAGGGTATAATTGATGATTAAACAAGGAAGTGTTGAAACATTTCTGGCACGATAGTGAAACTCAAAACTGGTTTGGTGTATGTAATTAGTATTCCAAATCTCTACCAGTCACAAAGTAGATAAGGCACTATCCACAAAGTATTCCACTTTCTCTGATAAAGCCTTTTGCAAGGCAATTAACCCGCTGACCTAACTCCAGAGCTCCAATACTCAGGTATAAGTGTCTGAAAATTCCCAAACTGGTATAAGTAAAAATATGAGTTTTCCTGATGACCTAGTAATTAATTCAGGGTAGCGCTAGACCATATACACCAGAAGCTCGCAGATTTGATTCCTGAATAAAGGGACATTGATGGTATATTGCTAGTATATATCAGCCAGTTAAAGCATGGCCTCTGTGCTGTGGATTAGACACAGATCCCGTGCCTATAGAGAGGAAGGAAAAATGTCCCTCCATTCTCATTTCACTTTGTATCTGTAATCCCGCAGCTCTGTGTGTTTCTCTTAGTTTCCTGGCCAACAGTTCACCCAAAATAAAATTGGTCACTCACTTCATAGCCATTTGTGGGACATTGCTGTGAATGAATTGTCTGTGACATTCATCCACAAAACACAGGCACTACACTTTACGGTAAAATCCTGCGAAGTGCTTTGAGACATCTCAACATGATATTACATCAAATGCAAGGATTAGATAATAATATTAATAATCCTTACATTTGATAATAGTACCTTTCACACGCTTCAGGATATACTGTAAAGTGCAATGACGTTGTTTTGCAGGTGAACCCAGCAGCCAATTTGTGCAGAGCAATAATTATAATTTCACTCATTTTTATAATCTCTACTAACAAAGGCAAAATGTCTGTCTATGTGTCTGTCTGTCCGCCAATAACACAATAACCGATTGACCTAGAGACATGATTTATACCTCATCGGAAAGGTCTTGCATAGGGGAGTGTCATAGGCAGATTTTTAGTTTGGCGGGGTTTCCTATCATTGATGAACTATGACCTAAATAAGCTCATTACACATGTATGGCAGTTTTGCTTAAGGTGCGCACGTAGGGTTATATGGCATATAAAATTGTTTGTCAGTGGCCAAAAATGCCAGCTCTAAAAACGAGCATACAAAAATCAGTCAGTATCTACAATCGTTGATGAGATAATATCAAAATATATGTGTGGCAGTTTTGGTGGTGTGTGGTAATTTAGCACAATGTTAAAGCATACAGGATTTATGGCATGTAAAATGGTTTGTGAGAGGTATCACTGTAATAGCCAAGTCTAAAAACGAATATACGAAAAGTATTGAGTCACTATCTATGATTGTTGACAAGATGATACCAAAATATGTGTGCGGCAATTTTGCCAGTGCACGGAAATCTCGCCAAATATTAAAGCGCACATTGCAATAAGAACATATGAAATGGAGTTATAAAGTTACAGTATTACTGTAACATGATTAATTTGCGACATCAGATAGAACATCGTCTGTACGCGTTCAATAGCACATTTTCTTTACGATGCCTAAGAAGCGAAGATTAAGCATTTCAAGACCAAAACAAGCTCATCGCACATGTATGGCAGTTTTGCTTAAGGTGTACACACAGTGTTTATGGCATGTTAAGTGATTTGTGAGTAGTATCACTGAAATCTACATTTCATATTGGATCGCTTGGTTGCAAGCCTAACTGCAACTGGTACAGCCAGTATAGTATAAATATCAGCCAGATATCTATCACCAGTGAAGGGAGGGATACCAGGTAACCAAAATAGGTTTAAAAAAATCAAATTAAAGTGATTCCCGCACATTTAACCCCTTCCCCCAGAAGTTTGAAACTTTGCTTTTATAAAGTTTGAGTTTTCTAAAGATTTGGATTTCAAAAGAAAACTGCCCTTAACTATAACTTAAGCAAAGAGCAGTGCGACTGAGCAATAGGGACATTGATAGCACAGGACTGTGCATCCAACAGTTTGCATTCATATCAAAAATCATCTGTCAAAAGACAACATCGATTTTCCTTTAAACCTTTGAAAAACAATCACATTAAAATATAAGCATTGCTTTTTATTATAACACCAGAGGAAACAACGAGGCGTTTCTTGGAGTGGGGTGGGGGGTGGGGGGGGGGTTGTTTTGTTGTATATTATGGACAGTGGTTGCATTACAAACACAGGAACCACTGTAAGGAATAAACACAGACAACACATCTTTGAAACAATTTAGGAAATAATTGACGAGAGGACTGGATGAACTTTGATCAGTGCCAGACAGGGGGGAAATAGGCGTGTGTGGCAATGCTTAAACCGGGTTAACGCCCTCAGCAGTCAGTCATCAGTGCCCAGATCCAACCCAGGCACTTGGCAATAACACAGGCACCAGTGCTACGGACCAGCGTTAATCTGCCCCTCCAGCACCAGCAAAGGCTTTACACTGTCCTAACCCGAGAGGGTTGCAGTGGTGGTGCTGAGGTCCCAGTGCTGTCTGTCTCACAGCTTTCACCATGGAGTTTCCAGACAAAGTGAGCACACAGACCAGCACAGCTTCCTCTCACACCACCACCACCACCCAAACCTCAGGCAGGTTTGCTCCCATCGGTGTGAACATCTCCTTCATCAGATCAGTCTTCGGGATATTGATGATGGTCGAAATGGTAAGTTCCTTTCTTGGCTTCATGTTTGCTGCGACGCTTTGGAAAAGGTTTAAGGGTCCAGGTGGATGGATGCATGGCAAGGTCTCATTCCCTGCCCAATTTCTAGAGTTAATTTTTTTTTTTTGGGGGGAGGGGCTTTAGAGATTTGGATAGTTTGCTAGAGGAAGAGTTTGCACGTTGATTCCCTACCTGAAGCCGTCTCTGTTTACATAAGCCTTACCTGGGGTCAGGTACATGATGTTCAGGATTGCATTGCACACATCAGCTCCTGTATTTTGCTGCATCTTTGAATTGTCAGTGGTGAGAGTGCGCCGGTCGGTATTTACTTGGGTAAGATGTTCCTTCCTTGAAAATGGAGCATGGTGTATGTCTGCCTTTGCCTGTGGTTAGCACCTCTGGGGACCAAGGGATCCTCCCACTCAGCTCCTGTTAACTGCAAGTCACAACCCTAAAGGCTCGGGTGGTCCTAGTTGGACAAGCAGCAGGAAAGCTTGCCAGACAGCAAGATATCAATGGCAAGCGAGGTGTTTTTAGCTGGTTAGACTCCAGCAACTTCCCAAACGCACACACCGGGATCCCCAAGCCTCGGCTCTTGCCAACCTGCGCCTAATACTTCCCAGAGTTAGGTAAGCGGGATGTGTTCCTCCAGGGAGAGAAAGAGAGAGAGAGAGAGAGAGAGAGAGAAAATGCGCATTCCATTCCAACAATTTCCATATGTTGCTGTTCGTGTTAAACTGAACGTTTTGGTGGGACGTAAACTGTCATGTCACCTCAGTGCCAAGTTTGCAAGAGAACAAATATGACACTGACACTAAACTGAGTACTGGGGTTTGTATGAATATTCTAGGGGAGGGTAAGGGGGAGGGAGGGGGATATTGATGCAGCTTTCCCGCAGCCCCCTAACTGCTGCCCTGCCTAAGATCAACAAATTCGGCATAGACCTGGACTAATCCTTTAACACAATAGTGTGAACCTGCCTATTTACCTGCCAGTTTTTATGGTTCTACCCACAAGTCAGTAGAAGCATGTTTGAATTGTATGGAAACTGAAAGTGTTGAGGGCAGGAAATCAAATTCTTTAGCAATTCTATTGTTATTAAGCAGCCTGGAGAGGTGCGGGGGATGTATAGCATTTCACAAGCCTTTTGCAGTTCTACCAAACAATCAGTTTTCTGCACCCACTCTATTAATAATAATAATAATCCTTGCATTTGATATCGCGCTTTTCACGTCGGGAGGACGTCCCAAAGCGCTTCACAGAACACACTGTAAAGTGAATTGACTGTATATTTGTGGGCGAACACGGCAGCCAATTGCGCACAGCAATGTCCCACAAACAGTCGTAGATTGAAAATGACCAATTTATTATTGTTTTTGGTTTTGGAGGGATTATTATTAGGCTCTGTGTGGAGTAAGGAAACTTGCCCAAGGTTTCGCCCTCTGCCTGGAATTGAACTCAGGTCTCTCACTTGCAAAGCGAATGCTCTAACTACTGAACTACAGGACTCCATATTATCCTCACATGTAATTATTTAGCAGTTCTATTGTTTGAAGCTGCAAACCCTTAAGATAACCAAATGTACTGCCAGAATAGCCCTGTTCACCAAATCAAAAGGACCTGCTTCCTCATCGGACGTGATTGAAATAAACTAAGCTTGTGCAGAAGCCTGTGTAAGCTAAAGCTAAAGTTTGCTAAAATATTGTGGTCCAATAAGGAGCAAGTTCTTGAGCAAATCTACCCATTTTCACCCACAAAATATACAGTCAATTCACTTTACAGTATATGCTGTGAAGTGCTTTGAGGCTTCTCGAAGATGTGATAAGGCGCTATATCAAATGCAAGGATTATAATTTTTATTTTCATTATGAAATGACGATAAACCTGAACATTTCTGTAATTTATGACTGGTTTCCAATTTCTGATCTTTATTTGCTCTTTTGGTCACCCTGTCACCATCCCGTTTGGTATCTTTATAGAAAATACTGTTGTAATTTGCTTAAGTGTTGTCACTGATCACAAGATCGGTTTGGATGAAAAAAGGCCCTTCAAACCCATCCAATCTCCTTTCAACATACACACATTAACCTCTTTCTGCTGCTGGAAGGGCAACAATAACAGTTTAAGGATGGGGCCCAATTTCAAGAGACTTTTTTCTCAGAGCAACAAGAGCTTATTGAACCACAACATACTCTATACACCGGCTAACAAATGGCAACACAGAGGTCATTGTTCCACTGCATAGATTTTATAATGTAACAACAGCAGTGAAGACACTTAGTGTTGAAAGGACTTTTGGAAACAAAAGACTGTGATGAGTAAGGTACAGTTTACCCAATTGTACAGATTAACAAGGGTTTGTATTCAGGGGGAATGGGATTGTTCAGTGGTAATAATGATGGAGGGGGAGGGAGGGGGTGTCAAAACTTCCAAGACATCATTACTGCCACAGGATTTAGGCATGGCATCCGTCGTTTGGATGAAACATTAAACCAAAGTCCCATCTCCCTGTTCAGGTGGATGTTAAAGATCCCATGGCACTATTCAAAAAAGAGCAGGGAATTTCTCCTGGTGTCCAAGCCAACAAATCTCGCAAATAAAATTGGGCACTTAATCCAGGGCTGTTTGTGGGCCATTGCTGTGCGCAATTGACTGTGGAATTTTGCCCATAAAACCACACTGAGAACTCATTCAAACTGCATTCAAAAGGGCAAATTATTACCTAATAAATCGGTGTTACAGAATACAGTACAGCAAAAACTTACTCCACTCACTTTGTTTACCAAGCAGTAAGTTGGAACTTGATTGTTAGTCGATTGGTGGATCACTTTCCAGGTGTAATAATCCTTCCAAAACAAAAATAATAATAATAATTTGATTACTCAGTCCATGACTGTTTGTGGAACACTGCTGTACGCGAGTTTCTCCCACCAAATACAGCATAAGTCACTTTACAATATATTCTGTGAAGCGTTTTGAGACATCTGAACAACATATCAAATGCAAGGATTATTATTATTATGAGTTCCTTTATATCTAAACAAGACTTTGGTTAAGGTATACTAATTCCCTTCACGGTTTTATGGATGGGAAACTGCAAATTACTACAATGTACTGTTAATTGAAAGGTTATTAAATGTCAGCGTTCAATGCCGCAGAATTTTTTCACATTATCTACTCTTACCTATGAAAACTGGCAGCTTTGAATTAGGTTCTGGAGGGTGGTGAGAGTCTGGGACAATTATCAGCAGCATGAGTCAACACTTGAGGAAAGGAGAGAAAATTGACAGGGAAAAAGAGTTAGAAACACACTTGTGTTTATCGCAAGTTTGCTGACATAATGTTTTTTTATTTTCCTTGCAGGTAATCGGCTTATTGGTGTGGGCACTGATTGCTGGTTCTCACTTTGGGAATGACCCTGCATTTGGATGGGTGATGTTTGTCGCAGTCTTCCTGTGGTTGTTAACCATTATACTCTTTGTTTTATACATGCTGGGCCTGACTGCAAAACTACCAATGGTGCCTTGGGTTCTTGTGGTAGGTTTTCTAAGTAGCAGTGAATTACTTATTTTCTACAGGTGTAAGCGACTATTTCAGGGCCAAGTGAGTGGGGTCGTTAGTTACAGCAAAGTTACCAGCTTACCTTACATTTTTATCTTTGATATTAAAAAAAAGTCAACTTGGAAATTGATATCATTGATGTTCTGTGATTTCACGTGTTGTCGTTAGATCTCAGCATTTGTGTGAGCCTGGCTCAATTGCCTCGGAGCCAGAATGCTGTGGGTTCACTGCGCTTCACAATAAAATCTTACAAAGTACTTTGAGACATTCTCCAGACGTGAGAATTATTATTTATCTCACCAGGTGAATTATTGCCAGATCCATGTCTGTCTGTCTGACATCGAGTCCTGGACGAGAGACAACTTTCTTCAGCTCAATGTGCGCAAAACTGAGGCCCTCCTGATTGGCTCACGTTAGCGCCTCCGCACCTCAGGCGCTGACAGCATCAGCATCCAAGGCTGCACTCTCCACCTCTCAAAGCCGGTCAGGAACCTTGGGGTTCTGTTCGACCCTGAGCTCTCCTTTCTTCCCCACATCCGCGGCACAGCTGGCACCGCCTTCCACCTCCTCCGGAACATCGCCAGACTACGGCACTACCACAGCCTGCTGAAACACTGCTCCACATCCCCCGCCCTAACATCGGTGGCCGGGCCTTCAGCCTCTCAGCCCCGAGGCTCTGGAACTCCATCCCCCAGTGCCTTCGCCGCTTCCTCCCTTTCTTCCTTCAAGGCCGGTCTCAAGACCTTTCTCTTTGACCGTGCCTTCAGCTCCCCTCTCGACTCTCTTCCCCCACCTCGCTCCCTCCCCTCCCTCTCCTCACCCTGACCATTTCCCCCCTGCTCGGGTCTTGACCCAACAGGTCTTATCTTTATCAGGTCTTAAAACTGATAAATCTCCTGGACCTGATGGCCTACATCCTAGGGTTTTAAAAGAGGTGGCTACAGAGATAGTGGATGGCTTGTCTTTGATCTTCCAAAATTTTCTGGATTCTGGAACGGTTCCCATTGATTGGAAGATTGCAAACGTGACACCACTACTTAAGAAGGGTGGGAGAGAAAAGATGGGGAACTATAGACCAGTTAGTCTGACTTCAGTGGTAGGGAAAATTCTTGAGTCCTTAATTAAGGATGTCGTTTTGGGATTCCTGGAAGACCATAACAAGATTAGGCAACGTCAACATGGCTTTACAAAAGGGAAGTCATGCTTAACTAATTTTTTAGAGTTTTTTGAAGATGTATCTGCAGGTTAGATAGGGGGAACCAGTAGATGTAGTATACTTAGATTTTAAGAAGGCATTTGACAAAGTGCCACACAAAAGGCTACTGCACAAGGTTAAGGCCCACGGGATTAATGGGAACATATTAGCACGGATTGAAGAGTGGCTAATGGGTAGAAAACAGAGAGTAGGGATAAATGGGTCATTCTTGAATTCGCAGGATGTGACTAGTGGAATGCCACAAGGATCAGTGCTTGGGCCTCAGCTATTTACAATTTACATCAATGATCTAGACGAGGACATTGAATGTAACGTATCTAAATTCGCGGATGACACTAAACTAGGTGGGAGAGTAAGCTCTGAGGATGATGCAAAAAGATTGCAACAGGATATAGATAGGCTCGGGGAGTGGGCGAGTAGGTGGCAGATGGAATTTAATGTGGGGAAGTGTGAAGTTATTCACCTAGGTAGAAAAAATAGAAAAACAGATTATTTTCTAGAAGGGGAGAGATTAGGTAGTGTTAGTGTTCAGAGGGATTTGGGTGTCCTTGTACACCAGTCTCAATAAGTTAGTTTGCAGGTGCAGCAGCAACTAAGAAGGCGAACAGCATTCGCCTCGGGAAGTCTTGCTGCAACTGTATAGGGCCTTGGTGAGACCGCACCTAGAGTATTGTGTGCAGTTTTGATCTCCTTATTTAAAAAAGGACATACTTGCCTTAGAGGGGATGCAGCGTAGATTCACCAGGTTAGTTCCTGGGATGAGGGGACTGACCTATGAAGATAGGCTGAATAAACTAGGGCTGTATTCTCTATAGTACAGAAGAATTAGGGGAGATCTTATTGAAACATATAAGATTCTTAAAGGGCTGATAAAGTAGACACTGAGAGTCTGTTTCCCCTGGTAGGAGAATCTATAACCAGGGGTCACAGTCTTAAAATTAAGGGTCAGCCTTTTAGAACAGAGTTGAGGAAACATTTCTTCACTCAGAGGATAGAGAATATATGGAATTTACTACCCCAGAAAGCTGTAGATGCTCAGTCCTTGAACATCTTCAAGGCTGAGACTGATAAGATTTTTAAAAAACAGAGGGATTAGGGGATATGGGGAGAGGGCAGGTAATTAAAGTTAGGTCAGATCAGCCATGATCTTATCGAATGGCGGGGCAGCTCGAGGGGCCGAATGGCCTACTCCTGCTCCTAATTCTTATGTTCTTATGTTCTTAACTGTCCAGCGCCTTGGGACGTCCTCACGACATGAAAGGCGCTCTATGAATGAAATCTTGTTGTTGTGATATTCTCCTGACATAGATCTCTCTCTTTCCACAGGTAATGTGCTTTAACCTAGGTGCTACAGTTCTGTATATCACTGCCTTCAGTACCATTGCAGCACGTGTTAATCAGCAGAAAAAAACTGCTAAGTATCAGTACAATAACAGAGCAGCTGCTGCGGTGAGTACTCAAACTTTTATATTCATAAAAGTAGCCTCTACCTTTACAGTAAATAGCAGCTTGAAAAAAAAGGTCAAAGTTAGGGGACGAGGTGGAAGGGCTCTGGGATGGAGGCAGAAAGGCTGCCGATAGTGGAGCAGAGAAAGCGGGGGACATGGAGCAGGCCAGTGCCTGTGGAGGGAGAGGACAGGTTGGTGAAGTTTTAATTGGTCACAGAAGTAAGGAGGAGCAAGATCATGGAGGGCTTGAAAGGTGAGAACAAGGATCTTGAACTCGATCCTCCGGGGGATGGGGTGCCAGTGAAGTCGGGCGAGGATGGGGGCGAACTGATTACCCCCATCCTGAACCCAGGGGACACCATGCCTCAAACGCAGGCCTGGCTCGGGTCAGCTAACTTAGCACTGGCCAAGATTCACATTGTTGACCACACAGCCTGTCTGGCCAGGATCTGCAGCAGACTGTGCCTTTACTCACTGAAAGCTATTCCGTTTGGGAAACCATCGCCGACGTGGGTTGTAAACTTGTATTTAGAGTACACAGGCAGAATTATATTAGAATGCCATGGATTTTAACCATTTATTTTTCTCAACAGTTCTTTGCAGCGGTGGTGACGATAGCATATGGAGCGAGTTCTTTCTTCAGTTTCCAGTCATGGCGAGAATATAGTAGCAGTACATCTTGAAACCCAGGGTAGACTGCCTCTCAAAGTGGAAATCCTGTACATACTCTAGAAATCAGTAGTAGATTGCCTCTTTTCCCCCCAACGTTCTTCAGAAGCATATCTAGCAACAAGAATTATTACAACATCTAGATTGGAAACAAAAATCACAAACCTATTGCCTTATCATGGTGGCAAGTAATTTGAAGCCATAATTTAAGTGTGTTCTTGCCTATATTCATTTTATTTTGAATGAATGGGGGTTCTTTCATTGAGCAAATTGGTTGGGAAATATTATGCAGATTTTAGTCAATTTAAAAAAATATTATAAACCAGGAAATAATGTTACATTTAAAGGAACAAGTAACATTTGGTTGCTGCCTAACAATTAACTATTTCACCTTTCTCTAAATACGATTCTGGGTTTTGAAGCAGTTTAAATGATCTCAATTAGTTTCTTTAATAACTTAAAAATGAAGCTGTGATTTGGTGTATTTCACAAATTCTGCTGTTCAAAAATCATCCTTAGAAATTTAGCTTTAAATATTACAAAGGGAACTATTCTTGAAGCTTCCTAGATTGGGGCCACTTTTTAGAAAAATGTAATCTTTTTGAACGTATGGATGTCACTATCTTGTGTAAGAACAATTGTAACCACTTGAGTACTGCATTTTAAAATTATAAAAATATGGAAAATAATGCATAATTTAGAGAAATGTCTGGAACCATGGAAAACTGCTTAAATCAGGTGTGAATTATTTGCAAATCTACTTGGTGTAAAAGTGTAACTGTAGCTCTCAGTGTATTTACATATTAAACTGTTGGAAATTTGGTTCATTTTATATATTATAAAAATCCCCTAACAACATTATGAGAACAAGTATATGTACAATTAGACTTGCTATAACTAAATTGCTAAATTATTTTTTTCACATTCATTTACCCCAAATCGTATTTACCTTTTGCCCACAAAATATAGTCAATCCACTTTATAGTATATTCTCAAAGACGTGATAAGGCGCTAAATCAAATGCCAGGATTATTATTATTTTATATTATTACCTTACTGTAGATCTCCATTACCCTTTGTTTGACAAAATAGTAAATTATAGATTAAAACTATTAGCACTAATCACAACCCATTATGCAGTTTGGTATTTATCAAAATACATATTTTTAAAATGGAAGTTAACAAGAGAACCTGTAACCACAGCCACATAAGATTTCTTATCTTCCGATGTCCCCTCCTCCCACCTCCAACAAGGCATTTCCTGTTGCTGGGAACCTTTCAGCAACTTTTTTTTTGAAGTAGTCATTCAAGTGTGAGCTCAAATATCAAATTACCATTTGTAATTTGTAATTTGTAAACTGTGCGGGTGTAGCTGGTTAGACTCCAGCAGTTCCCCCAACGCACACTCTGGGGACCCCAAGCCTTGGCTCTTGCCAACCTGCACCAAAAACGTTCCGGAATTACGCAAGCAGGATGCGTCTCTCCAGAGAGAGTGTATTTACCGTTTGAACAATCTATCTCTGGGATTTCCATGTGTAGGTGGGATGCGTGAAATCTCAGCTTGGTTTGGATATTCTTAAGCTTGACGGGTTTCCGCATTTGGTCAGAACTCAGCTGACCAAAAAACATAGGCCAAACTGTGGAGGCTGGTAGAATATTTGACCCAAGGGCACAATTTTTTTTATCAGCAATTTTCATTTAAAAATAAGAAACAAATACAGTTGATCTTAAAAAAATGAGTTTCAGCAATCTTATTTAAAATACATTAGAATAACAATGTACACGTATGAAAAATACAAATCAAACATGAATCCAATAAAACAGGATTTCAATCCCCAAATTCATACACATGAAGAAACCATAATATCCTTCACTCATTCAACAAAAAATATTAAAACTTGTTATAGGTAACAACAGCACAATGGATTTTAAGCTTATAAAATGGACTAACCAATTAAACAAATAAAGATTTTATTCACAATGAACAAAGATTAGGTGGTAAAAGAACACATGTGAACCGAGTGTAGATATCTCACAAATAAGGGTCAGAGCCAGGTTAAATATGTTTCCACTCCTTCATCTAAGGGAATGCAAATCACAGAGGGACATTGAAGTATCAGGAGAGAAAAATAGGTAAAGTGTCCTTTGTAACTAAACTGCAGTGTAATCCTTACATTCACACTCAACTCCCCCACACCCCTGTAACTTTTACATACCACTTTGCCTGACAGTAACAAAAATACAATTTAAAAGTCTCAAATAAAAAGGGTTCACAACAATTCTGGTGATTGGAGGGCTGCTAAGAGAATAAGAGACATGAACCTCACCGCTTCGGAAATGTTTAGAATTTAGGCAATTGTGTCTGTGCTGGTGCTAGCTGCCCCACTGGAGCTAACTACACCAATCCCTGTCCATTTGAGCTGTCTGCTTTATCTCACTCCGCTGGCCTGATCTACTTTAATTCCACTCTCCTGCTCTTTCTTCACTCATTTAATGCTATTTTTTATTCAAGTAACGAATGACAGTATAATCCCTGTCTCAACAGCTATTTGTGATAAAGGTGTACTTGCAGATTTCCACCCTGAGAAGCAAAAACATACCACGGTCAGATGTGCTACCCAACCAAGCAAGACCTTTGTTGTAATGTCAAAGAGTTAAAGAAACCAAATGACATCCAAAGCTTCTGCTTGAGGTAACTGTACTGGGGGGGAAATGGCCATGAATACTGCTTCACCAATAAAAGGACAAACAGATCCTGCATTTGGCTTGAGAACCGATCCAATTTTATGAGTCTTGCAAGATAAAAGCAATCTGCTATTAATAAAATAATAGAACTCTGGTACTGTTCTACTCAGAACACTGGTATTAGAATCAGGGCAAGTTTAGGCAGTAATTGGTTGGGTGATGAAGGAAAACTAGCAGGAATATCTACTAAAATGTGATTTGGGACGTGAGGTAAACAACATGGACGGGGATGGGAGAGAAATCAGCCGGTTAACAACAATTTAGTTTGGCTTCATTCCTTAATTATTTAGCATTTTGTGGAGTGCGACATTCAGGGTCTCTGTTGTGGCCCGATGTGTGGTGTTGTAAACAAACAATCATTTAAATAAGGATCAGATGTGTGTCTTACACTAGCTGGTTAAGAAGGCTTTAGATATAGGGCAGATTTTACACCTTAAAGAAAGCCAAAGAGAATTTGGTCTGGCTTAATATCACCCTCGTAGTGAATTATTGTATTGACATTTTACTGTGTATCTGTAATAGGTGGATTTATTTATTTCCTTTGGACTCGTCAGAAAAAANTGTAACTTTCCATAAATGAAGCATCATCATGTGTGCAACTCTTTGAAGATAATAGTGTCAAGATACACAGGACATTACATTAATGAATGTTGCTAGGAGCTCTTTGACCAGGCAACGAAGATGATTTCGACAAAGACGTCACGACCAGATCTGCACCAAAATCAAGTCCACGCCCTTCTTTTTCCTGAAAAGGAGAGGATATCTGAGTTTCCACCTGCAGTATCGCTTTTACTTATTCACTTACCAATATTATTGGCCCAGTACAAATTTTGAAAAATGGCCTTTGGAATAAATGAAGACTATTTTTTCTATTTCAATAATCAATTAATGACTGTACGGTGCTCCTGCTATAATCTGTAGTAGATAAAATGTGTTTTTTTTAATTAAAGAAAGCATAGTAAATAAGATGTGCATTTGTTTGTTCTACTTCATATGCTGATACAATTGATCACATCATTTGTGTGTAACGGAGACAAGACTAAGGGGAAACTACTGAAGAGGGAACACTTTTCTTGCTTTCAGAACTGATAAAGCAGTTCTCATATGGTGGTGATAACACAGGAAGATCATTTTTTGTTAAAATACATCTGCATTCAACACAGTACCACGACACCCGGCGATCTAAGCTGTTCTTTTTGTACAACAGTGTCAACAAGTAGAATCACTTACTGCCCTGTAGTCAAGAAACATTTCTTTGAAAGCCAGGAAATCTGTGAACGTCAGCAACATGTCAAATATCTCTCCAGAGATCTCGTCCTTATGTTGCCTGTAAACGAAGCACAATAATGAGATACCTTGGATTTCAAATAGGCATGTAAAATGGTTTGGTGTTCAACACTTACAATTAATCTATAAACACGACTCCCTACCGTCGCTTGGCTAGCTACTTCCACTGTTCCTCTCACTACAACTTCTTTCGGCTCCTTATGATGTTCCAAATCAAATCCAAGGCAAACTTCAAGAACAAGTTTCCTGTTTTTCTTCGGAATTCTTTGACCTTGACTTTAACAAGTTTAAATCTTTGCCCCTTCATCTCCTTTCCTTAGGATTCTCCCCCATCCCTTTTCTCTCACTCATATTTCACAATAACTACCACTTTCTTCCACCTACCATTAACACCATTTCACAACATGTGAATGCCCTTGCAATCACGTTAACATTTTCCTACGGGTTTTGTCCCCCCCTCCCGTCTTTTATAGAGGTCCCTTCAGCCTTACCCATCAGTTCTCATTGCTTCAACGGATGTAAAACCCATGGGCCATCCTAAGTAAGTCCCTTTCAGTTCAAATGAAGGGCAGCTACTTGGAAAAACCACCCGTTTAGAATACTGATTATCTTCTGTGGCTTCCCAGCAATGTCTGTTTTTATTGGGGAGAACAGGTTTGCAGGCTATGGGGAAAGAGCAGGCAAGTGGGATTGATTTGGATAGCACTTTTAAAAGCCTTGGGATGTCCTCCTGACGTGAAAGCTGCTTTACAACTGTAATGTTGTTGTTGTTGTAAAAGAGCCGCCACAGACAAGATGACCTCCTTCTGTGCTGTATAATTCTATGATTGCCTGTGAACCTTTCATATTCTCTTGGTTGCAGTTTGTAGCAACACCTTGTGACAACAGTTCAAAGAGCATCAGTTCATTTTCACAATAGCCATTAGCTACATCATGAGGTTTCATTTTCCATTTCCCAACCCTATTCCTCTTATGAAAACACTGACTTATGCAGATGTGGAATTCTATGGGCTACAATTATAGCAGCCCAATTGAAGTCCGCTAACTGGGACTTCAATTGAGCTACTACAATTGTAGCCCATGGAATCAAACTTGTAATCTAGTTTATTTGGCTTTGTGCCATATTGCCTTTACCTACTTTCAACTATTGGGGGAGCCCTAACATTATGAATTTTTCTGGATCTTTGCTGGACTTGACTTACTCCAGTGATGTGGTAAACGCAGTCATGTTAAAGCCTGGCAATCTCTCCATTAACTGCTGCTCAATGTACTTCTCTAGCAACTCAATCTGAAAAAGAATCATCATTGAATGTATTTGAAGAAAAAGACTATATAACAAGTGCTTAAAGAAAAAAATGAACAGTACTGGTCAGTCCAGTGACCAAATATTTGCAAGGTACATAGCTCAAGAAACATGGGGAATACTTAAAAGGGAAGAACAGAAAGGTACTGACTCACATATTCTTGGAAGATTGGAGTGTAAATGAGCTTGTTTTCTTCAGTATTCTCAAACTCTAAATAATACTTGTCCATAAAATGCCTCTGTAACTGCTGAAATTCATCACCTGAGTGGCAGAGCAATGACAGATACAATTTTTTTAAAAATCTGCTGATTCTCATTATCAATCGTGTTTGCAGTAAATGAAAAAGTTGTGGAAGCTGCCATACAAAAGACTGACTTCCTATTTAGACTTAGTTTGTATCATTCCAACATCCTCAGAAACTTACATCTATTAAACCTGTGTACAAAATATTGAAAAGTTTAACAGTTTTACCTTTATGCAACAGAAGCCACTGAAAGTGCAGTATATTTAAAATGAGAAGAGAATAGCAGTTGACATTCTAAACCAAGGACCCCTTTTAAAACAGTAAGAGTATCAGTTTTTGACACAGTTCAACTAGTTACTTCTATTTTCATGAAACACAAGGACAAGCAGACAATCTGTTTCCAAGCCTCTGACCACGTCACTCTCAAGTTTGCCACCAGGAGATGCAAAGAGCAGTCAGTCCAGGATTGATTTCCCTCCGAATATGTTGTTCTTATTAGGAAATGTTGCTAGTTAAAAAACTATTTTTAATCACCGTCCAGAGGAACGCTTGACACCTTCGCTAGTTCTTTACTTAGCAGTAACCAGTTTGTCCTTTAAGATGTACTAAAAGACACTGCTAATGGCTCAGTTGGTAAAACCATTACTATTAAGCCACGAAGACTAGGAGAGTCCAGGTTCCATTCCAAGGAGCTGATAGGATTACTGCACAAGACCTCAATGCCCTGGGTTAGAGAAGGAAAATCAATCAATCAACTGAACAGTTGCCATTTTCAGAGATAAGTAGAAAGAGGGAGGATTTCAGAAATAAATAAATAGAAATAAATAAATAGAAATAAATAAATAGAAATAGAAATAAATAGAAAGGATTTCAAAAACAATATTAAAGGATTTCCTGCTCCCTTAAAAAATGATACAAATCTTTCTGTCAACTGTGTTTGGACTGTCTGAGAGAGATCCCTTGAATGTGCAACATTTTTGTAACACTTTCTCATGTATGTTTTTTCCTATACGTTTCTATTCTCACTGGGCTTTGCAATGTAGATTACAATTGTATCAAATAAAACACCTGTGAAACTGCCACATTTAACCAAGTACAATGAAAAATGGCGACTTACTTAAAACAATGTTTGACCTACCCATAATTATATCTTCTATGTTTCCAATAACTGTATCAAACTCAGCATCAACATCAGATGAACTGATAAAGTAAACAGGAGATAAACCAGGGTTACAAGTGCAGCAGTTATTCATAGAGTATTACACTGTATATTTAGATTAAGAAAACAATTCCTAAAGCACCGTTAAATCACATACTATCGGCATTTCCACGCACACTGTAAATAATAGTACAGTAACTTTACTTACACAGATATCACAAAATTCTCTTCTTCTACATCCTCCATTTCTACGACTCGATCCCCAGTACCAAACAGAACTGTTCAGGACAAAAGTTATAATTTAGTAAATAATCATATCAATATAAATTATTCAATGCCGTAGTCATTCACATATAAAACAGGTGCTACACTTTTTTTTAACAATAGAAACAACTATAAATAGATGTAAGGGGACTCTTAAAACAAATATTAGTTACCCATTAGTACTATTCTATATGTAACCATTTTGGGTACAGAAATTCTGTCCAGAGCTAACTTGATACGATTGGAGTCCTGTAACTCAGTGGTTGGAGCACTCGCCTTTTAAGCGAGAGACCTGGATTTGATTCCCAGCAGGACAAAAGGTTGGGCAAGTTTCCTTACTCCACATGCCAGTTTACTTAGCAGTAAATAGGAACCTGATTGTTAGTCGATTGGCAGATCTCTTTTCTGGGGATAAAAATTCCTTCAGAAAAATAATAATTGGTCACTCAACCCTCGACTGATTGTGGGACACTGCTGTGCATAATTGGCTGCAGCATTTCGTCCACAAAATATACAGTCAATTTACTTTATAGTATATTCTGTGAAGCACTTTGAGACGTCTCGAAGATGCATCTCATCAAAATGCAAGGATTATTATTATACTATTATATCTCATTAAGCTCCAATTACTTCATGAATGGAAATGGTAGGCTGAAGTCATGTTGTCACATCAGGGGAATTGTAAAGGTACATTCCCTCAATTTGATACGTTTCAAGGGGGAATGATTAAGGGTGTAGCTCACTGCATCGTTGTTAAGGTTAATATGCCTGTATCTCCTTAAAGATTATGACCCTGACTCAGAAGGTTGTGGGTTCAAGACCCACATTGGAAGGTTGATGTCTAAGGCAGGGTAGCCCAACGGGTAATGATTTCATCCCGCCCGTGAACCATTTCCAAATTCACTGTCTGACGAGCAAATACAGGAGACACAGCAATGTGCTGGGCCAATCATGCTAAAATATGTGGCCCGCGGATATTTCTCAAATCTGGCCCTCATCAGCCAAAAGATTGGACCACATGCAGCGATGTATTGTTAGAGGTGCCATCCTTTGCATGAGATTTTAAACCAAGTTCCCACCTGTTCAGGTGGATGTTAAATATCGCATGGCATTATTTAAAAAAAGGGAGTTTCTCCCTGTGCCCTAACCAACAACCTCCCCCTCCCCAAATAAAATTGGTAATTTGTTTGATTCAAAGACTGATGTGGGGCATCGCTATGCCCAGTTGTGCTGCCCGCGTTTGCCTGAAAATCCAGTCAATACACTTTATGGTATATCCTGTGAAGCGCTTGTCAGTGTGGGGGCTGGGTGGCTTTGAGGAGTGGAGGGGTCAGTGTGGGGGCTGGGTGGCTTTGAGGGGGGAGGGGGTCAGTGTGGGGGCTGGGTGGCTTTGACGGTGGGGGGATGGGGTCAGTGTGGGGGTTGGGTGGCTTTGAGGGGGAGGGGTCAGTGTGGGGGCTGGGTGGCTTTGAGGGGGGTCAGTGTGGGGGTTGGGTGGCTTTGAGGGGGTCAGTGTGGGGGCTGGGTGGCTTTGAGGGGGTCAGTGTGGGTGCTGAGTGGCTTTGAGGGGGGAGGGCGTCAGTGTGGGGGCTGGGTGGCTTTGAGGGGGTCAGTGTGGGGGTTGGGTGGCTTTGAGGGATGGAGGGAGTCAGTGTGGGGCTGGGTGGCTTTGACGGGTGGGGGGATGGGGTCAGTGTGGGGGCTGGGTGGCTTTGAGTGGGGGAGGGTCAGTGTGGGGGCTGGGTGGCTTTGAGGGGGGAGGGGGTCAGTGTGGGGTGGGCTTTGAGGGGGGAGGGGGTCAGTGTGGGGGCTGGGTGGCTTTGAGGGGGGGGAGGGTCAGTGTGGGGGCTGTGAGGGAGGGGTCAGGGTGGGGCTGTGAGGGGGGAGGGGTCAGGGTGGGGGCTGTGAGGGGGAGGGGGTCAGGGTGGGGGCTGTGAGGGGGGGGGTTAAGTGTCGGGGGCTGGGTGGCTGTGAGGGGGGAGGGGGTCAGTGTGGGGGCTGTGAGGGGGGAGGGGGTCAGGGTGGGGCTGTGAGGGGGGGTCAGGGTGGGGGCTGTGAGGGGGAGGGGTCAGGGTGGGGGCTGTGAGGGGGGAGGGGGTCAGGGTGGGGCTGTGAGGGGGGGGTCAGGGTGGGGCTGTGAGGGGGGAGGGGTCAGGGTGGGGTTGTGAGGGGAGGGGGTCAGGGTGAGGGCTGTGAGGGGGGAGGGGGTCAGTGTGAGGGCTGTGAGGGGGAGGGGGTCAGGGTGGGGGCTGTGAGGTAGGGGGTCAGGGTGGGGGCTGTGAGGGGGAGGGGGTCAGGGTGGGGCTGTGAGGGGGGAGGGGTCAGTGTGGGGGGCTGTGAGGGGGTCAGGGTGGGGGGCTGTGAGGGGTCAGGGTGGGGGCTGTGAGGGGGGGCTGTGAGCCTTGGCGATACCCCGCGTGAAGGGCGCTATAATAAATGCAAGTTGTTGTTGTTGCTGTTGAGCGGAGCGGCGGCGCTGACTGACGGACTGACTGACTGACTGACCTGGTGATTTCCAGGCCATTGTTGAAACGGTTTCTCCACAGCAACGGAAGTCCGGGGTCCGTCGACCAAAGGCTTCCCCCCCCCCCGGGCAACGGAGAGCAGCGGCTCTGGGTTCCCCCCCTCCGGCCCCGGCCCGCCCGCTCCGGCCTCTCCTCTCCTCCCCTCTCCGCGGACCTACCGACCGACCGACCGACCGCAACACAAGAGCCCAGAGAAGGCGGCGACTGAGAGAGAGAGAGAGAGAAATATAATCATCGTCACCACCATCACAGCACTGACTTCATCTATTTGATTAGTTTGTGGGGTAACATCTCACGGCCGCTCGCTGTGGGGAGTATCAACTCACCCGCTCCGGCTCACAGCCGCTCCGCTCCTCGGTCACTCGGCGGCGGCGGCCCGAGGGCTGCGGGAAGGGCTCATGGCGCCGCGGCCCCGGCGTCGCGTCACCTGGAACCGTTGGGCGGCGCGTGGTGGGAGGGCGGCGCGCGCCTGGTTCAAGTGCGGGATCACGTGCCCGCACCAGCCCCTCCCCCCCCAACCCCCCCCCGCACCAGCCCCTCCCACCAACCCCCCCCACCAGCCCCTCCCACACCACCACCCCCCCTACACCAGCCCCTCCCACACCACCACCCCCCCTACACCAGCCCCTCCCCCCCGCACCAGCCCCTCCCACCAACCCCCCCACCAGCCCCTCCCACACCACCACCCCCCCCTACACCAGCCCCTCCCCCCCACACCAGCCCCTCCCACCAACCCCCCCACCAGCCCCTCCCACACCACCACCACCCCCCGCACCAGCCCCTCCCACACCAACCCCCCCACCAGCCCCTCCCCCCCGCACCAGCCCCTCCCACACCAACCCCCCCCCCCCCCCGACCCCTCCCCCCCACACCAGCCCCTCCCACACCAACCCCCCCCACCAGCCCCTCCCACACCAGCCCCTCCCCCCACACCAGCCCCTCCCACACCAGCCCCTCCCCCCACACCAGCCCCCCCCTCACCACCCCCCCACCAGCCCCTCCACCAGCCCCTCCCGCACCAACCCCTCCCACACCACCCCCCCCACCAGCCCCTCCCACACCACCCCCCCACCAGCCCCTCCCACACCAACACCCCCCACCAACCCCTCCCACACCAATCCCTCCGCACCAGCCCCCCCACACCAACCCCCCCACCAGGCCCCTCCCCCACCAGCCCCCCCACACCAACCCCCCCACCAACCCCTCCCACACCAATCCCCCGCACCAACCCCCCACCACCCCCACACCAGCTCCCCCACCCCCACACACCAGCACCAGCCCCCCGCCCACACCAGCCCCCCCACCAACCCCTGCATCCCGCCCCCACCAACCCCTGCCCCCCCCAACCAACCCCCGCCCCCCCCCCCCCCCAGCTTGCTTTAACTACTCACATTTAGAGCACAAATACTCTGCCACTTGGACTGTCTATTTGGACGCCCCTTCTCAGCCTACCTACATGTGTACAGGTTGCATTCCTTACGGTGCAAACTTACCTGTTCTCAAAGTTATTCACTTTATCATTGTTCTTCCGATAAGTTTAAATTAGCTTTATTTTATTTTAATCAAGTTCTTCTAAAAAAAAATGTTTAGTCCCCGCCCTTAGTCTCTACTGGTTCAAACGAGTTACAAAGATTTAAAATATAAATGCATTAACATCTTATTGATCAAAACTGTAGTTTTTTTTCCGCAACATTCAGAAACTTAATGCAATTTCATTCTTATTCGCTTAGAGATCAAGACAACGGAAGGTTTCATTAAAAAATGTTTTTGCTGCAGCTGCAAACGTTTTAATTTTAAAACCTAAACTTTAAAAAGGCTACACAATTCAGTTGCTTCAAAGAAAAGTGAATTAATTTTGTTACTGCTGAAACTCTGATCATATGTTACACAGCAAATGACTCTAAACACAGATACACATTTCAATAGGATTCAAACAAGTGCTTCCTGTTCAGTCTGGTAAAGGGACTTGTGCAAATTAGCATTTATAATAATCCTTGCCTTTGATATTCGTGCCTTTTGCGTCAAAAGGAGTTGCGAGATTAACTGAGGCATTTTAAACATTGCATTACTGAACCAAAAGTAGTTAATCAGAATCTTATTACAACCAGTTAAATTCCCTCCTGGTAATCCATAGAATATTTCTTTGACATTTCAGTGGTGGGACATTCAAGGGAATATTGACCATTTGTTTTTGAAATATTGTGATATTCTTCTGCAACATATACAAATCCATTCATTCATAACACCTGCGTGTTCCCTTGACCAGCTTGCTCACCAACATAATGCAAGGCCATTATCTGGCTTGAGTCCACATGTCCGAACTATCTGGTGAGAACAGAAACGGGTTTGGCTGGATTGCCCTCCATAACTGTTGCTGGCGTTCGCTTGCCCATTGAAAGTGACCATTTTGAAAAAGTACGAGAGAGAGCTGCTGCCTCCTATAGAACCACATTCCAATTAAGTTCTTCCCTTCAGGAAGAGGGGCGCGGGGTGGGGAAGAGCAAGGGGAATTCGGCCAGAAAAAGTAAAACCATGTGTAGGAGGGAACAAACTAATACAGACTTTTGATGTGAAAATGCTTTCTCTGATCTGAAGTACTCATGTTGCCATATTTCAGAGAAAACAACTTAAAACATTCACAAGCTTAGGGCCCAAACCAGCAGCACCTGGAAAGGTTTGCCACCCACATGGGAAGGGGCTCGTCACATGAAATGAACAGACATGTGGATTCAAGGTATCGCCGAAACCCAGGAAACGACTTAAATTCTAATTACACATTACTGCACACATTTTAAAAGACTTGGGCATCATGCTTTTCTGTATTCCAAATTTTATTACACAATTTCTTTAAACCACCGGTTGGACGGGTGTTTTAGATACTGGGAACGAGTGCCACATTGGATATCTGCACATCGGGAATTTTTTTTGGCAAGACTTGATGAAAACCTTTCTGTGTTAATGTTTGCCAAGCACCTCAAGATGTAGTACAAACAGCAAAAACGCTGAGTTTAAACGACTCTGCCGATGCAGAAACAACCCGAATGGCATCACCGTTCCATTTAAGCCTGATTTGTAAAAACTATTTTTCCTTATAAAAATTGTTGCATATCATTTTTTTAAAAAATAACAAAAGTAAAACTGCCGTATCCCTTTCCCGGCTTACACAAGCAGCGTGAAGCCTATCAAACTTACTGCGTTCGCTTTCTTTACACATGATGCAGCTGCAATAAAATTATTCTATAGTGCATTGCTCTAGCAAAAGGTTTCTTGGACCAATACAAAAGTCAGGGAAGAAGATAACTTAAAGAAAATTGGTCAAATATTGCATTACAAGACATGGCGGATGCAATACTAAGGTTAGGTTACATTGGGGGTGGGGGAAGAGCTGGCATCAGTAAAACACGCACCATTTCATTAAATAAATAATTTATAATTTTGCTATCCACAAAGTTCATTTCTGTAGACAGAATAAAAAAATGTTTTTGTGATCAATAAACAAAAAAACTTGCAAAGTAATGTTGGTTACCACAGATGTTTTGTGTTTTTAAAAAATTCACAGAATGTTCTTTGGAATCATTAGGTCTTAAATTCTACCAATTTATTTGGCAAATTATGCAGTTCTGCAGAGTTCAGTCTGTTCCATGTATTGTGTTTCCAGCAAAAGTTGATGCTGATGCACTCTGTACCCCGCACATCGGGGAGGGGGTGGGAGGGGGTGGGAGAAAGAGAGGGGATTGTAGAACAAGTGCCTACAAAAGTAAACATTTCTGCATTTTAGATAATGTCAAAAAGAATCCGAAGTTTCCTTTCACTGTTAATTTAACACTTTTCTTCTAGATTCCCTGGCGACGTCTGTATCCTGGGAGTCTTCTGCATGCCTTGGGAACCACTGACGTCTTGGATAGAGTTGGCAGGCTGATGCTAAATGAAGTACAGCATGATCAGGGCCTGCTTCTTCCAGTCAGATGCCAGATGGAGAGAGAAGTGTACCTTTATTCTTACAATCCGGTTGGAATCAGTGTCCTTAATTAGCTGCTTTGATGGCCAATGGACTTGTATTAAACCAGCATCTCCACACATTACATTTCGGACGGTGCATATCCCAGCTGGAATACTTCACTCATCAGCATCTCAACACTGATGTTGATCAGAACAGGTCTTAGGAGCATAGTAAAAAGTTCAGGAAATGTGCGAAATCAGTCTGACCCGTGTCTTTATTTCTTGACGACATAAAGGACAGGTATCCAGCTGCAAGGCACATTCCATACATAGGTCACTGTTAATACAGAAGAAATTGGTGTTAAATAGCAGAAAATTTGGCAAATATTGCATATAGTCACATGTTGAAAAGTACATGTCTCAGAGTGAAGACTTAATAGGAAAACTTTTTATGCCATTGCAGTAAAAAATACTATTTCACTTGAAATAGTTTTGTGGGCATTTTGCCAGAGTCCAATTTAAGTAAAAATATCTCAATAGTGGGCAGACCAGTGGGTCAGATGGTGTCAAATGATGAAAGGAAGCTTTCCATTAAAACTGAACCTTAAGATATGTTGAATTCAATACAAATACGTGAAGATGAATACTAATACAGCAATTCTAAAGATATATTTTGTAGTATAGTTGGAGGATGGACTTATTAACTGTAGCAATAATGCTGAACTCAAAAAGGGACAGACCAATGGTTCAGATGAGGGCTGTCTGCTTGCCCATATGTTAGTAGCAGGCTGTGGGTAGGGTATTAGTCCTGCAGAGGGTAACCAGAGTTGTACCACAAGATTTTCCACTACTCAAATTATACCAGGAATAGAAGAATTGATGAAGCTACATCTTAACATTCTCAGTCCAAACCCCACTGTGTGGTGTACCAGCAGTGATGCTCCACAAATCACTTCCTTTTGGCAGTGAATGTCTTGGACAATAGTGTTGATTTGCTTGAAGCTCATAATCACATGGGTCAGCTCTGCATATTGAGAACATTACCCGTCTGCCCAGTACTGACTCAAGGAGCAAAAGATGTTTTTTTGCTGCAGAAATATTTCATCACAAGGATGACACCAAGGCTTTTTTAAAAAAAAATCCTTTCAATGCTTTCCTCCCCCCCATAAGTGGGTACAGATTAGATGTGATTTCCAAGCCAATGCACTGCACTGGAACCAACTCCCTAGAGTGAAGTTGGAAGGATACCCCACAATACTGAAGTCAAGTCAAGACAAGTGTGCCTCATTCTTCAGTTTCACTCCACACCATTTTACAATAGTCTACATAGGAATAACAGCATAACATTGCAAGAATAAGTAATTTCGGATTCAAGCAGTAGGGGTTTGGTGATCGATTTCTGAAAACCTCAACAGCTTTTAATCAAAATCAATTGTACAGCAAACATTACTGGAATGGAATGAAAGCTCACCCCCCCACCACCATTGCTGAGATGAACTATGAAGCTGAAGTGTTACATGTTCAATATGTACAATATGTACAAGCTGGAAAGGATATTGATTTTTCCAGTCGTGTGATCTGCTGCTGGGCCTCCAACCACATGATTTACATTCCAACTGTTTCTCACACAACATCTGATTGAATGCTGTAAAGTTATAATTGGTATTTTTTCCCCCCAAAGCTATTATAAAAGCAACTGTGCAAATTAAGACCAGAAGAAACCACATACAAAGCAAAGTTGTACACACCTATACAATAGAACAGTTATGTAAATATGAAGGGATCATTCAAACATACAAATGCTAAATAGATGCAAAAGCAACTGTGCAATGTAATAGAATATGTACTGGAGATATGTACAAGCTACAAACTAGCTTGATTGCAGTTATATAGGCCCATCACACATTGTAGTGCCTGAGCGCTGAGATACAATCCCTACCAATAATCTGCTGCTGTCATTTTAGAATGTATTGCTCACATCAAAGCTGAAGCAGAGTCCAGCAGCCACACTTGAGTGGAAAAAGTAACATAAGGTAATACTTGTAGAGGGTATAATCAAGCAATTCCACCATTCCTTCAATTAATTGCAGGCCCGAGGGGATAACAAACGATCAATGTCATATTGGCACGTGGACCCACGAGTAGGAGTGATTCAGAATTGACTTGGCAATTGGGAAGAGATTGATTTTATAGCTAGCACTCAGGCAGAGAGCACAGGAAAGAAGGCCAGGCTGCCATTAAGTGCTTATCTGCAGTAACAGGAGCCAATAAAGTAAAGTGTAAATGCAAAGTAATGGGTAAACAGAAAAATCAATCTTTGAATTCAACAGCAACAAATTCCAACTTATATAATAGCAGCTTTCAAGTAGGAGAGCATCTCAAAGTGGTTCACAGCAACGGAGTGGGAGTCCGAGCTAGCTGGGAAACTAACACTACCATGTAAGAAAGCAATGTTGACCTATAAACAGTACATTGTGAAAAAAACCTTAGCATCATATTTGCACATTTGGAGCAACAGCAACACACTAAAGAGCTCAAGTAGACAAATGGGTTGTTCCATATATTGGTTTGTCAGTTACTGATGATAACGTTTGAATTTCTTTTTTTTTAAAATTTGGAGAAAAACAAATCTCCTTCCGTGAAGTCATAAGGAAGTTAGTTTTGTAGTTCACTGAACTAGCTCATCACCCCCTTAACCCCCTGGGGAGAATTAGTGGATGTAGTGTATTTAGATTTCCAAAAGGCATTCGATAAGGTGCCACATAAAAGGTTGATCCACAAGATTAGAGCCCCATGGAATTAAGGGGAATATATTAGCATGGATTGAAGAATGGGTAACGGGAAGAAAACAAAGAGTAGGGATAAACGGGTCCTCAGATTGGCGGGATGCGACTAGTGGAGTGCCACAAGGATCAGTGCTTGGGAGTCAACTATTTACAATCTACATCAACAATCTAGATGAGGACGTCGAACTTAATGTATCCAAATTCGTGGATGACACTAAATTAGGAGGGAGAGTAAACACCGAGGATGATATTAAAAAAAGCAATGAGATAGATAGGCTAGGTGAATGGGCAAATAAGCGGCAGATGAAGTACAATGTAGGGAAGTGTGAGGTCATCCACCTAGGTGGCAAAAACAGTAGAGATTATTTTTTAGAAGGGGAGAGACTAGATAGTGTTAGCGTTCAGAGGGACTTGGGTGTCCTTGTACACCAGTCACAAAAGGTTAGTTTGCAGATACAGCAAGCAATTAGGAAAGCTAATGGTATGTTGGCATTTGTTACAAAAGGATTAGAATATAAGAGTAGAGAAGTCTTCCTGCAACTGTATAGGGCCCTGGTGAGACTGCACCTAGAGTATTGTGTGCAGCTTTGGTCTCCTTATTTAAGAAAGGATGTATTCGCCTTGGAGGGGGTACAACGTAGATTCACTAGGTTGGTACCAGGGATGAGGGGAATGAGTTATGAGGATAGGTTGAACAATTTAGGCCTATATTCTCTAGAATATAGAAGAATGAGAGGTGATCTTATAGAAACCTATAAGATTATTAAGGGGCACGACAGAATAGACAGTGGGAGACTTTTTCCCCTGGTTGCAGAAACTATAACCAGGGTCAGTCTTAAAATCAGGGGTAAGCCCTTTCACACTGAGTTGACGAAAAACTTCTTCACTCAGAGGGTAGTGAATTTATGGAATTCTCTACCCTAAAGGGCTGTAGATGCTCAGTCCTCGAAAATATTCAAGACTGAGATTGATATATTTCTTGTGGATAAAGGGATTAAGGGATATGGGGATAAGGCGGGTAGGTGGAGCTAGAATAGATCAGCCATGATGGCGGGGCAGGCTAGCGGGGCCGAATGACCTACTCCTGCTCCTAATTCTTATGTATGTTCTTAACAAGATTTTTAAAAAAAAAAACACACCATGTGTAAGATGTTTAGAAAATAGGAACTGTGCAACAGTGGTCCTATTGTGTGGAATCAAGGGTCATTTTTAAAATGAGACATTTGTCTTATTGTTTTTAAAGAATAAAATGGCACATTTCACCAGTGGAAAGGCCACTCACTCACAGGTTGGAACAGTAACAGTAATTACTAACAGATGCAATGTCTACTGGGAGATCATGAGAAGGTTCTGGGAGCTCAGCAGAAAGTGAAATATATGGCCTCGGAGTGGTGGGTTACAACAAACAGAACGGCTGCTAAACATGCTACTCTCTGGGGAAAGGGTGGTTATCTACAATCATAAACCCCTGTAAGGAGCTTGCTGTAAACTGAAACAAGGTCCATGTTTGACACATACCTATGTCCACAGGGCTTGAGTTCTGTATCAGCCATTTGATCACAGCAGAGTGTGCAGCAATTGTCCCGTATGCTCACTTGTTTCAACAAGGCTAAGCGTCGGTGCCTGAAACATTTAACATGTTGCTTATTTCAGAACATACAATTTAACATCAACTTTGTCAGTCACTGTCATAGCCTTCACCCAGGCAGTAGTAGTCAGCTGCACAATTCTGAATCATGTGGATAAGTGCATGTTATAATCTCAAAACATGGGCGTCATCAGTAAGACGCAGGGGAGTTGTAAGGTTGACTCTTCCAAAATGGACACATTTCCCAAAATTGGACACTTTGAGCAACTTTAATGAACAAATAACCCACTCTTCAAAATCCCAATATCACATATTGATACAAGGGAGGGGACAGAGGTTTAATATTCAAAATGAAGGTGCAAACCAGTTGCTATGAAATCATTTAAAATCGAGACCAATACAAACATAAAATGCTCACATCTAGAAGATTTTAGGTTTAAAAGCATAGATTTAAAAATACTCACCTTGGAAGAATTATTTTCTCTTCTGGTGAGAGAGAGGCATACTCGTTAAATGTGCTGTATTTGACTGCTGGAGGATATTTAAATGATTTTGCTCCAAAGTTAAACTCGCACTGTTGATAAGACATGAAGCTGGCTGCTGCAAAAAAACCAGATCTGTAATAAAAAGAGAAAAAAAATGAATGGTGGAAGATTACATTACACTCAGGTCGGATTAGAGCCCAGTGATTTTTACTGGATAACAAGTGTTTAAAGAACCTTTAGGAAATTCCGTAATAGACGACTTTTGTTGACAAAATACCTTTTAAAGAACTGGTTTCAACCACAACCTCTTCCAGGAAGCCAGTTATAACTTTAGCTCACCAGTGGGGCTCTGTGAAGGTAGTACCCTTAACTATGATCACGCTTCTATAGCGCTCAGTTTAACAAATTAGCCGAGAACTTTTGGGACTGAGTGCTGGTAACTCCAGAGGGTATGAGATCAGGACTATTTCCATTGTGATAGAAGTTGCCCATTATCAGCTGACAGGGATGCTTCTGAAAGATGAAACTAGTCTCGCTTCAGTCTACCGCATAGGTGAATGCTGAACTGCGATCATATCATGCTGTAGAGCAGAGTAGCATCACATTTTAAAAAATCTTTCCCGTTATAGAAGGTTAAGTCAGACTATCCTGACATTCAAACTGAATCTCCTACCCACGTCCACAGTTCTCCCTCTACAGCAACTGAACTCACTCCAAATATTAATTATCACCAGTAACTGAAATGCCATAAAACCAAGAGTAACACATATAATGGAAGTTTTCTTAAAGTGATGTAATAGTCAATTAGTGTACTGTACTTTGAAAGTTCAGAGTTCACACAAACCATCAACCATTTCTTCTTATTATCCTGGAATATTTTTTTCAGAGCTCAATTGCAGGAGAAAAACTTTGAAATGTTCAATCTGAATTAAAAGTATGTGTTTTTTTGAGTTCCCCCATATAGTATATTGTTCATTTGGTGATACAACATTCTCTTCCTTTGATCCAGCAAACAAATCAATTAATGCAAAATTGTGTGAGCTGGCCTGTCAACAATAAAAAACGTTAACAAGAATTTCCACAACTAGTCTGAAAACAGCTACTCTAGCTATCAGCTGTAAATCAAATGCAAACAGGTCTCTCCAGAGTGTACTTACGTTGCTGATGAAAAGACTTGCTTCTCTGGTGGTAGCTGATTTCCATTAAGATAGAAAATCATCACCTTCTTGGTCAAGTCTAAAAGAAATCCTATTGTGTCCCCTAAATGGAAAAATGAGCCAAAGAGTACATTAAGTTAAACTGTACACAATTCACCATTCAACAGGTGCAGTATACTAGCATATACTTTATTGGCTTATACGTAATGGGATTCTGTTTACTAAGAATAAAACTGAGTGGTGTCATGTGTATTACACATTCACCCTTTGGGCTTGTGAGATTCAAGGTCCCAGATCACCATCAGCGGTTTGTTTTCCAGTAAACCCAAGCCCAAACATGAAGCCTGTTAACACCACACACTAAGTGTTTAAACAAAAATCACTGAAGTAGTTTATTGCCAGCCCTAGCTAAACTGGAACCGTGTACAGGGCAAGTCCTTCCATTGGGCTCCCAAATGTATTATATCCACGGCCCAGTGATGGGGAGGGGGCAGAATGTGGTGGCAAGTCAAGCTCTGGGCCTCACTATCACCCGACCACAATCCTCAGCACAACTTCACCAAAACCTTTCTTGCTGCAATTACTTAATTTTCTGTTTGTGTGTTAACCACTCACTAAACACCACAAAAACATTTGAAAACTAACATGTGGTATGCATAACAATAAGGCTACCACCTCTTATGCTGCTGCAGATTTGCAGAAAATAGCAACTTCTTTTATAGCCAATAAACTACTTCTTAAATGATAATGCCTAACACCAGCAGTAGTCGCTGGAATACTACACACATGGTTTTGAACCATCAGTTCCCACAAGTTAATTTGTTCAATAAGATACACGGCAACAAAATTCAAATTTATAACTTGCCTTCTTTCCAGCAAGGATGGGTGTGTGGTTTACTTCTGGCATTGTACCAAATCAGCTGCCGGCAGCCATCATATGCACACGAATATTCATCATCACCAATCCCATAACCCTCCTATAAAGAAATGTACATCATTAGTATCAGAGTAAAACAATTTGTTCTAGGCACGCTTATGAGTCTTTTAGATACAGGCTCAGTGTGTCCTCGAGGCTCTCTTCTCAGTATGCTATTAAGGAAAGTGAGCCTTTGAAGTCAGCGCATTACCTTGAGGTACAAACTTACTAATTAAAGCCAAGTTAGGCATCAAACTACTGAATAAATGTAGCTAACTTCACTTTCCTCATTGTGAAATATGTGGGATATCCATTCAAAGTCTGTGCATTGAAATAATAGAGGTTAAAATGCAAGCTAGTGAGGAACTGAGAATCCTTAAGTCGATCTGATTACAAGAGTGAGCAACTGGTTACCTTTTCAACAATGCAAGTACAGCAACTCACATGATTAAGAAACTTGCTATCTTTGGTCGCCCAACCAATCTGCATTACTCCAGAAGTAACTACAGTTACTTCGTAGTACCATACTCCGGAATCTACACAGAATGTACAGCGCACACTCTCAAATGAAGATGCGTCACAGCGAGCCTGTAAGAGAAATGAAGAAACTCAATTGATAACACTTCTTATATTTGAGCCTATAATTTTATGCACTAAAGGAAACCAATGAACAAAAGCCTTTATGTAAATGCATTCTGTAAGACTTCTACAAATGGTTTTGTTGCATAGAAGTAAGGTTACAAATAGAGTTTTAATGAGGATTGCAGATATTTTAGTGTTGGATCCACATGTTCAGCAGTGAAGGTTTACCTTGAAAATCCACAAACAGCATTAAGATGGCCACAGATGCCCGTACTCTACATCACCTATCAATATTCAGAGGAAGTACGGTTTTATGACTTGATTCTTGAAGCTTACAGTGCATTTCACTATGTAATTAGGTGGTCAAGGCTGTGCCAACGTATTTAAAAAGGACATCATCTTTTTTTTTAAAAAAGGACTCTGACAACAGTGGATTGTAAATCTAATCTGCATTCATTTAAATAATCATTATAATCTGGTTTCTTAAAAATTTGTTTAGCAGCTTAATTTTGGCCAAAAAAACTGAAAACATAAGGTGATTAGAAGTCAGACTGCTAGTAAGATTCTACCTTATTCAGACCTGGTAGTGTTCCTACTGCTTCTTGTCTAAGATCAGCTAGTTCAGCACTGGCCTTCCACGCTGTATAGACCAATTAATCGGGTAGTGCATTTATTCACTAACTGGGGAGACCACAGAAGCCTTTTTATTTCTCAAATAAATTAAACTAAATACTGTATTCTAAGAGACGTAACATTTTCTACTAAAACGTAGCTGAAGTTGTTTAGCATAGACTAGTCGGTTAGGGAAGAAAATTGGGGTTAAGGACAATTGTACTGTATGATCCAAAGACAACATGCAGTCTTACCTCCAGTCCATCTGGTGAAATTTTGAGGTATTCACTAACATCGTTGCTGTTCAACATGGCATTAATGTGGCTGAGGTTTACCTTCTCATATGTGAACTGCCTACTGTCTTTCAAAACTGCAGAAAAACAAATAGTTAATTTTATCCAAAGCTATAAACTTAATTGAGACAAGTAATGTAGCGACAAGTTATTTACATTTAGCATCTGAATTGACACTATGTTTTCAGCAATGGTCAAGTGTATGTTCATATGAATTAGGATTGGAATTGCTCTCTAGTAGTTATTTGCCAAACAAGTATGGAAGGTTACATTACCATGTTTCCCTCTATGGAAGAACTTAATATCATTTAAGTTAGCACGATGCAATTTCTCATGGAGAACTTAGCTGCCAAAACTTGCACTGTGATTGCACATGTAGGTTTTTCTGTTGCGATAGTTGTGTACAGTTTTGGTAGTTAAATAACAAAATCATAGCTGTAATATCAATAATGCACTGTAATCTTTATGCGACTTCAATTAAATTAAAATCATTCTTGAGTATTGCTAGCATTTTACCTGCCAGTAAGAATGTAATAAAGTTGAAGTAGAATTGCTTACACAAATTGTCCAGGCTCCACTGTGCACAGAAGCCAACCTGCCGTTTCAGGTAGTCAGTGTGGTTTGCCCAAGACTCCAGCATAACTAGTTGGTCACTAATGCGTGACGCAGAGACAGTTAATTTATTTTCACCTGCAATTACAAGCAGCATTGTGTCAACACAGTTGATCTAATGCTGGAAATAAATGAAGAGATAACAGCTTAAATGCAATACAGAAATGGAATCTGAATATGCAATGATCTCAAACGCGATTCCTTGGTAGGAAATCAGAGCACAGGTTCCTTCAAATAAGTCAGAAATACATTACACCAACTTTGGACTAGATTTTCTGTGTTCCCAGAATGAGCACAATGATTCTGGTAAAGCACCCTTTGACATACTGCTACCTTGTTTGTACGCGAAGGTGGTATGCTCAGCTTGTGTCATTGACTAGACAGTTTACATCCCAAGTGTCAGTTACTCATAGGTTGGAATAGAAATGTGGGTGAGAGATAGGACTGTAGAGCAACAGGCCTGAGCCTAGCCTTACCGGGCTGTTGCGCACCCCTTCCCCAATAGAAGGAACTGGACCAGTAACAGAGCTACTTTCCCCTGTCTACCACTGGTAAGGCCAGGGAAATGTGGACTCCCAATGCTGCCCCAGCTGAGATCAATAAATCCACCATGAACTGGGATTCAAACTAAGCTCCCATCCATAAACTGCATTCTCTACCAACACTGCCCCCTTCATCTACATGTTGATCACAGAAAGATACCTCTAGATCTCACGAGATATTACATCCATCATCATACCAACAGCAAAATGTTAAGATTTAAAGAAAAAGAAAAAAAAACTTACTAGTTTGTGCAAACTTTTCCAGGGCAATAAGAGAGAAAAGCATAACTGTGGGGTGGGATTGTGCACTCTGTAATATGAAACAAAAGAAGACATACAGATTAGAATTTCCATCGATTCACATTTGGTTTAAGCTACAATTCTTCAAAAGATCTGAACAAATACATCCTTTTTGTGGGTTTCATTGACAGCACACTTTGCCTTATGCCGACAAAAGATTTTTTCAAAATCTGTGCAGTGTGCGACTCAAAAGATATTACATTGGCTCTTTCTCCTACCTTCTCGTCAGTCCTGGACTGACGAGAACACACGCAGGTATACAGGAACACTTGCGCAAAAGAGGTTCTTCTGAAATTGCAAATTATGATCCATTAATGGGCTATTTAGAATTCACAATTCCCAGTGGTTTGCAGAAAGCAAAAGTTTTTTTTTTTTTTTTTTAAAGTTGAAGTTTAAAACTTAATCTTTACATTAAATATAGGGTCTTTCATTCCAGGAAACCTCAAAGTGCTTCACAGGATACATTGAAAAGTGTTGTGACTATTTCGTAGGTGAACTCGACAGCCAATTTGCACACAGCAATATCCGACAAACAGCCATGAAGCCAGGACATTAGGAGAAACTTTTTTTGAGAATAGTTTCATGGGATCTTTAACTCCACCTGAACAGGCAGATGGAACTTTGTTTAATGTCTCATACAAATGACAGTATCTCCAATCCCACAAGCACTGGATTTGAGTATCAGTTTATATTGAGCTCAAAGCCCCAATGTTGGGCTTGAACCCACATTTTTCTGAGTCAAAATGAGAGTGCTACCAACTGAGCAGGCTGATGCGTCTAATCCTAACTGAATTCTTCAGGGCTTCAATAACCATCTGGTCAAGAAACAACCTTACCATCATTGAATGTTAGTTTGGTATGAAACAATAAGAAAAAGAGTTTACATTTGTTAACATTGAGTGACTATGCGGATTGCAAAATCTGCACAGGATCACCTCATCAAGACAGCTTTACGTGGCCTAATGCGAATTTGAAAGATATTCAGTACACAGATCAAAGCATTTACAGTACTTACCAAGCTCTCCAGTAAATATTCCAGGGTCCCTGGGCTGAGAAGACCTATGCTAGCAGGACCTGTAAGCGTTGCACATGTTAACAATTAACAATACAAAAGATCATCTCTCATATTGTGATATTTTAAACAAATATTACTCTCAAATCTCAACAGTAACAAGTAAACCCTACAGCTCTAGGTCTAAGCTATCCACCTAAAGCTTATTGCTTTTCATCTCCCCAATTAATTCTGAGTTAACATTTCCATGATACTGGTCAGCCTGTGTTATTTCATCCATCTGATCATTCTTCATGTGCAAGCCTGTTGTTTTATGGACTCCACCTTAGCTGAGTCACATCCAGGCACTTAAATGATTCAAGCAAAGATATCACAGAAAGATCCAGTTTTAATATGCGTTGGTTTGGAGTCAGTAGCAATGACTTTTGTTAGTAACTGGTTGTGTGATGTGTCAAGCTGTGGGAACTCTGCTCCAAACCCCCTACCAAACCCCACACCCATGCCAGTTTGACACTTAAGGTTACCGATAAAAATCGAGGTTGTAAAGAGTTCTAATTTGCAATGGTTTTTGATTTTTAAATTTTACTCCTCCAAAAAGATCACCCGTTTGATAAACTAATGAAGTTTTGTCAGTACAACAACAACAAGATTGCATTTATAGAGCGCCTTTCACGTCGGGAGGACGTCCCAAGGCACTGGACAGTTGGGTCGGGACCCGAGCAGGGGGGAAATGGTCAGGGTGAGGGGAGGGAAGGGAGGGAGCGGGGAGGGAAGGGAGGGAGCGAGGAGGGGGTAGAGAGTCGAGAGGGGAGCTGAAGGCACGTTTGAAGAGAAGGGTCTTGAGACCGGCCTTGAAGGAGGAAAGGGAGGAAGCGGCGAAGGCACCGGGGGATGGAGTTCCTGAGCCTAGGGGCTGAGAGGCTGAAGGCCCGGCCACCGATGGTAGGGCGGTTGGGGCGGGGGATGTGGAGCAGACCGGAGCCAAGGAACGGAGGGTACGGGCAGGTAAGTAGGGGGATAGTAGGTCGGAGAGGTAGGAGGGAGCGAGGCCGTGAATGGCCTTGTAGGTGAGGATGAGGATCTTGAATTCGATCCTCTGGGGGATGGGGAGCCAGTGGAGGCGAGCGAGGGTGGGAGTGATGTGGTCCCGAAGCCTGGTGCGGGACAGTACACGAGCTGCAGAGTTCTGAATGACCTGCAGCTTGTGGAGGGAGGTGCCGGGAAGGCCGACGAGCAGAGAGTGCCCATAGTCCAGCCTTGAGGTGATAAAGACGTGGACCAATGTTTCAGCAGCGTGAGGGGTGAGGTAGTGCCGTAGTCTGGCGATGTTCCGGAGGTGGTGGAAGGCGGTGCCAGTTGTGGTGCGGATGTGGGGAAGAAAGGACAGCTCAGGGTCGAACAGAACACCGAGGTTCCTGATTGGCTTTGAGAGGTGGAGAGTGCAGCCTTGGATGCTGATGCTGTCAGCGCCTGAGGTGCGGAGGCGCTGACGTGAGCCAATCAGGAGGGCCTCAGTTTTGCGCACGTTGAGCTGAAGAAAGTTGTCTCTCGTCCAGGACTCGATGTCGGACAGGCAGCTGTCAGGACATCGGTGGTCGTGGAGTTGAGGGTAGAGGAGGAAAGGTAGAGTTGGGTGTCATCCGCATACATGTGGAAGTTAACCCCATGTCTGCGGATGATGTCACCAAGGGGGAGCATATAGAGGGTGAAGAGGAGGGGACCGAGGACAGAGCCCTGAGGGACGCCGCATGAGACAGTGAGGGGGGTGGAGGAAAAGCCGTTAGTGGAAACAAAATGAAGACGGTTGGAGAGGTAGGACCTAAACCACTCAAGGACAGGGCCTTGAAGGTTGAGGTGGGCAATAGGAAGAGGATAGAGTGGTCGACCGTATCGAATGCGGCCGATAGGTTGAGGAGGACGAGGAGGCAGAGGGAGCCCTGGTCGCAGATGGTCAAGATGTCATCAGTGACCTTGACCAGGGCGGTTGGAGGGGTTCGAATAGTGAATGGGTGGAGAGGAAAGAGCGCAGTTGGGAGGCGACGACTCTTTCGAGAACCTTGGACAGGAAGGGGAGGTTGGAGATGGGCCGGTAGCTTGATATCTGCGATGCATCAAGGGAGGGTTTTTTCAGTGTGGGAGTGATGGTGGCAGTTTTGAGGGGAATGGGAACAGAGCCAGAGGAGAGGGACAGGTTAATGGTGTCTGTGAGAAGTGGGGCAAGGAGGTGGAGCTGGGAGATAAGGAGTGGAGTGGGGATGGGGTCCAGGGAGCAGGTGGTGGGTTTCAAGGACAGGATGAGGTTGGTGACAGAGGGTAGGTAAACGGGTACGAAGGTGTGTAGGGGAGGATGGGTAGGAGTTGGAGTGTGGGAGGGAAGGGGTGGGTGCAAGTTGGAGGGGAAGTGACCGCGGAGCGGATCCCCTTGATTTTGGATTCAAGGAAATCCAGCATCTCCTCACAGTGAAGGTTGGAGAAGATGACCTGCGTGGGGTGGCGGGGGGAACGGAGGAGTCAGGATATGGTAAAGAACAGAAGCCTGGGGTTGTTCTTCGCCTCCAGGATTATCCTGGAGTAGAAAGACGACTTGGCCGAGGCTAGAGTGGAGCGGTAGGTTTTGAGGAGGTCCAGCCAGATTTGCCGGTGGACCGTTAGGCCAGATTTGAGGCAGGTGCGTTCAGCGGAAGGGAGTGCGGGAGGTGATGGAGGCAAGAGTGTCGAGTGTGGAGGAGAGGGTGTTTTGGAGGAGGGTGAGAGCAGAAGAGGGGTCAGTGAGGGATGAAGGCCAGAGGGAGAGGAGTTCAGAGGACTCCAAGGCAGCGGTTAGGAATTGTGGGGGTAACTTCTTCCAGGGGTGGTAGAAGATGGTGGTGGATCTGGTGGCGGTAGGGAGGGGGGTGGAGGTGGTGAAGGAGATGAAGTGGTGATCGGAGATGGCCTTGTCGGTAACGGTGACATCCGAGACACTGAGGAGTCCTGGGTGATCACCAAATCGAGTGGGTGGCCGTGAATGTGAGTGGCGCAGTTGATGTGGAGGGAGAGGTTGAGCTAGGAGAGGAGGGAAGAGAAGGCCGAGGAGCTGGAGCAGGAGGGGGTGAAGTGCAGGTTGAAGTACTTTTCAGCCCTTTCTTGCTCTCCTTCCTGCCCTGAAAGTAGCCACGTTTGCTGTAATATTACAACTGCACAATTTACTAATATTTATTTTTATTGTCAAACCAGAAAACAACCATATTAAAAGATTTAACAATGCCTGCCACATACCTGCTAGCTTTTCAGCCAAGCATCCCAGTACTGCAGTAGTGTTGCGATGTTTAGCTGGATTGGAAGCGTCCTGCTTTGCCACAGATGCACTCAAATTCAACATTTCTGTCAGTTTCTGTAATGCATCCTTAGATTTAAAAAACATCAAAGTTACATACAGTATTAGTAATACAGTACAACACATTTACAAGTTAAAATCTATGCAAAACTATTAAAATCCACAATTCCCACACCTATTTGAATCATGTCAAGACAAGTCTCTCCCTCCCTCAAACTTCAGGCAATGCACTTTATTGGTGTAATTCACCGAGTCCAAAGATTTGGGGGTGGGGGGGGGGTGGGGAACATAGAATTCAAGAACTTCCAAAGTCCAGATCATTCATAAAAAAAAGTATAATCTGCCTTATTTCTCTCATCCCAATCTCACAGGGGCAAATACTAGACATTTCTCAGAATCCCAAGAAGCACTTACTTTGGTAGGTAGTGGACACTCATCAAGTAGTAAAGTGATGACAGCTGGTCCCAATGGATCTTCAAGAGGAATAACTCTGATCAGGGACTGCACTACTTCCAGCCAACCTTCATCTGTCACCAAGAAAGAATTCACAAGGGTTCAGTTTACGCCAGCTGGCTCCAAAACAGAGAAGTTAGATCATGCATGCTCATCTCAAAACATTATTGATCTCTGAAACTTTAAGATAGTGGAAAATTAGGAACGCTTCTTGAGATTCTATGGGAAGATGGAATAGCTTATTGCTAGAATGAGAAAAGTAGCCACAAAATTTAGCACATATAAAATACTATTTAAACATAGAGTTTGCTGTCTGCTTCTACTCCAGGTATATCAAGTTCATCTCTCCTACTCATAACTGTGAGGATAAAGGTCCAGATTCACTCACTCACTCTTGTCTTAAGACTCTCTAGAAATTCAATCGGCTTTTATAGATCGGCTACCATAAACCGTTCACAATATTCCAATGTGGCCTTTATGTGAGGTTAGAATTACTTTTAGTCAAATGTCACTGAGGAGAAACCAACAGTATTTGATTGGTTTAGATGTGTTTTGCATTGGAAAGCTGAGCTCTTGAGTAAATTGAGCTCTCAATAAAAAGGTAACCAGGATATTTGGAAACCTGCTGTAAAGTAGCCCTACATCTGTGTGCAAAGGTCCAATTGTGATTATGGTTCCATCTTTGCAATAGTGGTCAGCCCGAAAAACCTCTGGCTCATCTATAACAGTGTCTTCAAGATACATTTTTTTTAAAAAAGTGGGTGAGGAAAAGCAACTACAGCATCCAGTCACATAAGATTGCAACTTGTTCAACCCATTTCCAGGAAAATAGCAATTGTGGGCCATTACATCAAACCAAATTACTAGTTAGCACAGGGCATTCCCAAATGCCTGTTTTGCCATGAACTTCCAATCAGGGTATCTGGAATTTGAAAAAAAAATGCCCATACATACTTGATGGCAGTTTTGGCAAATGGCCCAGCCTGGCTGATGGCAAGTTTGAAGTCGCAATGTACTTTTTAATAAAATGAATCGATCAACTGTGAGCATTGTTTAATGTCGACAAAATTCCATTGCTGAACCTCTGCACATTAAAAAGGCTCCCCTTTGCTGGTCTGGATTAGCTGGGAAAGGGCAACACTCATAACATGAATTGAAAGAACAAATGTGCCACTGTTAAGAGCTTACTGGGTTGCTTGCCACTAACGTAACATTTTTTTCCCCAAGACTCACTTTTTTTTTAACCATCAGTGATGAAATACAGTAGATCATTGTAGTTCACAACTAATCCAGCACTAATTGAAACTATAACATTAAATTGAATTTTGACCTGCACACGATTTCCAAACCCGGGACCACAAATCTACAGGTAAGTTACTAAGTTGCATTGCTCTTTTGGTTCAGTTATAAATTGTCAAGAAGACAAGCAGCAAGGTGGCTATTTCAGGAAAAAGTTTTACAGAGACATTGATATTAGGGAACTACAGTGAAACTCTGATAAATCGTCATCCGAGCTCAAATGACTACTTATCAGAATTGATTAGTTATCCAAAGTGCAATATCTAGAAAGAACAAAATATTTGAATAGCCGGGATATTGAGTGAGTAACTAGTTATGTGGGGTTGACTACTTATCAGAGGGGTTAGTTCTCAGAGTTTCACTATAGATAGATACCTAAAGAGGAATATGAGATATGGGGGAAAAGCATCTGAATGGATTGCTCTTTCAAAGAGCCAGCACAGACACAATGGGACAAATGGCTTTTCTGTGCTGTAGATTTCTATGGTTCTATGATATAAATCTCTGGTTGTTATGATTTTAAACCTTTAATCGGATTCCTAGAACCTTACAAGCTTCAATAATGCTAATGGACTCAATCATCAGCGTAATCTATAAAAGAGCACACTTAAAATGTTTCACTTTTCATGCTGTTCTTTCAATTTAAAAGGATGGATCAGAGTTTATTTTTCCAATACGAAGCAACAAATTAAATATAAATATCTAATGTTTTGCAACCAGGTCACGATTCTCATGACATAATCAAAATCCTTATCATGACTGTACTGCATCCTTATTGAACCTAATGATCAGTCACAATATTGTATCAAAAAAATTCCCAGCATTCGATAACTACCATTGACAATGTCTAATGAGCAAACCTCTCCCAATCCTACACAGTCAATGTTTTTTGATTAAACACTCAACCCATATGCAGATGGATGGCTAGAGTATCTATCTCTTACCTCTCTCCACTCCTCCCCATCTCCTGCAGCCATGGATAGACAGCCATGTACATTTAAAATGTCAAAGCTGTATTAAATACAACTTCTTGGGACACCCTCCCGACATGAAAGGCACTATACAAATGTAATTTTGTATTGTAAATATTTAATAACCACACCCAAGACTTGGAATCGGAATGGCTCCAGTATCACTTTCATATTGGGACAAAACTGTCTCTGCAAATAATACCCCTTTGTGCCAGTCTTAAATAGCCAGTTCAGAGCAGGATTTCAACCACTTTTCAAGCAGGATTAAAAAAACATTTTGTCAATAGATGCAGCTTCATTGTTTAACAAGAACAATGTTTCCTGGAAGCAATTTTGCTGCTTGAAGGATTAAACACTATAGCAGTCATTGCCAGCATTACTGGACTGGACCAAATGGCTCTAATCTGCACATGGTGTTAAATATACACTGTCAACTATTCGTGTCATCAAGATGACATCGTCAGCTCTATATCCACTTAGACAGATTAGGTGCAATATACCAAGAGACTTGATGAAAGAAATGCATAGAAACTGCCCTTAACCTACGGCTGGAGAATTTTAGGATTTACACAGCTCAGGAAAATTAAGATTAGCACCTTCATTGTGGAAACTTTGCTTGAGGAAACCAATGTTGGCTCACATGACTCTTCAACCCACCCATGAAGGTGGTACAAGATAGTGGTGCTGTACCCCAAAGCAATTGAATTTAGCCCCTGCAGTCCTTATCCCAACCATACTGTTTGGGAAAGCATTGGGGAACAAACCTCAGAACATAGGGTCAAAAAGCTGGGTACAGAGATACAGTTGTCAAATCCTAGAACTATGCGTCAGCGCTGTACTTGTGTATTGTAGGGTTTGGCAGAAATCTACAAGGGAGCACAATTTGTTTTCAGGACTGACATTTTTGGAAACAGCATACAATAAAAACACTTCAATGAAATTTCTTACACATCTCTGAAGAGTGGTTATCATTTATACCCATGTGGTTGCAGATTGAGGGTTACCAGAATACATAAACCCACAGGCTTGGAAACCACTACACAAAGCCATCAATGGACTGAGTTTAATTCCACTACATGAATCTGAGCAAGCTAACCTACACTTTACCCTCTCCCTCTGGAGACAGGGCAGTACATGAACCGACACGTCTGGTCTTGTGCTCTGTACAAAAAAAAACAACATCCAACCCGAATCAAGGACGTTCTATAAAACCACAAGCCTTTAGGTTGCGAGTTCAAGCAGTTAAGTTGCTGCACAGTAGTTCAATAACCTATCTGTATTCCTTGTTTCTAGTAAACTTTGTTAGTTGATACATTAAATATTCCAGTTGTTGAAACAGTGTAATTAGCTTCTATTATATTGGTTTGAATGACACCAACACAGAAGTAATTGCAGAGAAATTTAATCCTTAGGTAACTCAGCGACATTAATTCAGAAAAATATCAAATATTCAACAAAGAAAGTACTCTTACTCCTTTACTCCACTAGGAAAAGAGCAAACAAATTTGATATTACAAGTACGATCTACGTACTAATTCTTTTTTGCAGCCCCTACAAAAAAACAGGTTGTTCACAAGTTTTGCCTACAAAAAAGTGTTCACTTCCCACATTCTTTGTGCGTTTATTATAAGCACATTGCAGATCTACTTTGCTTTAATGTAAGAATTTGCAACACGACCTATTAGTTGCATCAGATGTGAGTTTGATAACAAAGAATCTTGCACAACAGTCACAGCTTTAGATTTCTGGCAGTAACTCTCCTCATCTCCTGCTTGTTCAAGCAGCATGTGCAAGTACAAATTCTCTAATTTACACTTACCCAAACTAATTCTCAGCAGTAATGTACACATTAACCGTACATACCAAGTAATCTTCCTTTACATTACATTTCATAGACGATTGCATTCACCAGAAGGCAACTTCCTTGGGTTGAAAGGTTGTCCCTTTCCTGGAGTACTGCTGGTACCCGTCAAATGGCTATTCTTCATTCAAAAGCTATGCCGAAGGTTTATTTCACCATGGCTTAGGTCACAATTGAATCCAATCCTATCCTGAAATATCCAAGCACTTTTCAGCAAGAGCATGGCACTACAGCTGTTTCTCTCCTTTTCCAGTCCAGTTTACAACCAAATGTTAATTCAGTACACATTGAGGAGTGAGCCAAAACTCTTCCTGGCCTGTAGGCTTTATACATGAAACGCATAATTAACGCATAAACGCATTATTATGCATTTGATATAGCACCTCATCATGTGCTCGAGACATCTCAAAGCGGTTCAGAGAATGTACTGTAAAGTTAATTTACAGTAAAAACAATAATAAATTGGTCATTTTCAATCCATGACTGTTTGTGGGACATTGCTGTGCGCAATTGGCTGCCACGTTCGCCCACAAATATATAGTCAATTCACTTTACAGTGTGTTCTGTGAAGCGCTTTGGGATGTCCTCCCGACGTGAAAAGCGCTATATCAAATGCAAGGATTATTATTATTATTATTAATTGACTGTATATTTTATGGGCAAAACGCAGCAGCCAATTGCGCACAGCAGTGTCCCACAAACAATCAAGGATTAGGTGACCAAATTTTTTTTTTTTTGGAAGGGATTATTAAACCAGGAAAAGGATCTTCCAATCACATGTATGAATAGAGGGAATCTGAAATCTTAAAAACGATTTTATCTAATTTAGATGGAACTTTCTGTTGCAAAACCCTGGCTACATTGACATTAACCATTGTATCTCTGCACTGTGGTCTCAGAAATAACAGCATTAAGTTCTTAAAAAAAAGCAGTGTTCCTTTGATGGCTCAGTTAGTAAAGCCATTGGCTAGAATAAAACCGAAATGGATGGTTGTGCATTTGATCCCTTGTCAATGCATGAGTCAGCTAATCTCAATCAGTGCAGCATCAGGGACACCACAAATCAAGACAGGTTTCCATTGCTGACAGCTATACAGCAAATTTCCAACCATCAACCACAGTCACGCATCCTGCCAATGCTCATCCCCCAAATAAAAATTTAACGAACTAGCATAAAGTTTAAAACAGCATTAAAAAATAGGGATACTTTTCAATAAAGCAATTATGAGAAATTTGCTGGGCTTTCATAATAACTAATAACTTTCATTCTAACAGCTTCTGCAAATCAAAGTAAAGTTTGCTTACTCGAAAACCTGTATCCCCCAACATGGCCCCTTTCTGTCCCTTATCCTCCATTAATCCACCTCCTCTTTGAACATGATTCAGTCATGCTCCCAACCCCATCCCCTTTGCCCTCCACCCCTCTTGATTCCAACATCCAGTTCGGGTGCAAACCCTTCACTATCCAGCAGGTTGGGACATCATCCTGACATGAAAGGCGCTACATCACTAAGAATGTTTAAGAGCAGTTTGAATTTACTGTATAAATATATGCGCCATTTGAATGTAAAATTGTGATTAGTGGTTTACAACAACAAAATTACATTTGTATAGCGCCTTTCACATTGGGAGGACGTCCCAAGGAGAGTGAGGGGCTTGGACAGATAACCAGTCTTGATCTGTTAAGCACAGGATAACTACCCACTTTAGTTAAGAGGGGCCTAACAATGGGGAGAGAGATAACACAGAAAATATTTAAAATAGTGTTAAGGAGACACTTCAATTTGTGTGACAAGTCAGCCCTGTAAAATGCAATCCATCAGTAGCAGTAAAACTGCTTGCATTTAATTTAAACTGGTTATCTTTAAGAATTAGTTTGAAAAGAAAGATTACCTGTCTCTGCCATTTCATGCAGTGTGATCATTGAATACGGAGGCTCCTGGTCACTAAAAAGAAAAAAAGAGATTAATCCGCATACTGTACAAAATGCTCAAACATCGGAGTCTCAACCATGCATCTATTAACTTGCTTTGTAAAGTTAACTTGCAGAATTTCTCATAGCAGTATAATAAAATATAAAATAATAATCCTTGCATTTGATACAGTGCCTTCATATCTTGTCTTCGAGACGTCTCAGAGTGCTTCACAGAACATACTGTAAAATGTAGCGAATGTATTTTGTGGACGAAACGTGATAAAGTATGGAATTAAAGAGAAAGATTGTTACTAGTAATAAAGCCTTGCAGGGATAGAACAATGCTTTGAAATGCTTAACTTTAGAGAAGCAGCAGAGATTTTCCACTTCCCCCTTCATCAAGAGAATATTGCCAACTAAGGTGTTGAACCATGATTTAGGTAAGTTTTGTGCTTAGGTTCACACCCATGAGGAAGTGCTGCCAAAACCAATTTCAGTTTTATTTAGGACTCTTAGAGTCACAGGAAATATTTTTTCACTATCAGCTGAAAAGAAACCAGATTCTCAGAGCTTAAAAGAACACTGCTTTACTAATCCACTTTGGCACTCAGTCCCCATGCGGTATGTCTTCTTTCATTCATAGCATTTAATATTGCACACATTAAGACACCAGGTGTGAGGGTCGGTGGGTAACTGGACAATGCTACATGTTCACAAATAACTCACTAGCTGCATTCCACAGCAGTCCTAAGTCCAACAAAGTTGGTTTGATTGGGTCCTAAACAAAAACAAGGGACTTGTATAACAATGCATAAAGCAGTACATTACGAGATCACCCTCGCTTGTTCAAAGGTAATACTGCAATAACACATGCAACCTAATTGCAAGAATGTCAATCTACCTCAGTAGATATAGAACTATTCTTGAAAACCATTGTGGGCTTTCACTGTTCAAGTTATTTGGCATTCAAAATTACACTACCCTACATGATTTACTAAAAAATGTTGTTAATCAAGTAGATAATGCAGTACTCAATTATTTAATTGCACCACAAATACACAACAAAATCTTATGCTAATACCAATTCTCCTAATTTTACACAACGTGAAGAGTATTTTTTAATTAAAATATATATTATATAAAATATGTAAAGGATTGGTAAGGGAAACTTAGTTAATGAAAATGTGTATTGATTTTTTTTCTAATTTGTTATTCATAAATAAATTGGTTCTAAATCAGGTACCTCTAGTGCTGCGTAGATTTTACAACAACCTACTGAGTTTGCCTCTGTCAATTTATCTTCTTGTCCCCCAAAATATGATCATTAAAGCGAAAAGCCAAGTTACTATCTTCTGCAGCTGAAAGCATATAAGCCAATGGTATGACTAGCATTAAGTGTTCCATTTTAAGAAGGGGAGTTTTTTTTCCCCCCCAATGGTCCATTTATAAATTCTACCAATTGTGTTTCTCCAATTATTAAGGGAAATTTCTGCCTGGAATTGCAATTGAAGGGTCTTTAGAACACATTGTAGCTGACAGCACTTGCTGAACAGCTGTGCAAGAAACAAGCTTGGCCTATAAGTAAAGCTCTTCCTTTCTATAAGTTTGTGTAAGAAAAAGTTGAGTCACCCTTTCTTTCGCTGTAACAGCTGAGCACACAGTAGCATTAGCAAATGTCGACAAAGTTGATTGTCCACCCACAAGAATGGAACTTCCCCATTATAAGTGTGGAACAAAAAGTTTGTCAGTATTAGCAAACAATATAATACAAAATAAAGAACTTGCCTAGTAATCTCTCAAGAGAACAGTCCTTTATTTAATTTGGAAATGAAGAAAAGCAGTTATGATCATTACTACGCCATCCTTCAATGACACCATTTAGATTATTGTGTGGGACTAAACCCTTCACAAGGCTTCTTATAAAAAGCCCTACTACCTCCACATTGTTTCAAGGCTGAGCTACCATTTAGGCCACAAATTTCATATCATCAAATCTCCAAAATCTTACTTTGGCCCTTTGATATGGGTTACTGTATTCTGAAGCACAAGTGCAGATATTCACTTTGCATCTTTTTGCTGCCAATGTGGAGCATAGCTTAGTTTGAAGGCAACACACTGTATGTGATAAAATAACAAATACAAAAAAGCTCAATGACACAACTCTCAATTAGCTGCCCAGGAAGGAAATCAATTTAATAAAGACAATGGATTCTCCTTTGGTCATTTCTAACTCAATACACTCTCATCAAATCTTTCTGTGGCATCAATAACTTCCATAGACTACTACTACTTTCATATGGCAAAAGAGGCGATGAGCAATGTTCAAATAGCGAAGTCCAAATTCGATGGGCAAGTTCATAAATACTTACCCCTAGTTTTGTCCTATTTGAGTCATAAAAAGATAACATTAACTCAGCACCCTTGCAAGGTGCATGCAATGTATTTACGTTACAGTGCACCTGACAACAAAGTAAATGAAACTGACTACGGTGGCTGGAAACCATAAAGATGCAATTTTGGTATGTTCTTCAGGAGCCAGCAGTACAATTATGATATGAACTTTGACACAAGGCCATAATTTATTTCCAAAATGACAGGTTTGTCCTGCACAGTTCTTGAAATGTTCACAACCCTTTCAGAAAAGGGGATAAGCAGCATTTTTTTTAAAAAAGAGGGCTCGATGGATAAACAATTGGCCCCATAATAATAATACTTGCATTTGATATAGTGTCTTATTATGTCTTCAAGACGTCTCAAAGCACTTCCTAGAATATACTGTAAAGTGAATTGACTGTATATTTGTGGGAAAAAGTATTACATCCCGTATTAAACCATAGGTTTAATCCGTATTCTGCTGCATTAGCCCATCTCAATTGGACTGGCTAGAAGATGGCTAGAATAAAACAATGCTCACAAACTGCTGGCAGCTCACCTCAAGTTCCCACTCCTAAATATTGTTGACAGACTGGATTGGGTTCAGGTGTGAATCCTCTCTATGGTCAAACAATGAAGTTGACACATATGAATGATCTTTGCTATTAAATAAACAGAAGGTATTTAAATGCTCAATTTAATTCAGTAATTGAATATATTTGATGATGTAGTATCTACTCAGGCAACCATCAGATACTCGCTACAGTCGTTGCTGACTTTAATTTTCAGGATAAAACCAACAGTTGCATTTAGCAAATAGTGCAGTGGTCATGGCATTTTTGCTCAGTCCCTTACTTTGAATTTATTTACTGGCAACTAAATTTTACAACTGCAATCAAAAAATATTTACTCATACAGCTCACAGCAAAACCATAAAATAATCTTAACTTTACAGTATATTCTGTTAAGTGGTTTGAGACGTCCCAATGACGTGTTACAGCACTATATCAAATGCAAGGATTATTATCATTTTACAGCAGAACTTCAATTTATATCAATATCCAATCTGACCAAGTGCTGAATTACGTAACTGGTCTATGACACTGCGGTACATCTGGCAGGGCGAAACCTTGGGCAAGTTTCCTTACTCCACACAGAGCCTAATAATAATCCCTCCAAAACCAAAAACAATAATAAATTGGTCATTTTCAATCCACGACTGTTTGTGGGACATTGCTGCGCGCAATTGGCTGCCGCGTTCGCCCACAAATACACAGTCAATTCACTTTACAGTGTGTTCTGTGAAGCGCTTTGGGACGTCCTCCCGACGTGAAAAGCGCTATATCAAATGCAAGGATTATTCTTATTATCATCAACCTTGATAATAAGCTACCAACTGGCACGCAAAAGAATGGCGAAGTCCATTGTAAACTTTTGTGCTGCTCGGGTAAACTTGACCTGTATTGAAAAGGATTTCCATTGCGGTTGATAAGTACCGTACAAGCATCAGGAAGCGCACTACGTGACCTCACCAATCTTCTTGCCTGTCAGGCACTGGCCTGGTCCATGTCCTCCAACCCTGCCCCAACATCAGCAGTCAGGGCCTTCCAGTCCTCCTACCCCCACCCTCAAGAACTCCATCCCTTCGCCTCGCCCCTTCCCTCCATACCTTCAAGGCCCGAATGTGAAAGGTGCTATATAAATGCAATTTGCCACTGTTACTGGGTGGGTGGGTGGGGATTCACACACATATATATATATATATATATATATATAAAGTTCAGTCACTATGGATCACAGTGACTTTGCTTCAGCTCTTCGTGTGGAAATGCAACGAAGCTCGTGTTCGCTTTCCGACCGAGAGGGAAGGATTTGAAAACCTGCGCTCTTCGCAAAGTCTTGATGTCCCCGGAAAACCGCGCAGTGCCAAACCAGACAGTTCAGCCCCTGACGGTGTAAACGCACGAACAGCAGTGGGCGGTCAACAAGCGCACACCACCAGGTGGGACAGTTAACTGAGGCTGTGTGTGTGTGTGAGAGACGCTGAGCAGTTGGGGAAGGGCGAGTGAGGGCTGTAGGGTGGGGCAGCGAGGCTTGGGCCAGACCCGGGGGGGGGGGCAATGAGGCTGGTAGGAGAGACTGAAGGGGCAACAAGGCCAGGACGAGAGGCTGGAGGGCAGTGAGGGGTGGCCGGAGGGTGAGCCACTTACTTGTCCACCAGTGTGCGGATGACCGCCAGGGTGTCCAGCACCAGCCCGTCCACATTCTGCTTCTTCCTGCGAGGCTCGTGGGGTCCCCGTCCCCTCCTGGGCGGCCTGACCGGCTCCCGGGAGCGGTTCCTGGGCTCGGCCTCGGCGCCGCCGCCGCTGCTGTGGTGGTGGTGGTGGTGGTGGTAATGAAGGGACGAAGACAGCGGAGGCGGAGGCGGCGGCGGCGGCGGAGGAGCGTAGCGCTCGGCCTGTCCTCCCGGCTCCCGGGGACCCGCGTTCCCCTCGGCGTCGCTGTCCTCCCGGCACACGCAGCTGTTTCCCATCCGGTCTGTGGTAACGGCGGGGACGGCGGCGGCAGCAGCAGCAGCAGCGTCGGCGCCGCCGCCGAGCGCCTCTGCGGTGAGCAGTAACCCTCGCACCAGGCTCCTGCTCGCTTGGAAGGCGATCCAGACGGCAATGATCATCTAACAGGGCCCCCGCCGCGGCTCGGTCACCATCCTCGCCGCGCCGCTGGCCTGGCCTGGCCTGGCCGCCGGGCGCCGCCTCACTCACTGTAGCCGCGCACAGCGGAGGCGGGGGCCCAGGCCCGCCGCCATCTTGCCAGACATCACGGAAACAAACACACACGCGCGGCCTCCCCTCCCTCCCTCCCTCCCTCCTCTTCCCACTCCTCCTCCTCCTCCTCTCCGCCGCGGTTGTTGCTGCTGCTGCTGCTGTTACTGTCGACGTCGTCCTACAGCTGCAGCTGCTGCTCCTCCTCCTCCGCCGCCGCCACCGCCCCCCCGGCGTCGTCAACATGTTTGTAAACACCTCAATCGCCACAGTGCCCCCACCGGCATCAGACAGACAGACAGACAGACTGACTGACTGACTGACAGAGAAAAGCAAACACCGCCCGCCCGCGGCTAATAAACGCGGCCGCCCGCCCAAGCACCAACACTACGCTCGCGCTTTGACACCTCCACACCTTTATTATTTGGTTTCAGGTCCACCGGCGCCCGCCCGCCCGCCCTGAGGAACTGACAGAGAGAGAGAGTGTGTGTGTGTGTGCGCATGCGCGGTGTTATTGGTTCACTGACTTGACTGACTGAGTGAGTGAGTGGGGCTATGTTGTCTGGTCTGGGCTGGGAAGGGGGACCCTTGTAATACTATAATATCAAGGCCCGACTTTAGTTTTTTTTTGGCGCGGCTGCACTTTCGGGCCCGTGACGTCACTTGAGCTACATTACACCTGTCCCATGAGCTTGTGATGTAATCTTGGGCTTTCATGACTCAAAAGAGAAAGAAATAACAACCCGCATATATTTACATGTTGCCCCCCCCACGCGGGATAGCGTCTTGGAGCGCTGTACGATGGCGAGGTTGGACAAGGAAAAGGGGTGAGGGAGGTGATCATAGGCGCAGTCAAAAGAGGTGAGTTTTAAGGTTAGATTAAAGGGGGGGGGGGCGGGGGGCTAGGCAGTGGAAAGAAAGACTGCAGATACATGGCAGTGTTATTTTTCTTCACTCCTCGTGTCTCCTCCATGGTATCTCCTACTCAGTTGGAGCTATCCTTCAATTTTGCACAATAATTGTAAGCCTCAAGGCTGCTTGAATATTGGTACCAGTCACTGAGGTGGGGGGTGGAGAAGATTACAGGATGCATACCCCCCAAAATGTCCGTTCAAGTCTCATGAATATCAGCCCGGCTCATTTGGTAGCACTCTTGCCACTGAGTCGCCTCTGTGGGTTCAAGCCCCACAGCGGGCCTTTGAGCTCACATAGTCTAGGCCAAGACTCCGATGTAGTGTTGGAGGTGACTTGCATAGTTGGGGGTTGGCATGCTTCAGAAGATGCATTAAACCGAAGTCCGACTGTTCAATTGGAGATTAAAAATCCTTTGAGCTATTCCTGGGGTTATGCTCAACAATCCCCCAGAAAAAAATGCAATTAACCTCACAGCTGTTATTGGAACATTGCTATGCACAAATTAGTTGCTGTTTACCAACAAATTCAGTCATTACATTTTACAGTAAAAGCACCTTGAGATATTGACTATGTGATAAGGTGTTTGATCAAATGCAAGGCTTATTATTGTCAATTTGATATAGAAATTGTATTATCTTATCTGTATTAACTTACTTGAGTAATGAGTTTGATGTCCGTTCACAATTTTTTTCATGCATCATTGCTCCCAGTGTGTATCATTTATAAATAGGAATCGGCTAATTAAAACCTGGCCCCAAAGGATCAACCAATAAAGCAGCTGTTACGTACAGCAAATAAAATTAACACTTTCGGAAGAATTTTCAAATAAGTATTGCAATCATTTTTTGTATCTATTTTGTGTCATCTTTAAATTATATGTAATACAATTTCTTTATTATTCTACTCCAAAATAACAAAATAATTGCCAGCCAGTGTCAGCATCTAATAAGACCAAACAAAACACACAAACATAAAAGCCCTCCTAAAAGTACACAATAGTAACTCGTAGACTACTAGCAAGTCACCAGAGGCTGCTTTTTCTGCAGGTAAATTGACTAGTCTACAACTGCACATTCACTACATTTTACAGAAAACTGTGAAGCACTTTGAGATGCTTCAACATAAGCCACTGTACGAAATTCAAGAAGTAATATTTTGTAATTTTTTTTTAGCTGTGATGCCCAACTCAATTGAGAGCGTTCTCACCTCTGGTTCAAGTCTCACATTGGGATTTTGAGCACATTGTTCAGACTGACACTACTTCTTCAATAAGACGTTAAATAGAATCTGCCAGTTTTAGTGGATGATAAGGATCCCATGCACTATTCAAAAAGAGAAGAGAGTTTCTCTTGATGTCCTGGTCAACAATCCTTCAAATAAAATTGATTGTTCACTTTGCGGCTATTCGTGGGACATTCCGTCATGTGCAAATTGGCTACCACATTTGCCTACAAATACACAGTAACTACACTTCACAGTAATTCCTTTGTCATCTCTGTCATATCAACAAAACGATAAGGCAAATTTAGGGATTATTATTAAAAAATGAATTTTACACCAATCCTATATTAATCTTAATTTTCAAATTTCAGGATAGCTTTAGTACTGTGCCATTAATTCATGCATTTATTACAAAAACATGTTGAAATAATCACACACATTACCTGTACTCTCCTTGCCTTCATGTATTTACTTCCTATTATCTCCATCTCCTTTGTATTGAATTAACTTTGTTTTTAACCAGTTTTGACCTCTTTTCTGCCGATTCTGTGCCTTTACCCACACTTTTTCTAACCTTAAAACCTATCACATGCCTTTTTGCCTCTTCCTTGCAGTTCCCACTTTCCAAAGTGAACGGTGGGAGAGACTTTTCTTTTAAAAGTGCTTTTCATTAGTTGAAAACTGGTTTTACAGACAGGAGGCATGGCCAATGGGTCACCAAGAGATTGATCAACAGGACTGCATCACAGCTGCAACCAGATAATTTTCTTCATTGAGATTCTATTCTCATCCTACTAACTTTCCACAGGAGTTAATGAAGTGTGGTGACTTTGTATTTTGTAGACAAACGCATGTGTTTGTGTTCAAATCCATTCACTCCCTGGCACCTCCCTACCTCTCCGACTTCCTCACTCCCCAGTCCCCCACCCAGCACCTCCATTCGACTGGCACCGGCTCCTGCTTGTCCCTGGCACTCTCCATCCCACCATTGGAGGTCGTGCTTTCAGCCACTACGCCCCAAAACTCTGGAACACTCTCCCTCAATCCCTCCACCTTGCCCCCTCTCTCCCCTCTTTCAAGTCCTGCCTGAAGGCTTTCCTGTTCGACCGTGCTTACAGCCACCTCCCCCTTCCCCCCCGGCTCGGAGTCAGGCTCTGCTACTGTTAAGCGCTCTGAGATGCTACCCCGCGTGGAGGGCGCTATATAAGTGCAAGTTGTTGTTGTGGTGCCCTCTACCCGAGTAGTCATTCTTCTATGATCTAGAACTGGATTGAATTGTGCTGAATCCTCCTCTGCCTGGTTCAGGAGGACACTATATCACTATTTGAAAAGAGTAGGGAGTTTCTCCTGGTGCTCTGGCTAACAATCCTCCAATAAAATTGGGTATTCCCTTTAGGGCTGTTTATGGGACATTGCTGCGCACAAATTGGCTGTTGCGTTTGCCTACAAATCCATAGTCACTACACTTTATAGTAAAATGCCATGAAGACTTTTGAGACCTTTTGACGACATGAGGTGTTATATTAAATGCAAAGCTTATTGTTATTATTATAAAAAAACAGCCACTTGGACAAGGTAACAGGTGTTATCTTAAAGCCACAGAATGAAAGAACATCAAACGTCAGTGACTTCAGCAAAGGAAGGAGGAATGGGAGAAACAATGTCCCACAAACAGTCGTAGATTGAAATGATCAATTTATTATTGTTTTTGGTTTTGGAGGGATTATTATTAGGTGTGTGGAGTAAGGAAACTTGCCCAAGGTTTTGCCCTCTCCCTGGAATTGAACTCAGGTCTCTCGCTTGCAAAGCGAGTGCTCTAACCACTGAGCTACAGGACTCCTGCAACTGCAGAGAAGTTCCCACTGCAGCAAGCACAATCCTACTGCAGCGTCAGCCCAAGCCCATGACCACCATGGTACCAGTGCTGGAGGGTGTTCAAATCCATGCTGTGTCAGGAAGCCAGCCTTTCCAGAAAATGGCCTTGTTACAGTCTATTTTAATAATAATCCTTGCATTTAATATAGTACCTTTCACATTGCTGCCTCCTCTCTAAGTGCTTCACAGAGTTTTTCTGTAAAGTGTAGCGACAGTGTATTTGTAGGCGAGTTGCTGATTGTTAATAATAGCAATTTGTCTCGCTACATCTTCATAACGGTCACTATAAACACATCGTGAAAAGATGGTTATTTTTAGGATCAGCAAAAGACACCCTCTGCCTCTTTGAAGGAAGTTTTACGGTTCTCAAATATCACGACAACCACCCTATAAATAGCTGATGGAAACTCATCCAACTTGCGCAAATGGATAGAAGACGTCAATAGTTTGAAAATATAGCTACTTATACAGACAACGGGAAGGCACAGAGTAAAGAGTGACCAGGAATATGGTGGGCTGCTCAGCTTAAAGCCAGGACATGGATGCAACTTAACATGAGTATTTCAGTAACAACTGTTGGAAACAATCATTTTGCTTGGCTGGTATTATGTGCTTTTAAATTCCAAGTAGCCAAGATCGAATACTTAGTTTAATGTGATGATTGGCAGACCACCAAAATAAGAAAAAGTGGTTCATCACTGACACAATTTACTCCGTAAGCAGTTATTAATGGAATGATTCTCTCACTCATAACATAAAGTGTGCCCGTTACAGTAAAGGACATTGCGAGCCACAGTATAGGGCATATCATGTTGATATCCTGGTATGATCAGATGTTATCTTTCAAATCCCTAGTTAGCTTTAAACATAAGCATGGGACCAGCAGTATGTACACCAACATATTTGTGATGCTGCACTATGAGATTGTACTAGATCACCTAACGACCACTTTTCAGTAAGGGTCACTGGAGAGAAAGCAGGAATGGGAAGCTTGGATAATTTTCCCCTTGCAAAAGTCAGGAGGCACTGAGGTTAACTGTATCCACCCTACCTGGGCTGGGATTAATTAACTCATCAGGAGATGAAACTTCTGTCTGACTCACTGCTACATTGGGCAATGCCGTTACTAACCAGTCCTTCAGTTAGCTGCTGTTTACTGTTTAATTTGGTTTTGGTTCAAACACTTGGCTACAAGAATACATGCTGGGCAGACGCTGGTTGTATAATTGATTGTGGCTGGGTGTGTAAAACCCCTGATACTACTCAATGTGTCCTCCGTGCAACAGTTGGGTGAATTGGGGAAGTTTGATTGAAAAAATAATTGATGCAATAAAACTAAAAACTGAAGGAAACACTCCCAAAATTAGAGGTATTAAACCAAATGTAATGATTATTTATTGGCAAATCAACCTGAAAGAGAAAATGTTAAGATTTTGGATATGACCCATCATCAGAATAAATCAGTAACCTAATTTTCTCTTTCAGATTCACTTTGTTTCCAGTATTTTCAGTTTGAATCCCTATCCCTCTCCTGGAGGATCTTGATTGATGGGCACAGGCCACCAATACCTTACACAAATGCTGCGTTTGCCTACAAAGTGCAGTCACTAGTGTTTATAAAGGGACCTGTGAGACATCCTCCTGACATAAAAGGTGAAAAATCAGAAATATCACTGTTTCAGTACTTGGGCAACAGTGTTTTGCCCAACCGTACTTGTGCAATTTCCTGCAAGCTCACTCCCCCGGTCATTCACTCCACTCACCAACTCTGGCCTTCTTTATGTCCTTCATCGCACTCTCAGCAGAGATGCTTTTACCACTTTGACACACCTTCTGAAACTCTCTTCTGAAATCCTTCCACTTCTTCTTGGTGTCGCACCTTTCACAGCTACTTCACAGGACCTACTACAAAGTGCAGTGACTGTGTATTTTGTAGGCAGTTGGATTTCAGATTTCCGACATTGGCACTTTTTTTCTTCGCTTTATCTCAAGATATTGTGCATTCATAGAAGCTTCTTATTTTAAAATACCGTTGAAGAACATTACAGGAAAAAAGGTATTGTACATACTTTTATAAATAAAATTGACCATTTAACTTCAATGGCTGTTTGTGGGACATTGCTGGGCGCAAATTGGCTTCCGCGTTCGCCGACAAACACACAGTCACTGCACCTTTAGTAAAATTCCTGTGAAGCTCTTTGAGACGTCTCCACGCTGTGGTGAAGCGCAAGAATTATCATTACCATTACTTTAATTGGACACATTCACACCAATTTGCTGCTTTTTTTTCCCACACACACATATACGTATTAAAATATATATAAAAACATAAATGAAAAAAAAACTAATTGTCTAAGATCACAGATATTAAACGGTTTAATAAAAAGCACGACGGCTCAGCAAATGGGAAACCAAATAGAATAAAATTTACAACCACACACACAGCAGCAGCAGCAGCAGCAAAAAAAGAAGACAGAGAGAAGGCTCCAGTGCAGTTTTGCAAGTGCGGAAGATAATGCAGGTCGGAACCTTTCCTCCGGGCTCCGGGGAGGCGAGGGAAGGAGTTGTGTGCGGGACGCGAGGGGCCGTGCGGCGGAAGGTGAGGGGCAGCTGCCTGTGGCCCGGCGTTTGGGAGGCCTTTTACTGCGGGTGTTTTGGTGCCTGTGAGGTCGGAGGGGGTGGCGGGGGTTGGACCGGTTGCTGTCTCTGTTGCTCGGGTTTATTCGCGAGGCGGGCGGGCGGGAGGGGAGGAGGGAGTCGGTGTGTCTGCGGGCGGGGCGAGGGCGGTTGCCCCTGGTAACCCCAGTGAGGGGGGTGAGCAGCTCAGGCTCCATCACCTCTTTTTCTGGCCCAGGCCCCGGGCGGCAGCGCCTGTGAATCCAGCGTTTACCTTCTGCAGACACGACGCTCCTTCTCCCCCCCCCCCACACACACACACACCCCCCGAGAGTCGGCGGCAGGTTGTATCCGGTGGTACCCTCTGGTGTCGAGTCCGCAGCTGCCGCGGCCCCGGTCAACGCTGTGATTGATTTATTTGATTGCACACCTGCAGATATACGGTGCGCGTCGTGACACGGCCCAGGTTCGGGCAGTTCGCTCCGTGACCGTTTGTAGGGGGTTTGCCGGGAGTTCACCCACCGAACACGCAGTCACGGCTTCACAGTCAATCCCGTGAAAGGGCCTTTCGGTGACGCCGCCCCCGCGGCCGAGGGCGCTCTTCCCAACGTAAGGATCGTCGTTGATGCTGCGATCCGCAAACATGTTACCGCTCGTATTTAATCCGCACCGACCGACGACCTCTTCCTTTACCACCTTTTAACAGGTCGCACGATTTTTCTTTCTTTTTTTTTTTGGTGGCACAAAACCGCAAACCCTAATGTTATATAAAGGTTTTTTTTTAAATGGTCGCAGCGCCACTCGGTCTCAAAGCCACAGCGTTTCGTGAGCAGATAGCGAGTCGTTTTATTTAACACGAGTGCCCCACGTTGTCACCTCACTCTCAAGTCAAAACCTGTGGCCCAGGAGTAAAACAGCAGCTGTTTTCTTCTCCTGACACCTTATAATTTACTGTCAATCCACTGTTGGCACTGAGCACGACAACATGAGGGGCAAAGGCAAGTTAATGTGCTCCGTGCTCATCCATCAAACAACTGCTCATTCGGTAATTGTGTCCTCGCTTCAGAGCATATCAGGTAGGGAGGAGAAATCGAATGGGAAACTTTATATGGTTTGACAACAAGTTCGTTAGAATTTGTGATAGGCTGCGTTATCCACCAGGTGGAACTGGAGGACTGGATTACTGAGGGTGAATTGTGCATCATCTCGAGTCTTTCTGAAGAGCTCTCTCTGGAAATACTTATATTTTATGGTGTTAATGTTATTGAGTTGAGTGAGAATTTCTATTGCAGTCCAACTATTGAACACTATGATCCTGTTGAATTCTGCTCTTGACTTAGTGCAGCTAAAGAATCGGACAGAGTTGCAACATCTGCATTGGAGATATTGTGACTTCCAAGTTTCAAGGGTTGGTGTTAGGGAATCAAGTGACAAATCAAATAATGTGATGAGCAATTCCCCCTGCTTTATTTTTGTGTAGTAAATAATAATCCATTTGAAATTGTGCATTATTACATCATAACGTCTCAAAGAGCTTCACAGTAGTTACTGTTAATTGTAGGGACTGTATTTGTAGGCAGTAGCAGCAGCCAATTTGATTACAGCGATATGCCACAAACATCCCAAAGGTAAATGAGTAATTTAACTAACCACTGGGAAAATCTCCCCGTTTTCTACCCCAAATGTTATGGGTTTTGACATACACCTGAACAGGTAGATGGGACCTCATTTTAACGTCTCATCTAAAGGATGCCACCTCCAAAAAAGCAGCGCTCCCCCAAATACTCACTTGAGCGTCAGCCAAGACCTTGAGCTCAACGTCACTAATGTGGGATTTGAAACCCACAACTTTCTAAATGTAAATTTAGAACAATTAACATTTAATGTCATGCCTTATTCTGTCGTTGAGACTTCTGAAAGCTCTTCACATGATTTTACTATCGTGTGTGGTGACTTTATTTGTAGCAAATGCGGCAGTCAATTTTTGTACAGCCGTGTCCCACAAACAGCTACAAAATAAATGAGCAATTTTATTTGAGGGATAGTTGGCCTTATTGTTATCGAGCGTGCTACCAGTTGAGCCACCCTTACAAGAGGTGACTTAATGAGGCCCAAAAGAATAGCTGTGCTGTTCCTGGTCATCTGTTTTTATTTTTTCTGTAATGTGTGCCTCAAGAAATGATTGTTGACATACAGGGTTTTAGCTTTTGTATTCCCACCACTTGCATGTGAAGTGCTGGCAGATGTAAGATCAATATTGATTTGTTTAGCTTTATCCAGAGTCTAGAAGACAATATAAATTCATTTCAGATGACAAATGTGATGGTTCACAGCCTTTGTAAATGTTGCTTTGGGTTTATTGTTAATGCATTAAGAGAAAGGTACATTCCCAGGATAATTGCAGAGAATTTGAAACGAGCTGTAATACTGCTGTCACACTACAGTGAGGACCGTCCCACACACGCAACACATCTGTGCATTATTAACTAATTAACCAACTAAATTATATTTTAATTCAGAACATGTTAAGGTTTTGTTTTACACAGTTCTGGAGTACTCTTGTTTCTTCAGTACTTGAGTACTTCAGGGCTTTGGGACGTCCTCCCGATGTGAAAGGCGCTCATAAATATAATTTTGTTGTTGTTTCGTATATTACTTCTCTGTTTAATTTTGACTCTTTATTCTGACCATGTGATAATATAATTTCCAATGTGCAAATCCAGATGAATTCTTAGATACTCAGAATGTGAATTAATTGTTGGGGGGAGAAAAGATTCTTTAAGACTAATGTTGGGAAGAGGAGGAGGAAAAACATTGTAAAGAATGAGTTTGGTGATCCATACCATACACTGCAAACTGTAGGATAAGACTTAAAGTTGCTTAAACAATTGCTTCTATTTTTTAGGGCTGCTGTGATGTGCAGATGACTGGTCTGACCAGGTGTTGCCGATGAGCAAGCATAATATTAAATTTGATTAAAGTAGTGTAGAAGTTAGTCTCTCAACCTGTGGCTCACAAAGACTAATCTTTCTTAATATCTGGGGAGTTAGTCATCTAAGAATGGATTTTCTAATAAAGATTGAAATATAATTGTGCGTCATGAAATTACTTTTTTTGTAATCAGATTTTCTTAAAAGCGTTGCATATATTACTTTTTTTACAGCTAATGAATTAGAAAGTATGAATTAAGTGGCACTGGGGAATTTATGAAAGGAAAAAATCCTAATCTATACCCACATTTTGATGTGATTTTACTTTGAGGTGTTTCGAGATGATAAATATCTATCCCTTATTTAATGATGGAGCAAGTCACTGCTGCATATTTATTGCTACATGGATTGTTCATTAGGGGAGATATGTACTAATTGCTTTTCTGGAGGAGACGTCACCGTTGACTGCTGTAGACCATCTTCAGGGGCTGGCTCTAGAGATAGTAAGTAAAGTCTGGGGCAGATAGCTTTAACTTTCTTTTGGTTAGACCTAAAAGGGAGGAGAAGCAGAAGAATAAACTACAGCCATACCATTAACATAGGCAACACATAACCTGAAATAAAATAGATTATAGAGAAGCTGATATTTTCCAGATTGAAATGGGGATTTTTGGAGGTGTAGGAGAATGATTGGGATTTGTGGAGTTTAATGAAAGAAAATTAATTTAAAAAATTCTCATTTCCAATCTGGAAACCATCCAAGAATAATTAAGGAAATTAAAACAGAATTGGAGAGATTATGAATGAAAGTTCTTTTGAGGCTCATTAAGTACTGTACAGGTGTGCTATGATTGAAAAACATCTGCCATTTCCTTTTAAGAAAACAGTCAAATGAAATCCTTGTTTTTGACGTCTTTGACAGGAAAATGATTGGAGTCCAATATAAAGGAAGCGATTTAAAAAGTATTTAATGAGAATGAATAATTGCAATCCAACACACGATTATTAAATGCAGATCATGTCTAAGAGGTTCAATAATAATAATAATCCTTGCATTTGATATAGCGCTTTTCACATCGGGAGGACGTCCCAAAGCGCTTCACAGAACACACTGTAAAGTGAATTGACTGTATATTTGTGGGCGAACGCGGCAGCCAATTGCTCACAACAATGTCCCACAAACAGTCGTAGATTGAAAATGACCAATTTATTATTGTTTTTGTTTTTGGAGGGATTATTATTAGGCTCTGTGTGGAGTATGGAAACTTGCCCGAGGTTTCGCCCTGATCTGCCTGGAATTGAACTCAGGTCTCTCGCTTGCAAAGCGAGTGCTCTAACCACTGAGCTACATGACTCCGCAAGGTTAATACTGCCAAGTAGAGATTGGTTCCTTGTAAGAGATATTTGGATTTTTTTAACACGTCTTGAAATCTTCACTTTAAACTACTTTTCGTGGCATTACTTTACATGAACGATGCAATATATGTAACTTTATTAACCATTTAACCCAGAAACGAGGTCTCTAAATCCTTGCAATAAAATAGTATATTTTAGAAAAAATATTAAAGCCAGGCCACATTAATCATCAAAATTGTTTCTTGATGTACAGAAAATGGTGCTTTGAGAATATGGGCCACATTCTGCATTACATTTTATTGCAAATCACTTTGTTAACCCGTTCTGTGTCTTGTTAACCTCATCCTCTTCCAGAACAGGAATAAATGGCAAACTTGACCACCTGGCCAATGAACCTCTCCATGGCTGTTAGTAAACTGGAGGGATGAGTCAACCTTTTGAGACAACAATGTTTTTTTTGAGGATGTGATGGATTGCTGATAAAGATCTGTTTTTTTTATCAGCCATTTGTCAGACATGTGGAAAACCATATACATGCTGAAAACATGCTCAATACATCTAATTCTAAACCAGACAGAGTATCTCATGTGTACCACCTATGTATGGAAATTTCCCACTTGTCTGGAATGAGATGTACCCTTTCCATGGAGGGATGCACCTTGCTTACCTAGATGTATTGGGTGCAGGTTGGCAAGAGCCAAGATTTGGAGACCCGAGAGTTTGCGTTGGGGTATGACTGGATTTTATTTAACTAAAACTTTATAGTTTGCCTTTGCAAGCGAGATAATACCAAGTTGTGTGTGGAAACAGATATTTAGATGATCGGGTTAACACGTCCCTTCTAAATATACCACTGTGCTGACCAGTATAGTTAGTTCTATGGGGTTGGGAGTACATGCCTCTATACTAGAGGCCACCTGTCCAGCTTTGAGGTAATGTGATTAGGTTTTTGAATGCATTGTAGGATTGGGACTCAAGTCCAGAAAGACATGTTGGATTTTAGAATACATTAGATTGTACGGCACAGAAACAAGCCATTCAGTCCAACTGGTCTATGCCGGTGTTTTTGCTCCACATGAACCTCCTCCTACCCTTCCTCAACTAAGCCTTCAAGCATAACCTTCTATTCCTTTCTCCCTCATGTACCTATCTAGCTTCCCCTTAAATACATCTATGTTTTTATCCTCTGTTTGCATCAGGCACAGGAGGTGGTACAGCAACACAATCACTTTCTGCATCACTGTAAAGGCTTCACAGCACCAAAACTCCAACCGTGCTTCTGTCTGTGGATGCTTGGAATTCTGCCCTTGTATTCATAGACCTCAATATCACTAATTAAATATGACTGAACACTGACAAAGTAATTGGAATTTTTATTTCTGTCCACTGAGAATAAGATTTAAATTTATATAAATGACGATGTGTACTATATCTACTTTCATTAATATTTTAGATTGTTGCATTTAAGTTTCTGATAGAAACTGCAAGCGAGACTGTTACCAAAGGCTTGCCTTATATTAATGTGTCATGCAGTTCACATAACAGACCTCATCTATTACTTTTTTTGAGCCTTTTTATGTAACCTGTTCTTTCAGGATTTCACAACTAAATTAATAATGCATTCATTGATATGGTTTCTATACTGAATGCAAAAATCCTTCATAAAGAAAGAATTTACATTTTTATTACATTTTATTATCAAGAAATATCTCAAGAGTGTTTCACAAGTAATTCTTACCCAATTTAGTTTTTTTGAACCAACACAACAGCTGTTTGGTCCAACAAGGCCCCACAAACCATGAAGTGAATGACCAATTAATCTGGAAAATTGTTGGTCAGGACATCTGGAGAAACTCTCTTTAAATTGTGTCATGGGATTTTTAATGTGCACCTAAAACAGTTAACAGTTCAATGTTTTGAAAAGGTGACACTTCTGACAATGTAAAACTCCTAGTATTGCACCTGAGTGTCAGTCTGGATTATGGTCCCAAATTGCAATAGACTTGAACCCATATCCCCAAAGCAAGAATGCTACCAAGTAAGGTGAACTGACACCTTATACAAGGGAATCTTGTGATAATGTGGTTTTAATTGATGTCAAGAAGCTCAGAAGCTCAGAAATATCTCAAGAGTGTTTCACAAGTAATTCTCACCCAGTTTAGTTTTTTTGAACCAACACAACAGCTTTTCAAGCCATTCGTTTTCATTTTGATTTTGTGACAGCAAGTGTGCAAAACAAACCTCACTATACGTTTTTTTTTGATTGTTTCCTTATAATCTCACTAAATTATAATCCTTGCATTTGATATAGCTCCATTCATGTTGGGAGAACGTCTCAAAGCGCTTCACAGGAGATACTGTAAAACGCAGTAACTGTATTTCCAGGCGAATGCTGCAGCCAATTTGCACACATCAATGTCCCATAATGAACTAAGGTGAATTCACTTTATGGCAGACTGTTGTTGAATCAACGGCCGCATAGTCCAGTGTGCTAGGTTTTATTGATGTAAAATGGTTCTTTTATCTGAATATATTAAAACGTTGCTAAGTATATATTTTAACAAAGCCTCTCAGTGCACCTGGTAGTTCAGATGAAATTGAATGAAATAAATACCTGTTTTGATATGGAACAAGATTACAGTTTACTTCGCTAAAACGATGGATATGCGATGCAGTCAAATTTTTCCAACTCTTTTTCAGACTCATCAAAGTATGGACGGTGGGAATGGAGATAACCTTGTTATTAAGAGACGCTTTGTAACTGAGGCCGAGTTAGATGAAAAACGCAAACAAAGACAGGAAGAGTGGGAAAAGGTTCGGAAACCCGATGACCCAGAAGGTACAATTCAGTGTTAAATGCAACAAAACATGTACATTACACCAGGCTAGGCTGCAAGTTAACTGGCTGTGTTGCTTTAAAGTTTACTTTGTATTAGGAAGCCTAAAGGACGTATTGTGTTTACCTTCAAAATCTGTTTCCTTTTAAAAATGGCAAATTAAATACTCATTGTGTGCAGGTACATGTGTCTCTCTCTAGCAAGAGTCCTGATCTTTTATAATTTTCCCAGTTTCCTCATTTGTATCTCTAGTATTTTTACTTTAATTTATGGCTTTAGATGACAAAGACAAAACTGTGATGCTTACGCTGGTTTTGAAATCGTTGGTACTGTATCATTTGCTTGTTTTCCTTCTTGAATGGTTTCAATTTTAGGAACCGCTTATTAAGCAGCATGTCCTTTTGAAATCTCAGGTAAATCTTTAAGGTTCCTCTCAATGACTCAGTTGTTAAAGCCTTTGTTAAATACACATCTGTAATTTTACTGATTTATTTCCAGTTTTTACCAAGGTAACTGATCTCATTCAGAACAGTGTTTGGGATGCACCAGTTGATTCAGCAGCCTGGGGCTAGAAGGGGTTAAAATCAGTTAGGATTGATTGGTGTTCAGAGACTTCTGCTAGATGGTACGAATGTGTGGACAGCTAAGGGTAGGATCAGGTCTGCCTGTAGGTCTTGCTCAAGAGCTTTCTGTTGAAAACATTAGAGGAGAAAAATGAGAGAACCCCAACCCCTCATTCCTCTCATACAGGTAATGAAGCCCTGTATACCATGAACTGAACAACAGAATGGAGTTGGCAGAATGTTAATGCACTGTATTACTAGGGTGCCTGCAAGCTGACGATTTTGTTCAATTATCTATATCTCGTTCCACGTTTCTCAAGTGATGAATGGACTTTAATGGTGAGCTCTGGTATTTACCGATGCAAATCTGTCACATAACTGTGCTGAAAATTGTGCAACTTTTCAATCAGAAATGGACAGTGGTACTTCTGGGGCTGCAAAGCCTTTCTGCCACTTAGAGAACAAATTTCCTGTAGAATTCTTCCCTTTGTACAGTTCACACAAAAAAAATCCTGGAATTGCCTGTTTTGCTTGCAGTCTGTTCTGAAAAACCCTTTTAGTACTCAGCTCTTTCTTTGTTCTTTTAAACCACTTTCAGCTATTTTGCAGAGAGCTGCATTACTCTTGTTCTAGATGAAAAAGAAGTCTCGGTGATTAACTTTAATGTGGTTCATCTTTTATTTTGGCTTGTTAAGTCTGAATTTCCTTTGTCATTTTGTTGGCTTCATCGTTTATGCTATGCATCTGCAGCTGAAAGAGCAGAGTTTAGACTTGTTCCACAGCTATCAGCAATGACAACTAAGGCGATCAAACTCAGGGCTGAAAATGCCCATGTTACTGTATTGTGGAGAAAGGACAGCACAACTGTAGACAATACATTACATCGGAAATTTTCAAGGAGGTCATACTAGGGATGAGGAGATTCTAATTATATTGGAAGACTTTTTTGCACAATGGAACTATTTAAGTCAATTATTTGAGAATTGATCATGAATTCCAGCTCACACAATCATTTTTAAATGGACCAGTACTTTTTTTTTAACTGTGTTTGTTTATTGTTGTTTAGGTTGTGTTATTGTTACTTGAGATGTACTCTACAATCTTATTTCCGATGCTGAATTGAAGTCCAATTCCCAGAGATGAAAGCCGAAGTTTTAATACACTGTTCTAGCCCAATCTTCCGATCCTTAGTCTTTCATGCTCTTTTCTGGGGCTTGGGGAATAGAGAGAAGCAATGAAACTCTTAAGGCAAAATTGTGTGAGGAAACCGATTTTATTTTCATTTTGGTTTCTTGTTTTGTGTTTTTTACAGTAATATTTGTCCACCACTATAGATGGGAAAGTGCACAATGCGGAATATCTGTGCAAAGAAAGATTAATTTAAAAATAACAAATTGAGCAATTATGAAATCCATTGTTTAACCACTACTCCTGTAATTATCTATTGATGGAAGTAGATAAGCAATACTTCAGCGTTCTAAACGGTGTTTTGCAGAGTGAATTGATATGAAAATAAAACTTCAGAAAGTGCTCTCTGATGTTTGACCTAGGAAAGAGAATGGAAGTTAATAGTCAGATAAATTATGCAGTTGTTTATGTTTGATTTTATGACGATTGTTTTGTTTTGAAAGGAATAAAAACACAATTCATAGTTAGGAACTTGCTGAGGCCTTGATAAAATATTAATTGATATCTAGGGAGGAAAAAAGCAAACTTGGGAAATATGACGTGCATTGCTGCTCAATAACATTCTCATAGGAACTGTAGTATAGTGATCAGTGCAGCTGTAACACTTATAAGATCAGATTATTTTCCCAAAGAGACAGCCTTAAATAAGATGTGTGCATTATACTTGCTTTTAAGTTATAGAGATAATACATTTCTTTTCTTAGAATTTTCAATTATTAAACTGTATTTCTGTGGTGTGTCATAGACAACATTGCTCTTGAAATTGCAACAGAAATGTACAATTCTACTTTGAATGATTCCATTTCTGCTTCCGTGCTGGGCCAGACTTAGTCCAGAACATCCAAAGGAGCACTCAGATTGGCGACGACAGTGACGGTCAGGGTCTAATAATATTTCTAACAGGATTCTTTACTAAGAAAATCATTAAATACAATGTGCATTTCTCCCACAAAACATATAGTCAATTTCCTTTACAGTATATTCTGTAAAGAGCTTTGAGACGTCTTCAAGACATGATAAGGCGCTATATCAAATGCAAGTATTATTAAGTATGTCAAGCCACATCGTAAGAACTCCACTCCGACAGTCTACGTTTGGAGTGAACTGCAAATCATTGCGATACTTTCAATATTGTTCGAAGTCGCCGCATGTCACCCTGGAGTAATAACAAATGCGACCTGGTGCTTATTTCTCACCACCTCTTCAATTGAAATATAATTTGAAGTTGACAGTTGAAACAGCTTGCAGTCTTTGCTTGTTTTAAATTAACTAATTAAAATGTGACAGATTGGAAAGTTTGAAATAAAACTGCAGACTGCCTTCATTAAGTTGATAGTAACAGTGTAGGAGTATTTTCACTTTACATGGATTGACTCTAATAGGTGTACATAGACCAGTTCCTGCACCTGGCTTTTTATTATTGTATCCATGTGCTTCATCTCTTTAACCCTCTTTCCCCCCTCCCCCCCCACTCCCCAAAAAACATCACCTGTTCCCATATGTTCAATCCCAGAGTTTGCCATTGTGAAGCTATTGTGAAGCTTTTATCACTGACTCCTGTCCAACGATGTCTGATTGTGGATAAGTTTGCCATTTGAACATGTTATTTAATATTTGAGTAGAAAGTTTTCCCAATAGGTTCCTTTTGATGACTGAGGACTCTTAGCATAAGTAGATATCGATAGCACAAGGGTAATGGAGAAACTCAAAAAATTAAAGGTTTTCAGAGCAACCAGGGCAAATGCACCCCCCTCTCCTGACCACCAAAAAACAAATCCTCGAGAGAAAATGGACAAGGCTCTGGTTAGCAAATGTTATTCAAAAAGAAGTGGGACATAAGCCTGGAAATTATGGCAAAAATGGTTAAGAAGTTATCAGTGTTCATCTTAAGACAAAGCATGTAATGACTACTCAGTGTGGATTTCACAGCGGTCCAACTAGCTTTATGGATTTAATGGAATTCATTGAGGATGCAACTAAACTGATGAATGTAACTCTCGGATTTTGATGAGGCATTTGACAAAGTTCCACATGTGAGGTTTTTTATAAGAAGGATAAGGATCATGGATTTAATGACAAATCTACTGGTTTTGATCGGGCACTGTTTTAGCAGTAGGAAGCAGATGTTGCTAAATGGAAATGTTTTGTCCTTTGGGCAGCAACTGGCAGAGTTTCATTTTACCCAATAAGCCATTGGAGGAGCTTGTAAATATTGTGCAATTGCTAAAAAAGCTGGATGAAGTATTACTTTCCTAGTGTTGAGGAGGGGAATTTAGCATATGTTCTGTGACTCTTTGTTTACAAACACCGAGCATTGTGTAGTTATTAAGTGACTTTCTCCCATTAGAGTTGGTGCTGCTTTTGAAGCAGTTAAGTCCGTTTGAAATAGTTGGAAATATTGATCTATCCGTGAACACAGCACTTTCTAATCTTATTTTCTTACAAAGTTCTTCCTTCTATCTACTCTGTTCATTTCCATCTGTACAAGTTTCTGCATTTCGTGATTCTGAAGAATATGTTGGGTTGTTATAAAATCGTCAGCAGCTTGAATGCATTGGCATAGATTAATATTTATAATGTAAATCAATTTTATAATGGTTTAGGATCTCTCTGCGCTCAAATTGGTTTTAAATCATGTTTTTAGAGACAATTCTCACAATTCTCTGTGTTTCTTTCAACTTCTATCAATTTTCAGATTTACCAAAATGTATCAAATCAAAAATGTGTTAAAAGTATACATAAATGTCTACAATTTAGTACATTGACACAATCGCGGTGTAGATCTGCTAGTTTTTTTAATCAGCTCATCTCCAGGAATGTTTTGCCATGGCTGATAAGGTCGGAAAACTGACCACTTGCATGATCTAACAGAAGCTAAAGTAGTTTGGCATTTTAATGAGACTGGAAGCACAGTACTCCATTCTTTGCAGAGATTCTTTCTTAAAGTACAGTGTATAGCCAGGAGCTGTCATTTATTAAACCAGTGCATGGTTCTTGTTTAACATTCCTTTCAGTAATTGGTTGCAGATGGACAAGTCTATACCTGTAGAAGCTTTCTTTAATTGGATGCTGTCTCTTCACCTTCCCCTCAATGGTACAGCAATTATCCTGCACGCTGTGAAAGATGTCTCTATGTAGACTGCAGTCATATCTGTACACATAGCAAACATTGTTATATTTCCTCTTAAATCCTGCTCAATGCTTCCAATGACTGTTTTAAGGTTACCGGAGCCTCGAACTAATGAATAGGG